CCCCAGGGGCATCCACGTCTCCTCCTGCAGCTGCTCCAGCTCCCGCAGGTTCACATATGCCTCCAAGAGCTGCTGGCTGTCAATCAGGCTCTGTGTGTGGACCACCGCAGCTGGCACTAGCAAGAGAGAAGAGAGGGTAGCTCTGGGTGTCACCTCCTACCTGAGGCACAGGTGAAGTACAAAACAGTTCATAACCAAGGTGCTGTGGTACAGTGGGCTAAGCCTCTGCTGGCAATACCTGTATCACATATCACAGGCCTGAATGCTGTTTCCAATCTAAATTCCCTGCCAACGTGCCTGGGAAGCAGCAACTGATGGCTGAAGGATTTGAGGCTCCACCAGCCCATGGGGAAAAGTTCCTGGCTGCTGGCTTCAAGCCCAGTCCAGCACCAGCTGTGGCAGCCATTTGAGGAGGGAGCCAGCAGACGGAAGATAAAACTACAACTCTCTCTTTGTTTCCCTGTCTGCATTACTCTGCCTTTTGAATAAATAAATCTTCAAAAAAACAAAAATCTTCTAGCTTTCAGTAGAGAAGTGCAATGGTCAGTGTGAAAGGAAGCCTATTGAGTCAGGTGTCAACCTTGGAACAATGAGACACAAAGCAGAGGAGGGTCATGAGGGACAGCAGGGAGGAACTGGGAGGCCATGCTCGTGACTGGCCACCCATCCTGCCAAGAAGCATGTGCATTAACAACCAGGGTGGGCCTGGCATCGTGGCACTGTGCATTACTGCCATCCGCAATGCTAGCATCCTATAGGAAAATTGGTTTGAGTCCTGGCTGCTTTGTTTCCCATCAGCTCCCTGCTGCTTATGCATCGGAGAAGGCCCCAAGTCGTTGAGTCCCTGCCACCTACGTGGGCGGTCCAGATGGAGTTCTAGGCTCCCAACCTTGGCCTGGCCCAGCCCCAACCATTGTGATCATTTGGGGAGAGATGATCTATCTCTCCCTCTCTGAAACTCTGCCTTTCAAACAAACAAACAAAAATAACAAATCTTAAAACACACACACACACATACAATACCATGGAGCCCTTTCGGTACTTGTCTTGAATCCAATGTCCCATTCTTGGAAACCCCAGTATGAGCTAATCCTGCAGCCTGTGTCCTGTGCCTCCTGCAGTCTAGGTTACTATCTAGGAGAGGCCTGGTTGGCCCATCCATGCAACCCCTACCTCAGGCCAAGACTCTTAGTCAGTGACATTGGTGTGTGTGGACCCACTGTTGTAAGCTGAGACACAGGGTCCCTGAACACTCACCTGCCTGCAGCCGGGGCAACAACTGTGACAGGGCCTGCAGCTGCCTGTGTTGGGAGACCTGCTCCCGCAGGGGCTCCAGGGCCTGGGAGGCTCGGGCCAAGTCCTGCAGCAGCCCATGGGCCTGGTTCAGGGCCTCCCGTGTTCCTTGTACCGCCTCCAAGGCCCGGTTTAGCTGCCACACACCAGTCTGCACACCTTCAAGGTACGACTGTACCATTGTCTGTGGAAGAGAGGCCCGTGAGGTGTGGCCAGCCCCGTGGCCCACCCCTAGCACTGCTGCCATCCTGCCCCTGCCCACCTTTAGGCGTGCTTCCAGGGAACAGGTGCGCTGCACCTCGCGGCTGCGGTACTGGCCCAGCCTGGCCAGCTGCTCTGGCCGATAGAAGATGCCCGAGGCCCACTTGAGTGCTGCACCCCGGGCCAGTTGTTCCGCTCTCTCCTGCTCTGGCCACTCCGGCCCTGGGCAGGAAGAGCCTGGGTAATTGAGTTAATGAGGGAGAGCCTGCAGAAAGTGGCTGCTGGACCTGTGGCTCAGCCACTGCCCAGGATGGATGGATACAGCACGCCCCTCACTGCCCGCCCGCCTGAGCTTCGATCAGAGCTGGCAGGGAGGGCTCAACCCCACCACCACCTTCCCACCCTCCTGCTCCCAGTCTCCCCAGTGGGGATCCTACCTGGGGGAAGGGCCGGCTGCATTTCGTCCTTGACCACTGAGTCCATGGAAGGCGTGAGATGACTTAGGAGGAGGCACAAGGGTCTGGGTTGGAACAGGCAGAGCGCAAGAGTGCTTCGCAGAGGAAGGCTCTGGCTCAGCCCTGTCAGGAAGTCACTGGGAGGCGGGGGTGATGGGGGAGGCACCTGGCAATCCTCTGCCTGCCTACTGGGTTTCTTGGTAAGGGGGCCTCCATTCGTTCTCCTGCTGCAAGGGCCCCAGGACTGAGAACTTACCAGATTTGACCAGACATCCAGGTCTCCCTCTTCTGCGAGCAGCCTTAGCCTTGAGAACTGCCAACTCCTCTGGCCAGCTAAGCATTCGCTCTCCACGCCTGCACGTCTGCCCGCCTGCCTGGTCACTCCAGCCTGCTGGGCACTCACTCCCCACGCCTGCCTGCCTGCCTGATGACTCCAGCCGGCCGGGCATGGAGCAAAAGGCCTCTCCTCAAGGAAGCTTTTCTCCCACTTCCCAGCTGAAGAGCCCCTTCCTCCCACCAGCCAAGCCCCTCCCTCTCCCAGGCAGAAAGGAAGGAAGTGAACCTCTGGCCCTGTATTCCCAACAGGAAAGCACACAGGAACTGGTGGGGTGGGAAGTCTAGGTGCCACTCCCTGGGGCAGTGGGGGAAGGGTATACTCCCTTTGGGGTCCTCCAGTCCTGCCTAGCCCACCCAGACCTCTTGGCATATGTGCTTCCACCCAGGGCAGAAGGACAAAGTGCACAGACTAGGAGCAGACATCACAGGATAATGGCAGGGTGTGTCAGGGGAGGGGGTGTGCAACACAGCTTGTGCCATAGCCATCATCCCAGACGAGTCCCAGCTGCTCTGCTTCTGATCCAGCTCCCTGCTAATGTGCCTGGGGAAGCAGTAAAAGATGGCCCAAGTGCTTGGGTCCCTGCCACCCCAATGGGAGGCCTGGCATGCAGCCATTTAGGGAGTGAGCCAGTAGGTGGACGATCACTCATTCTCTCTCTCTTTCCTTTTTCTCACTGTAATTCTGCCTTTCAAGTAAACAGATAATAAACATTTAAAAATAAAAGAGAGGGCCTGGCACAGCAGCCTACCGGCTAAAGTCCTTACCTTGCACGTGTCGGGATACCAAAGGGGTGCCAGTTCTAATCCCAGCAGCCCCGCTTCCCATCCAGCTCCCCGCTTGTGGCCTGAGAAAACAGTCAAGGATAGCTAAAGGCCTTGAGCCCCTGCATCCGGATATGGGAGACCTGGAAGAGGCTCCTGGCTCTTGGCTTTGGATTTGCACAGCTCTGGCTGTTGTCACTTGGAGGGTGATGTTCCTATGTATCTCTCCTCCTTTCTGTATATCTGACTTTGCAATAAAAATAAATAAATCTTTTTTTTTTTTTTTTTTTTTTTAAAGATTTATTTTTATTATTTTTTCATTGGAAAGGCGGATATACAGAGAGGAGATACAGAGAGGAAGATCTTCCATCCGATGATTCACTCCCCAAGTGAGCCGCAACGGGTCGATACTATGCCGATCCGAAGCCAGGAGCCTCTTCCGGGTCTCCCACGCGGGTGCAGGGTCCCAAAGCTTTGGGCCGTCCTCAACTGCCTTCCCAGGCCACAGGCAGGGAGCTGGAAGGGAAGCGGGGCTGCCGGGATTAGAACCGGCGCCCATATGGGATCCCGGGCGTGCAAGGCGAGCACTTAACCACTTGCGCCACCGCGCCGGGCCCAAAAATAAATAAATCTTAAAAAAATAAAAGAAAGAAAGAGAGAGAGAGAGAAAGAACGAGCAAAAGAGAAATCAGACATCTGGTGGGCCCCTCAGGGGAAGGAAAGGCCCAGGCTGCTGCGGAGAGGGTGCTAAACTTGTGAGTTATGGGCACGGGGGCGGGGGGGGGGGGGGGGGGGAACCACAGGACAGTAACGATGTGTGCACGTGGTGCAGGAGCCAGATCTGCCCTCAGGATAGACCTGAGGCCTCCGGCTGCAATGGCTGAGATTTCTCAGCTGGCATCTGAAGGCCCAGGTCCCTGGATGTGAGTCACTCAGATGGGCCACCCCAGTCTCCCAGGCTGAGGCCACCATATCTTTTTTTTTTTTTTTTTAAGATTTATTTTATTTTTACTGGAAAGTCAGATATATGCAGAGGAGGAGATACAGAATGGAAACTCTTCTGTTTGATGATTCACTCCCTAAGCAACCGCAACGGCACCAATCTGAAATCAGGAACCAGGAGCCTCATCTGGGTCTCCCACATGGTGCAGGGTTCCAAGGCTCTGGCTTTCCTCGACTGCTTTCCCAGGCCACAAGCAAGGAGCTGGATGGAAAATAGGGCTGCCGGGACAAACCGGTGCCCATCTGGGATCCCGGCGCATACAAGGTGAGGACTTTAGCCCATGTGTACTTGCCATACCCCATCACAGTGTCACAGCATGGCACCCTCAGAAACAGGCAAACCTCTGTCCCAAAGCCTGTTTCCCAGACAACCAGAACCCAAATAGTAACAAATAATGGCTACATGAAAGAAAGTACCAGCAGGTGCTGGATCCTTTCTTCCGGCCGGGTGCTGCTCCAGGACATTCTGGTGTCTGCAGGTGTCTGCTCCTGTGCCTTGCCTGGGACCCTCTGGGAGCGTCAGAGCCTCAGGGCTCCGTGGTGTGGATGTGGAGGTAAGACAAGGAGGAGGTTGGGTCCCCGCTGGGCTGGGCCAGGAGGACAGGCTAGGTTTATCAAGTGGTGTGGTGTCCTTTCTCCCATATTGGGAATTAGTGGCGTTTGGGGACACGTTGACAAGGAAGGTTCCAATGCTTTTCCTCTCTCCACGGCCGGGACTGCCCGCTGACCTCTTCCACATTCATCCCCAGCTAGTATAGTTCACGTGCCCTCCATTCCCTCATGAGGTTGTTTTCGTCTTCTTTCGCGGGTGGAAATTTGCTGATGGTCCCCGAAGTTTTGCGTCCCTCTCCGTAGGTAGGAATTGCCAAGGGTTCCCCAACAGGACGCGAGGCGGAAGCGGAAGTAGCGTGACTCGCTCCGGTGGCCGGGTGGCCGGGGACGGAAGCGGAAGTAGCGGCGGCGCCGGCCTGGTCTGGCTGCGGGGAGGCGGCGGGCGGGCGGGCGCGATGGCTGAGGCCGGGCCGCAGGCGCCGCCGCCCCCGGGCACCCCGAGCCGCCACGAGAAGAGCCTGGGGCTTCTCACCACAAAGTTCGTGTCGCTGCTGCAAGAGGCCAAGGACGGCGTGCTTGACCTCAAGCTGGTGCGGCCGGGGGCATGGGGGACGACCGGAGGCAGGGATGGGCAGCACTACGTCTAGATCGGTAGCCGGGAGCTCCCGGGGCGTCCCCGCGGAGCCGTCCGAGAGCCTCTTGCTTTCTCCCGAGAGGAGGCCGAGGGGGGAGCTGTGTCATTCATTCAGCCGGGACCACTCTTGGGCTGCAGGTGCAGGTCCTCGTGGCCTCCCTGGCTGGCCCGGATGGGGGCAGGGAGAGAGAAGAGTTAGGACCCGGCCTGGTGGCTGTGCCGGATCCCTTTCCAGCCCGCTATCCTCGGCTGCTTAGGGCACGATCAGTGCCGGGACCCAGAGCAGCCCCAGCCAGAATCCGGCGTAGCTGGGGCAAGCCCTTGAGACCAAGACTGAGCATCGTTCCCTCTGTTCTGCCTGCCAGGCAGCCGACACCCTAGCCGTGCGCCAGAAGCGGCGGATTTATGACATCACCAACGTGTTGGAAGGTATTGGGCTGATAGAGAAGAAATCCAAGAATAGCATCCAGTGGAAGTGAGTGGGGAATCCATCTGGGGGCAGGAAGGGCAGCAGGGTCTTCTCCCTGGATTGGGGGAGGGGGGCGGGCTGTGGATGGGCGCAGGGGTTCTCGAGCTGCTGGTGGTTCTCCTAGGGGCGTAGGGCCTGGCTGCAACACCCGGGAGATCGCGGACAAACTGATCGAGCTCAAGGCTGAGATCGAGGAGCTGCAGCAGCGGGAGCAGGAGCTGGACCAGCACAAGGTGTGGGTGCAGCAGAGTGTCCGCAACGTCACGGAGGACATGCAGAACACCTGATATCCTCCGCGGCGTGAGCCTGCTGTAGAGGAGCAGGAGCCTGGCCAGTGCCTGGCCAGTGCCGAGCCTCCAACACCCCGCCCCCCTCCCATGCCTGGCCTATGGACCCCAAGCCCAACAACTTGTTTACTTTGTGGGTCGGTCCTCTGCTGCTGAGGGAGGCTTCTCCGTAGTCTGGCATCTGGCCCCCCAGGCAGCACAACAGCCGTCTTCCTTAACCCTCACACCTTGGCATATGTGACTCACGAAGACATCTGCAGGTGCTTTGCTGGTGAGTAGCGCCTTGGGCAGGGGGCTGGGGTTGCATTGAGCTGATGTCCCTCGGTCCTGTTCCAAGAGAAATGAGTTAAGGAGGAGACTAACTTGGGGGCCAGGGGACTCTAGAGGTCAACTCTGGGGGTACAAGAATCTTGGGGTGGGTCCCTGAGTTTGCTGCCATCTGTGCTGTCTGCTGCCTGTGGCTTCTTGGGAGAGTTGATGTGTGCGCAGGTGTGTGCACAGCCAAGGACACCTGCTTCCTCTCTGCGGTTAGTTCAGTCATCTTGTGGATGCAGCAGCTGTTCCTTTCCAGTCTCCTCTCAGTCCAGTCCTGGAAGGAACTCTGACCTTGGTCATCACACCTGTACTTAGGGACCACCCCCATCCATGGATGAATACAGTGCCCATAAACAGTGCCCATAAACAGCAGCCTTTCCAAAACTTCATGGGATTGAACCAAGATGTCCTGGTTTTTGCCGTGGGGCCCGCCAAGAGAGAAAAGCTGTTTCTGTCCCAGCTGCTGTGGAGTGTGGGTGAAGCCAGCTCTATCCCTCAGCATGCTGTCTCCCTTCCATGGGAAGATACCCCGTTTCCATCCCAAGTTGAGTTCATAGGCCCTGACCTAGGTTCCTTGTCATTCTAGGAGACACCCTCCTGGCCATCCGGGCCCCATCAGGCACCAGCCTGGAGGTACCCATTCCAGAGGTGGGTGCCAGGCCAGCCGGGCAGGGTCGATTGAGGGCGGGTGCTGGCTGTGGAGTTTGATAAGTCCCGGGTGGGGCGGTGAGGGGGAGGCCCAGGGTGTGGGGTTATCTAGGGAGGGTGGGCAGCACAGCCTGGATGGGAGAGGACACTGGCCCTGACTCAAGGTCAGGATGGAACCAGCCCTGCTTCCAATGCCACATGTGCTGTATCCCATGCCATCCTCTCCACTCCCTCAGGGCCTCAATGGGCAGAAGAAGTACCAAATCCACTTGAAGAGTGTCAGTGGCCCTATCGAGGTGCTGCTGGTGAATAAAGAGGCGTGGAGTTCACCTCCCGTGGCTGTGCCTGTGCCACCGCCTGAGGATCTGCTCCAGAGTGCCCCTGCTCTGTCTACCCCTCCACCTCTGCCCAAGCCTGCCCCGGCCCAGCCCCAGGAAGTATCACGTCCAAGCAGTCCCCAGTTACCTGTCCCCACCCCTGGCTCTGCCGGCACCGAAGTTCAGGTTGTGGTTGACCCAACAGCTGAGCTCACAGGTGAGACACAATGGACAGCTTTTGGGGCCTGTAATGTACCTGGAGGCTGGGCATCAGGACTGTGGGCCTCCTGGCGATGCAGTCTAGCACAGCCAGGTGCAGTGACCTGCTTCCTGGGGAATGTTCTAGTGAGTGGTGGCCCTGGAGCCGAGAACAAGGACCCTGGGGAGCTCAGCTCCCTCCCGCTGGGCCCGACAGCGCTGGACACTCGGCCCCTGCAGTCTTCGGCTCTGCTAGACTGCAGCAGTAGCAGCAGCAGCAGTAGCAGCAGCTCCAGCTCATCCGGCCTCAACCCTTCTACCTCCTTCGAGCCAATCAAGGCCGACCCCACAGGCGGTGAGTACCTGCTTGCCTCGTGGCAGGGCACACCCAGGCTGGGATCAGACGCGGTATTAGGCTACGACCCAGCTCTCCTGTCAACCCTATCTGACCCAGAGCTTCCTGCCAACCAGGCCTGGGTGCGCATGTCCAGTGGTTGGTGTTGACATGTCCCTTTTGCCCTTCAGGGCTCACAGATCCCCTTGACCCAAACACCCTGCCTGCCACCCTGCAGATTCCCCCTAAGACCTCATTAACTGACTTGCTCCTCTGTGTGCCCTCTCGCCTCCGTGGTTTCCTTCCTGCAACCCACGCATCGTAGTGGTCTTGTGGTCTTGTGGCTCTTGACTGGCGCCGCAGAGCATACAGCGTTGCTCTTCCTTGCTTTTCCTTCCTGGCTGCAGCCAGCAGCTACTATGTATACTGCTCCTGCCCTCAGAGCAGCACTTGGCTCTCTTGCCTTAACCACTGCTCTTCCATCTCGCATGCTGTGACCCTGAGCCTCTGTTTAGTCTGGAGCTACAGTCAGATTGCCTTGCCTCCCTCTGCAAGCCCAAGAAGCCACATGCCTGTCCCTGCACGCCTAATGGATACTTCATTCCCACATGGCCCCAGCAGTTCATTTACCCCTTCTCTGGAACTTGCTTTTTCGTCACTTTGTATCCTCAGGCCTGCTGCAGTCAGCCAGGCCTCACACCTGGTGTCACTCCAGGTCAATCTTCCTGGCTTCCTCCCTCCCTCACTACCTTCTTCCCTGCCTCCCTCCTTCCTTCCCTTTCTCTCTCCCCTCCCCACCGTGTGGCCACTCACCCCCTCTCCTCACAAGGTCAGCTAGCGAGGCCTGTTCCAGCCTGCTTCTCTCACTCCTCTGGCTCCCTCAGCACTTGGGGAACTCTTGAGCATCTGGAGTCTAGATTCTTGGCATCCTCCTCTATCCTGACTGGTAGAATGAGTGTCCTGAAATGTATGCTAGGTGTGGCCTTTCTTTTTTGCTGGCTGTCTAAGGCCCGGTGGATACATTGTGGGTTTCTGAGCCTGACACAATGATGTCCCTCCTGGTTTCCTCCAGTTTCATTTTCCACATGCCATGCACATCCTGTTAGAGCTTTAGAATGAAGCTGTCACCCTGTAGCACTAACAACCTCTGCCATGTGACTTCACTCTGGGCAGGTGCATAGCCAGGGAGGGGATGGAGAGCCCTCTTCAAGCTCGCATGGTGTGCATTCCAAGGATGGGTGTGTTGCTGCCGGTTGGCAGTACCTAAGTAAGGGTGGACCTGTTACCCGCCATGTGCCTTTGTCGTTGGGCGAGCACTGAGGAATTTGGGGATAGCAGGCAGAGCCAGCCTGGCTGAGTTAGAGCTGTAGCTCTTAAGATGTGTGGAGTTCCAAGGCCAGGGATCTAGGATCCATGGAAGCTAAGGGTTGCTGGGAGGCCAAGCTGGCCCTCAGCGCCTGGAGCTTGCCCTTGTCTTTCAGTCCTGGAACTTCCGAAGGAGCTGTCGGAGATCTTTGATCCCACACGAGGTAGGTGCCCTCCTCCCTGAAGATCTTGTGTTTGTGCCTAGGCCCCAAGGCAAGGGGAAAAACTGCAGTTGGTTGGAGAGGGTCCCTTGCAAGGGTTGTGGTGGGTGGAGAGGTCAGGGGCGGGAGCTGAGATACAACTGAGCTCTCCTTATTTCCAGAATGCATGAGCTCAGAGCTGCTGGAGGAGCTTATGTCCTCAGAAGGTGGGTGACGTAGAAAGTGGCTGTGGATGTGGGTGGGGCAGAGGGCCAGCCAGCTGCTGGGAGCTTTGGCCCAGGTGGGACATCACGTGTCATCTTGGTGCCCTCTGCAGTGTTTGCCCCCCTCCTCCGTCTTTCTCCGCCCCCTGGAGACCACGATTACATCTACAACCTGGACGAGAGCGAAGGTGTTTGTGACCTCTTTGATGTGCCTGTGCTCAACCTCTGACTGACAAGGGATGTGCTGAGTGTGGCTGGGTCCCGGGCTGGCTGACCTGGGGCCTCTGCCCACCCCACCCCACCCCACCCCACCCCACATAGCTCCTGGCTCCCCCAGGCCCCATCCCCTGCAGATTTGGTCACAGCTCCCACTACTGCACTGGCACCTGTACTGTGCTACACAGCAGGAGAAAGGGATTCCGCTCCCTACGCCATGGCGCCAAGATGATCACGTCTCCTTTTCCAGAACCTTCCCAGCCCTGGCTTTACCGCCACCCAGTGGCACTGGCCTTCTTCCCACTCTGCCTCGGGCAGCTTGTCCAACCCCCTTTGCCCTGCCACCCCCTGGCTCCATGGGAGAGAAGCACCAGTGGTACTGAGTATTCACCAGCACCCCTCAGAGCCGTCTCTGCTGCTTCCTGCCCACTGCCTAAGGCTCCTCCTTGATCTCCCACTTGCCCCCTCTGGGCCCTGAGTCCTGAGCCCCTGCAGGTGGTGGGTGTTGACAAGAAGGAACAGGGCTCTCTCATTTGGAGCTCTCCTGGTTAGGGCCGAGGACTGACCCAACCTCCTGCTGTCCCATAGCTGCCTCTGCATTTCCACTTACTCTTTTGCCCTCATTTTAGAGCCATTTGCAGAGATTTAGAAAGATTTACAGTAACGAATGGATTCCTATATAAAGATTATTTTTATACTTTTTGCAGCAAAAGGAAATTGTAATATTTGTACAGTGTCCACGTGAATAAAGACCATGCCTAAGGCTATTTCTGACCTGGTTCTTTTGGGGCCCTTCTCTGAAGCTTGGCCGGAGTAGTGGTGGGACTTGGTGGGTCCCCTGGCAACTGCAGGTGGCCGGCAGGGAAGAGGGCCTAGGGCCGCAGCCGGCAGCCTACAGCCGACAGCCGGTCGGCTCCGCCCCACCTGCTGCACCTTGGGGAGGGGCGGGGCCGGCTCCATGGGGCGGGGCGGACCGAGTGCCCTCCCACCCCCGGACTCCAACCCGGAACTAGCCGGGACGCCTTTGGGAAGGCCGCGGCGCTTGGCCAGGAGTGGGAACCCGGACCGTGAGTGCTGTCCGCCGGGGTCAGGTTGCAGATAGAGGGCCGTCCTTGTGCCCTGGGGTCGCAGACCAGGTGCGCCGTCGGTGCCACATTTCCCGGCCTGTGGGCTGTGCTGGGGGCCCGGCTGGACCATGGCTCCCCCGCGGAATGTGGTGAAGATCGCCGTCCAGATGCGTGAGGCCATCCCGCAGCTCATCCAGCTGGATCAGGTCACTCAGCCTGTCCCACCTGTCCACCTTACTGCCTATCTCCAGGTTGCCCCTGTCGGAGCAGCCCAGCCCACCCCCTCCCCCAGGTTCCTCCCCACTCTTGGGCCCCCTGAGTGACTGCTCCACTTGCAGGCAAAGCCCCTGAGCACTGTGCTGAAGGAGCTGTGCGACGCGTGAGTGCTGGCCAGCCAGCTGGGGCCAGGGTGGGGGCAGGGCCCGAGGGAGGTGGCGTCCCTACCTGCCTCACTGAGCCTGGCCTGGGCGGTTGCAGGTGGAGCCTGACTCACTCTGAGCGCTATGCCCTGCAGTTTGCCGATGGGCACAGGAAGTACATCACCGAGACTGTGAGTCCCCACTCCCCCAGCCACTGCCTACATTCTTTGACCCCTGGAGCCCACCTAGCTAGCCCTGATTCTGGCAGACTTGCCACTCCCTGTCTGGAATGGGATCTTTTAAGGACCCCCAAATCCTGACAGCCCAACCCAACTGGCCGGTCTTAAAGGCACCCCTGACTTTGCCTCTCTCTGCTGTCTTCTCCAGAACCGTACGGAGATCAAGAACGGCAGCATCCTGTGTCTCAGCACTGCCCCAGTAACGCCCCTCCCGGCCCACCTTATCCCTCCCTGTCCCCTGCTGGGTCCTGCCCAGTGGTGTCCTACCTCATAGACACTGTCCCCGTGTTCCCACTTCCCTCCCTTCCCTCTGCCCAGCCTTCTCACCTCTGCTCCTGCTTCCACCCCTGCCAGGACCTTGAGGCGGAGCGGCTACTGGGGGCACTGCAGGGTGGGAGCCGTGAGGGGCGCCGGGATGCACTGAGGCACCTCGTCTTGCTAGCCTCTGACTTGACCTTTGCCCGCGAGGTCATCAATCAGGACGGTCTTCAGAGACTTGGCAGCATCATTGAGGATGGGGACGAGTGAGCACAGGCCTGGGGTGGGCTGGGGGCCATGAGGGGCTGGAGGGGCCTGGCCGGCTCCTGCTCAGTCCCAGCTGTCGCCCTCAGCCTCGGGGAGGTGCTGGCCCTTGGACTGAGGGCATTCTTGGAGCTCATGGAGCATGGCGTGGTGTCCTGGGAGACACTCAGCATCCCCTTTGTCAGGAAGGTGGGTTTGCTTTTCCCCGGGCTGCAGGTAGGGTGTGGTAGGACCTGACCTTCCAAGGTGACAGTGGCTCCCATCCACCAGGTGGTAAGCTACGTGAACATGAACCTGATGGATGCCTCAGTGCAGCCCCTGGCCCTTAGGTTGCTGGAGAGTGTGACTTTGAGCAGCCCTGCCCTGGGCCAGCTGGTCAAGAGTGAGGTGCCACTGGATCGACTGCTGGTACACCTGCAGGTGTAAGTCTTTGGACCTGGGAGACAGAGGGCGAGTAGGGAGCTTGCCTGTATGACTGCATCCTCCCCTCTTCTCATCATAGGATGAACCAGCAGCTGCAAACCAAAGCCATGGCATTGCTGACAGCCTTGCTGCAGGGGGCCAACCCTTCAGAACGGAAGGTAAGTGTCCCTCCAGTGGCCAGATGGTGGGTACTGTGTCCTGCCCTGTGGCTCCATCATCTGTGCCCCCTTCCTGCCTCCCTTAGCACATGCTAGACTACCTGTGGCAGAGGAACTTCCGCCAGTTCATCTACAAGGTAGGAAGAACTAGCCAGAGACTGCCCCCTCCTGAACCCTCTCTCCCAGTGAGCCCACACTCACGCCCACGGCCTGCTTGTTCTCCAGAACATCATTCACAGTGCAGCCCCACTAGGAGACGAGATGGCGCATCACCTGTATGTACTTCAGGCCCTCACACTGGGGCTGCTGGAGGCGCGCATGCGCACGCCGCTTGACCCCTACAGCCAGGTGTGTGTGTTTAGTGAGTGAGGAGCAAGGCTTGAGCTTGCCTGGAGTCTAGCATTGGAGCTGTGGTTCTGACCCATCCCCCAACAATGACCCCAGGAGCAGCGGGAGCAGCTGCAGGCCCTGCGCCAGGCTGCCTTTGAGCCGGAGGGGGAGTCCCTGAGTGCTGATCGTCGCCGTTCCCTTTGTGCCCGAGAGTTCCGCAAGTTGGGCTTCACTGTGAGTGACCCCTCCCCAGCTCCCCAGCCCTGCCTCAAGCCAGGGCTGGGGTCCTCCTGAGCTGCCCTATGTCCCCTCCCCACAGAATAGCAACCCAGCCCAGGATTTGGAGCGCGTGCCCCCAGGTCTGTTGGCCTTGGACAACATGCTCTACTTCTCCAGACAGGCACCCAGTGCATACAGCCGGGTCAGTGAGCGGGCAGGGGGCCAACGGCAGGCCACCTCCCTATTTAGGCCGGGTCCCCCCAGGAATTCCCTGCGACTCCATCCCATTCTCTGCTCCTGCCAACCCAGTTTGTGTTGGAGAACAGCAGCCGTGAGGATAGACATGAGTGTCCCTTCGCCCGGAGCAGCATCCAGCTGACAGTGCTGCTGTGTGAGCTGCTGCATGTTGGGGAGCCCTGTGAGTGGGGCAGGGCATGGGGAGTTCGGGGGCCAGGGACGGAAGGGCAGAGAGGGCCAGGGGTTGCATGTCTCTCCTCCCTGAGCCCCTCCTGCCCCCCTGCCCCAGGCTCCGAGACGGCCCAGGACTTCTGGCCCATGTTCTTCAGCCAGGACCACAGCTTCCATGAGCTCTACTGCGTGGCCATCCAACTGCTGAATAAGACCTGGAAGGAGATGCGGGCTACACAGGAGGACTTTGACAAGGTAGGGATGGGAGGGGGGATGGGAGGGAGGCCCAGGGTCAGGGCACAGAGCTGAACTTGGGGTGGCCCCAGGTCATGCAGGTGGTGCGGGAGCAGCTGGCCCGTACACTGGCCCTGAAACCGACCTCCCTGGAGCTCTTCCGAACGAAGGTGAACGCACTCACATACGGGGAGGTGCTGCGGCTGCGGCAGACTGAACGGCTGCATCAGGAGGGCACTCTGGCCCCTCCCATACTGTGAGTGTCCGGATGGGTCCACTGTCACAGCCCCACTTCCTCTGCTGCCCCCATGGGCCACACCCAGATCATTCTGGTCAGTGGTACCCACTCCACCCCAGGGAGCTGAGGGAGAAGCTGAAGCCGGAGCTCATGGGCCTGATTCGCCAGCAGCGTTTGCTCCGCCTCTGTGAGGGGACACTTTTTCGCAAGATCAGCAATCGGCGGCGCCAGGGTCTCTGACTGGCAGAGGAGGGGTAGGTGGGGGGGGTGGGTTGGGGTCCAGATGTCTCTCACCACTCCCTCGCTCCCCTCCACCCCTCTTCCCACAACAGACAAGCTGTGGTTCTGCTGCCTCTCCCCTAACCACAAGGTGCTGCAGTACGGGGACGTGGAGGAGGGTACAGCGCCACCCCCTACAGAGAGCCTGTCTGAGCAACGTAAGGCAGATGGGGCACGGGTTGGATACCTGCTTTCTCCAGATGATCCCATGGCACCCCCAGGAGTCAGCCAGTTTTTTCTGCTCCCCTTCCTTGCAGTCCCTGTGGCTGACATCAGGGGACTCCTGACAGGCAGGGACTGTCCCCATATCCGGGAGAAGGGCTCTGGGAAGCAGAACAAGGTAAGTGTGGTAGGGCCAGGGTCTCCTCCCCACCTCCCTGTCTGCCATGTTCTCTGCTTAGAGCTGTATTCCCTTGCTTCCTCAGGACCTCTATGAGTTGGCTTTCTCCATCAGCTATGACCGTGGGGAGGAGGAGGCGTACCTCAACTTCATTGCACCCTCTAAACGGGAGGTGAGTGTCTGGGCTAGACTGAGCTGGGCAGATGGGCATGGGGTACAGGTGGACAGGCCCTCACAGAGCTGGCTCCATCCCCAGTTCCACCTGTGGATAGATGGGCTGAGTGCCCTTCTGGGCAGCCCCATGGGCAGTGAGCAGACACGGCTGGACCTGGAGCAGCTGCTGACCATGGAGACCAAGCTACGCTTGTTGGAACTCGAGAACGTGCCTATCCCAGAGCAGCCACCCCCTATACCCCCACCGCCCACCAACTTCAACTTCTGTTATGACTGCAGCATTGCTGAACCTTGACACTGAGGTTGGCTAAGGGCTACAGTTGCCACCACTGTGGTAGGCATGAAAGGTGGAGGGAGAGAAATATAAGCACTGACCAGCAGAACCTGCAGCAGAAATAAAGTTGGCTTGGCTCTTGGGTATGCATGGAGCCAGCTCTGAACCCTGTGAGCTCAGCCTGTGACAGCAACAGTCTGCCCCTTTCGCCATCAGATATAGCTGGTGAATGAGGCAGGAATCAGGCCAAGACAGCAAACTTGGGCAACAATTGTTGGGGTAGGTGTTCTGGGGGACCTGTTCCCCTTTCAAGGGGAAACCTCGGCCTCCCCAAGTGCCTACCAAGAGAGGCATGGCCTACAGTCAAGTGAGAGGTTGGGGCTGCTGCCTGTGGAAGAAGTGGCAGAGACACATAGCACTAAATGGATGCTTCTCTGGGCAGCATTTCAGAGGCCCAGTCTATCAGCAATGCTTCCAGAAAGCTCCTGGTGGTCTGACCTCAGACCCCAACTCGACTTAGCCCTGACATATCCTTTGTGGGACACGCAGGCCTCTCTGGTGAGAAGCAAGAAAGGAGAGAAGTGAAGGGCAGGCTATATTTTCCCCCAGAGTCCCCCAGGCTGCTGATTCTGACCACAGCAAATTCTGTGTAGTCCTACATTCTGATGAGACCCTAACCTGGAAATACAGGGAGAGGGGGGCCACAGCCAGACAGTTGCCTGAGGACCAATGCAACAGGTGTTGGGCCCAGCTGCAGGACAGGCTCAGGAGGACATGTAGAAAGCATCTCTCCCTTCTGTCTTTTGCATGCCACTTTCTTGCTGTGCTGGTGCCTCTGCAAATACTGCTTTAACTGTGGATGGGTCATCATGTTACCCTGAAAACACAACATGACACCTTCTCTGGTGAGGTCATACTTTTGGAATCCTTGGGCCTCCAGCATCCTGTGGGTCCACACCTGGGCTCTGAGGCTCCCCACCCCACTCTGAATGGCCTGCCCTTGAATTCAGGGTGGGGGGGGCAGGGATCCCAGATGTGGTTAGGCTGCCATTGGTACCAATTCCTCCTGGGTGTGCTCAGTTTGTGTCCACACCCCATCATCATGGCAACAACCTGCCAGTTACCACCTTCCAGGGCTGCTTTTCCAGTCCTCCCAGGACCAGCTACTCCAATTGCTTTCACAAACAAATCTGATCTGATTATATACACACACCCTATATTCTTCAATGTCTCCCTTTTACCCCTAAGTTAACAGTCATGGTTATAGGAGTCCAGCTGGGTAGGCTCCAGATGTGGGCTTTGAACCACAAATGGGTGCTCATGGCTTGCAAGGGGAAAGCTGGCATCTTCCCTGCACGCCATCTGGGTCTACAATCCCCTCAGCTCTAACTCTAGCTCCAGCCTGATCATGTGCACCCAACAGGGTCCCCTCTGTCTGGACTGCCCACTTTCCTCCCTTCTGTCCATTCCTCTCCACTTTGTTCCTTCTTTATCTCTCGGGCCAAGTCCATTTTTCTTCCCTGCACACTGAATTTGCCCTGCCTGTTGACTTGTTTGCCTACCTGGCTGGTTTAGGGACTGGTAGAGCTTTGACCCCTCTCAATGCCCACAGGAAGCACAGTACCTGCAGGCACTTAGCACTGGCCACCTGCTCTAAGAATTGGTGGACAGAGGTCAGGCAAGTATGGAGATACCTGGAAAGCCAGCTGGACAGTGTACTGGAGCTGCTGTTGGGAAGTCACTGACACTGTTTAGGAAGTTGCACTGGACTTCTAAGTGACCTCTGTTAACCTCGCCTGCCAGAGGTCCTGCCCTCTTTTCCTCTCTCCCACTCTCTTAGTGGTTCAGGCATCAAGCTCTGTCTCCTGGGATCTGGCTGAGACAGGTTCATGTGGTATGTCCCTGTTACAGGGCACATTATGGGTACAGGGGAGAGACCTCCCAAGTCTTTTATCACGTGGAGCTGGGACGTGGCTGAGGGTCAGGCTGTGGAGCAGCCTGTGGGGCTCAGATCAGATGTGAGGCAGCACTTGTCTGTAACCCTTCATGTGTTCAGGTCTTCCCTCATCCTGAGCTGGGTCCTCCGCAATTAAGATAGGGGAGAGGCTCAATTCTTTAGTCTGAAAACTTGGGACAAGAAGGTAAGGTGTAGAATTTTTAATTTTGTCCGGTTTTACAAGAGGCCACAGGCTGACTGCATTGCTAAAGCTCAGTGCTTACAGGGGCTGGGATAGTGCCCGTAGGAAGAGGGAGTGCCCAGGCAAGTGGCACAGGACTTGCTTCTGCTGTTACCAGAACCAGCCCACTGCAGGCCTGACCATCTGATCAAGGCATCCAGGGCAAGGAGAGTAAAGCCTGTGGCAGCAACACAGCTGGCACTTGCAGGGACCTGCAGTAGTGCATGTGCTGGGCTGTGGGCAGACTAGAGCAGGAAGTTCTCAGGGAGCCCTGGGCTTGCCCCAGCCCCAGCCCTGGTTTTGGACAAAGGGTGTGCTGAGGTACTGAGTCAAACTCCAGACCAAGAAGGCAGAGTTGGGGGTGGTGGAGTAGAGGAAGCTGAGCTGCAGGCTGCTCGTCCATCTGTCCTTATAGTGTCAGGGTCAGGTCAGCCCCTCCCACGAAACGGGACTGAATGCAGGTCACCTGGGGCAGTCGGGCTCGAAAGCGCCTGATGGCGGCCATGTCGATGCTGGGGCACATGGCCACATCCAACACCCTCAGTTGCTTGCACTCCTGCCCAATGATGTCCAGTGCTCTGCAGGGAAGCCAATGGCTAAGGGCCTGGCCTGCCCTAGCCAAACCCAGCCCAGCCCCTGCTCTGTGTTCCCCTCACTCACTGCTCTGTGAGCTGACTACAGCTGGACAGGTTGAGGTGCTGCAGCCTGGGCCAGGACCCTGCCTGGGCCCAGCCCTCATCGCTGAGGCGGCCACAGTGGCTCAGCGCTAGGTGCTCCAGGCTGGGGCATCCCCTGGCCACGGCCACCAAGCCCAGGTCAGTGAGTGCTGGCAACAGGCTCAGGGAGAGTTGCCTCAGCTGGGGGAACTGGAGCACCTGCAGGAATGGGGGTGACATGGAGTGGGCCATGGGGAATCCAGAGCCTGGGGCCCTTCCACATTCCTCCACCCCAGGCCAGGGGCATGAAAACAGGGAGCAGAAGCTCGTGAGACAAACTCAAGGTTTCTTGGAAAAATGCTGGAAGGCCCGGGGTCCTCAGCCCCACACCTTGGCCAAACTGGCATCGGTCAGCTTGCTGCAGGCTGTGAGGTCCAGCTCCTGCAGGGCTTGCAGCGAGAGCAGGGAGGCGCCCTGGGGCTCCAGCGACGGCTCCTGAGGACCTGAGTCTGGAAAATCCAGCCCAGGAAATAGCTGTGGGTAGAAACTCCTGCTGCTCAGCTTTTTTTCTGAGCTGGCTTTCAAATGTTCCTCAAGACAGACTCAGGAGACAGCTGAGCCCAGGAACCTCCAACCCCCTACCACAGCCTTGAGGGTCTTGCACCTGGGGTTTATGCGTGGGTTCCTCACTTGACTCTCCGAGCCCCAGAAGCCCCCAGTCACGGAGCTCCTTGCACCAAGCCAGGCGCAAAACTGAGAGGTGGGTGAGGCAGGTGCAGATGGCTTGCACGGTCTGGTTGGTGAGGGACACACAGGAGGACAAGTCAAGCACCCGGAGGCTCGGGCTCAGCCCTGGGATCATGGAGAACACTGAGGCGTCCTAGGAGGGTGATGGGGACAGATGAGCAGCGGGTTGGGCCTCTGCCAGCAGACTTGGCAGGGTCTGCTTCCCACCCCAAAGGCAACAAGGAACTATTAGATGACCCAAAGAGAGAAGCAACAAAATCCCTCCTGTACTGGTAGCAAGAGATCAGAATGAAAAGGGTGGGCCCTGCCAGTGGAAAGCCAGGAGGAGGTTGCTGGAGGACAAAGACCAGGCCTATGGCTGGGGCACAAAGGATGTGCATGGAAAATTCTAAGGTAGCTGCCCCATCTGCTCCCTTCTTGTTGAAGGGGTGGGCTGAGGCAGCCTTATGACCAGGGCAGATTGGACCAGAGGTGGCCGGCTGGCTCTGGCTGAGCCAATGAGATGTTTCCTATATAATTATGGGATGGCAGCAGGAGCCAATGACAGCATACAGGCAGCTGGTTTGTAGAGTGTGGTACCACAGAGGCACAAGAATATGGGTCCAGAGAGAGCAGCTAAGAGGCCAGTGGGAAGAGGGGCAGGGAGGAAATGAAGGCAGAGAGCGAGGCTTCAGCTTGGGAATGCCCTGTTTGCACTGACAGGGTGAGCACTGCAGCACAGAGGGGCAGGCCTGAGCTCTGATTTAGGAGCTGGCCTATGCCATGAAATGACCTTGCGGCTCCCACTGCCTCCTGAGGCTCTGACTGTGTGCCTTCTTCACCCCATTCCCTTCCTGCACCCCTGCCTCCCCAACGGTGCCCCTCCCCCAGCCTGCAGCACCCAGTGGGTACTTGGCATGTGGAGTACTGGGCTGAATGTCCCTCTCCCTGTACCCCCAAGAGCCTCAGGAGGGGTGCTGGCAGCAGCTGCTGAGGTTTCTGTCCTTCCAGGCTGTGAGCCCAAGTTTCATGGCTCACTGCCAGCCTGTGGTCCCTCCCAGACCCAGCCCCCAGAGTGAAGGACAAGAACAGTGGGCTCACCTTCAGTGAAGAACAGTAGGCCAGCATGAGGGAGGCCAGGGGGCGTGGCACTCCATTCACAGGGCCCAGAGCCTGGGCCAATTCCCGCCCGCTCACCAGGCAGCATCCAGCCATGTCCAGACTCCGCAGGTGTTGCAGGCCCCCCAGGGCTGTACATCCTGCATCTGTCAGGCGCTGCAGCTTCCCCAGGCATAGGCGCTGCAGGTGTCGCAGGCCCCGGCCCACGGCCAAGAGTGCCCCATCAGTCAGTTCTGAGCATCCACTGAGGTCTAATGAAGTAAGGCCTGGCTGCTGGCGGCACAGGGTAGCCACGGCCTCTGTGGAGAGATCTCGACAGCTGTGCAGGCTCAACTCCTGCAGCTGCAGCCCAGCCACTTGGCCCAGGGACTTGAGGGCCTCGGCTTGCAAGCCAGTGCCACCCAGGTCCAGGGCACGCAGCCTGCTGGCTCTCTCCCTCACAAATCGGAGCAGGTTGCTGAAGGAGAGTTTGGAAGGGGGGTAGTCCTGGGAGCCAGCAGAGCCCCGGGCCAGGCCTGGCTCGAAGGTGAGGTGACAGTAGGCCAAAGAGAGGCGTTCCAGGCTGGGTGCACAGCTGCTGAGCTGATTGAAGCTGGGGTCAGCCAGGTCCCGTAGGCCAGCCAGGTGGAGCTCTCGGAGGCCACTCAAAGCCTTCCGGACACTTTGTGCTGTCTCGGGTTGGGCCAATAGTGTGCCTGATGTGAAGAGGCTGTTGCAGCCACTGAGGTCAAGTATACGCAGGGCTGGGCAGCCCAGGATCAGGGCCACAAAGGAGGCCTCCGTGGGGCTGCCTCCACCCAGGCACAAGCTCTGCAGATGCGGGCCTAGGTAGTGAGCAACAGACTGCAGTACCTGTTGTGAAGCTGGTGAAGCATCCAGGTTGATGAGGCCAATGCAGGAGATGGCCCTGAGGCCCAGTCTCTTGATGGCTGGGAGGGAGGCAGGGGACACGGGAATGTTGTACCGCACGTTGATCTACAGGGCAGCAGTGGGCCTGAGGTCAGTCTTCCACCCAGGGCCCTTCCACAGTGAAACCCACCTCAGTGGGTGGAGTCATGTGGTTGGGTGGGCAGGGGTATGGGAGGGAGTGGAGCTCAGGATCTGTCACACTGAGAGAAGGTTGTAGGGGAAGGTTAGTGATGGACATGACTGGATGCTAGGTAGAGAGGGGGTCAGGGACACAGTGGGGTAATGGCACATTGAGCATAGGGGGGCTGGAATATGACCCAGAGTCCAGAACACAGCAAGCCAGATCCCAACTTTTGGGACTTTCAAGAGGCTGTTTCATTGACTCAGTCTTATGCCAGGGAGTTGGTATTAGCTAAGTGGCAAGCCCACTCACTTCCTAGGAGCCCATTCAATGCCTTCAGGGGAACTTAAGACAGGAAGAAGCAAGACAGGTGTTACTGCAACTCTACAGCCCAAGAGCCAGGGGACTGGGAAAAGCAGCAAGTCCTAGGTCCTCTGGTGGCCTGAGAATATCTCAGGCACATGAATGTTCACAAGATTCATTGTGTGTGTGCGCATGTACGCACACGTATGAACTAAGATGCAGACTACCCAGGATTGTGCCCTGGCTGCCTGAGTTCAAGATGTGATTGTGATTGTGGGGGTCAGTGTGATGGTCCAATTGGATGCAAATGCTGGCATCCTGTATGGGCACTGGTTTATGTACAGCTGCTCTACTTCCCATCCAGCTCCTTGTGACCTGGGAAAGCAGCAGAGGGTGGGTCAAGGCCTTGGGACCCTGCATCTGTGTGGGAGACCTGGAAGAGGCTCCTAGCTTCGGATCAGCTCAGCTCCAGCCTTTGCAGTCACTTGGGGAGTGAATCATTGGGTGCAAGACCTTTCTGTTTCTCTTCTCTAAATATATCTTTCCAATAAAAATAAAATTTAAAAAAATGTAAATGTGTTTGTGACCCTGCAACACATTTCTGAACCAGACAACTTTGAGTCTGAGGAAGGAAGGAAGGAGAAGCCCCCCATTTCTGTGAACACACTGCAACAGGGCAAGTCTCAGAAGTCCCTGCTTATATCCACACACAGGGAATCAGACAGCATACAGGATGTGCTCTGGCAAGCTACTTAGCAATAGGATTCTTCCAGGAAACATGGAATCCGTTCCTAGGGGAGAAACTGGTCTGGTTTCTGCCTGAGAGAGCTGCAGCCATGTACAGCGGCCATGATGAAAAGGAGTGTGGAGAAGGGACAGAAGCCAGCTTCTGGCCTCTTTCATAGAAATCAGGGGCCCCCATTTCTGGTCATTCCTGACGAGGGGAGTGTTCGCCACAGCTCCCCTCCTGCTGGGGTCATGGAAGCTCTTCCAAGGTCCATTCAACTCCCACATGCAAGGAGAGCTGGGGTGGATCCTGGTGTGAGGGTGGAGAGAAGGATGAGGACAGAGCAAATGCTTTTAAAAAGAAGGAACGGCATGCACCCAGCCACTGCCACCATCCCTGATTGACAGGTAAGTCAGTCTCATCCTGGACACAGGAAATGCTTGTGACGGAGCTGGCTGCAGGGCCATGCCTGCCCTCTCCCCTCACAGATGGGGAGCCCGTGAGCCCCTCAGCCCCTGCTCTGGCAACTGCAGCCATGGCAGGTGCTTAGCCTATCTTTCATGAGCACATGCATGCCAGGAATGCGCTCCCCACTCCGCTGCCTCCCTGTGACCAAAGTAGACAGGCAGATCTGAGGCAGCACCTTAGGGCCCAAGTCCATGGCTGGCTGCCCACATGGAGCCATCTGAAAAACAGGCAAGAATTGCCTGAAAGGAGCTCCAACGACTGGAAGGGAGCGAGGGAAGGTGGCGACCACCCTGGTCTGCCATCATTTTGCTTGGTGGGGTGGAGATGGCAGCTAAGTCTATACCCTGCTCTTGAGATCACCTGGACTTAAACTGCAAGGGCCCAGGAAAAGCCCTTCCAGGATACTTATCTCTGCTTTCTTTCTGACACACTTAATTGTGGGAACCAACTGCTTTCTGAAGTCACTCTAGGTAATATCAACACAACATGCCCAAATTTGAATTAACTGTTTTATCTTCCTTCTTGAAAAATCTTCACACCTTCCAGGGAGGTTTGAAGGGAGTGCTGAGAATCTGGGTGTTTTGGAATCGACCCTATGCCCACGTCCACAACACCCAAAGTCCCTTCGTGCCATTTCCCTGCCCCTCTGCTGCCCTCCCCTGCCGCCTCAGTACGGTCCCATGTGCTCCACTAGGCATATCACAGCATCCTCTTCTAGGTCCTGGCCTCCAGTTCTCTGATCCCAGTTCACCCTGCTCTCGTCACCAGGACGTGCCTTCCAGAGGGCAAATCAGACCATACTCTTCACATTCTCAGTTGGGGCCCCATGTGCACAGGGTATGGTGAGGTTTCCTGGCTACCCTCCAAAGCCCTGCATCCTTCTCCAGCCCACCTCTTGCCATGCCCATTCTCTTTGTTTCCCAGTTTCATGTGCCATGCTGCCTGCTTCCACTCAGCAATCTTTTCTGTTGGGCAGACATTGGTTCCTGGCTCAGGCTCAGGCCAAACACTCCCTTCCTAAATGCTTTCCCTGCATTCCCAATGTGCCTCATGTGTGTGTAGATTTTGAATGCAAGACCCCAGACTCCTTTTAGCTTCTGCTTGCTCCCCACCCTCCCTACTACAGATTCCTAAGCGCTGTGTCTTCCTCTGTGCTGTCCCCCACTCTGCACCCCGCTCCTGCACAGCATCAGGCATTGACGATAAGCCTGGATGTCCACAGCCTCTCTGTGTGTCTCTGGGAATTTTCCATCTTCCTTCTGTCCTGTGACCACTCCCAGGCTCTCTGCTGAGGCCCTGACTGCCACCTCTCTTCCCACTATCCTGAGACAACTTGGCCTCCAAAGTGCCCAAACAAAGAGGCCACTGAGGAAGTGGATGCTCCGAAGCACTTCCTCCACAAACAACTCTGCATTCCCACCCCTGCTTCCTCAGGAAGAGGTGACATCCTCCCTATCCTCCCCAAGTCAGCTCTGTGCACCGAAGCCTGTCTCCGCCCCCACTTCAGGTGGCACCTGCCATTCCTGACCCCTCTCCTCTGTACATTCATCCCTTCTCTAGTGCCTCTTTTGTAAACACTTTAACACATTTTGAAATTTCTCCTAATCAAGATCCCTTTGTCAAGCCCACCTCAAAGCTCTCATTTCTGCCCTACTTAAGGTTATTTATTTGAAAGGCAGAGCCAGAGAGAAAGAGAGAGAGTGTGTGTGTTTATCTCTACCCATTAGCTCTTTTCCCAAAGGCCCAAAACAACCATGGCTGAGCCAGCTTGAAGCAAGGAGCCAAGAACTCCACCAGGTCTCACACATGGGTACCTGGGCCCCCAAGGACTTAAGCCATCATCTGCTGCCTCCCAGGGCACACAATAGTAGGAAGCAGGATTGGATGCTGAGGCAGGGCTTGAACCCAGGCATCCCAAGTGGAGGTCTAATTTGCTTGGTCACAACACCCTCCCCTCATCTCTGTCCCACTAATTTCCTTCCTCCCAGGAGGAAATTCCTTGCGAGTGAAGTCACTCTGCATTTCCTTTCATCTCTCATTCAAGCCCTCTGCCCTCCTGGCTTTCTCCCCATGCTAAATATTCCAGAAGCTTTTGGAATCGCAGATTATGGACATTAGCTGCTACCTACTTTGCTGGATTCTGTGGCACTTACCACTGTCCGCTCAGTCCTTTACAGGCTTTCCTGGTTGTTGCTGTTGCTGGTTTTGACTTTGTTGCCTCTTCTTTCTCCTCAGCACCCCTTCTCTAGGCAGCTCCCCATTCCCAGAACCCTGCACCCGTGTCCCACCCTGGGGAATTCTCTGGGAGAAGCTGCTCAGCAATGTGGCTTCAACATCCATCCATTTTTTCAAAACACTCATATCTATGTTTTACCCAGAACATTCTCTTGAATTTCTCACACAGAAGTCCAACAATCCTGGATGTCACCAAAGATGACTCACAAGTCTAAAATCAAACTCCTTTAGCCAGCGACATCAATGACACTGAGAACTCAACAGCAGGCCCTCTTTATATCCACTCATTCAACACATGACTTTCAAATTAACAGGCCAGGGGAGATAAAACACAAATGGTGATGTGACTATTTGAAAACAAATCAGTTTAGCTTCTCCACATTATCAAAATAAATGTCACCAATGAAATGAAAAAACAAAACAAAACAAAAAACACAATTCAGACTAGAAGACAGAAAAAACAATTGTGCTGTAAATGTAACACTTCCTTTAAAAAGAAAAAAGTCTATTTTAAAGAAAACAAAAGAAGAAAAATATGAATGTATATTTATGAAATTTCTGAAAGGGTCTTTTATGTTTAAGAAATAAGGAAACAAATAAAAAAGATGCCCAGAATCACCAACTTAGAGATTTAATTTCTGTATCTCATCAATAAAAACATCTGTAAGTCAAAAGAAAAATATACTAAGAATATACTTCAACAAATACATAAATATCTTTAATATATAAACATATCATACAAATTGAAAAAAAATCAAGACAATAGTTAAGTGGATAAAGAACATGAAAATACAAAAAAAGGAAACTACAAATGGCCAACTAATGAGAAGAACTCTTCAACTTCATTAACAATCAAAGAAATCAAAATGAAAACAATGAGCTACCACTGCTTGCCTTGTCTGCATTTATCTCCCAGCTGGGCAGCTTCCTTAGATTCAGTCCATTCTGCACTGTGGTTTTTTAAGGCACAAAACGCATTTTGTCACTAGCCTGTCTCAACACAACAGTGACCAAGAGAAAGCCCAGGCTCTGGCTCAGCCAGCCTCATCCTTGCCACCTCTCCCACACACACAGCTTAGCTCCAGCCACAGGGAACTTGTAAGGTCATTGCCAGAACCATTCTACCCCTTGAGGGCTTCCTAGTGCTGTTATCAGTCCTGGAAGATCAACCTTTCCCCTCACCCTATGTCTCCAGGAAGCCTTTTGTAAGGCTGTCGCTGTCCTGTGGCCACCCTTCTCTATGACCCACCTAGTACCCTTTCATTCCAGTGCCGCAGCACAATCATTCCTGTGATTTGTCTTCTCCTTCAGTCGATGGGCCCCCCTTGGGGAACTGTGTCTTCTTCATGTGTTGAACCCCAGCACTGCAACCCCAAGTCCTGTGTGTACACATGTATGTAAGTACGTACATATGGGCATGGATGGATGGATGGATGATATATGAGCAGGACAACAAACAGGCTGGGAAGATAACAGAGGATGGGCAGGGTAGGGGTAAGGGCCTTACCTCCCGGAGGGCATTCTGAGCTGCACAGTACCAAGTCCGGTTCACGAGTGAGGCTTCTTTCTGATCTGACAGAGGCAGGAAGCTCAGAATATATGTGAGCATCTGATGGAAAAAGACAGGTGTTGGGGGCTGTTAGAAGAGTGGCTTTTGGCACCTACTCCAGTTGATAAGCACTGTGGGTCTGAGGGCACCTCCTCTCACCAGCCTCAAGGTATCTGTGGAAAACGAACCTTTCCTGACATCTGTCTGGGTGAAACTTGTCCCACCTAACAGCAATCAGACATCCTACCCAATTGGATTGAAAAACCTTGTGCAGGGGGTCTTATAATTACACCTTTTTTCTCTAAAAATGGCAACTATAGATTTAAATGAGTTGTTATAAAAATGATTTAATGTAGTAAAAGAGCTTGTAGAGCAAGTTAGGTGTTCCTTTTCTGATTCCCAGGAAATTATAGCTCTACTTCCTGTCCTTACAGGTCAAGGTCTGGGACAAACATACACACCTTTCCCATTTTTCTCCACTGCCAACTTGCCTTCTCAACCAGCTGATAAGATTCAGTTCTAGTAAGACCCAGGCTAGGAGGTGCTGGCCTTCCCTCCACCTATGTAAGAGGGTGCAAGGCTACAGGTAGTTAAGACTGGAAGTCCTAAAGGGGCCTGGGAACAGAGATGGCTGTGAGGCCAAGGTTGTTTACTAGTCACTATTTTTGGAATCTTCCTTCCTTGAAACCTATCAGATTATTTTCTAAAGTTTCACCCAGCATTCCAACTGCCCTGCTTCTGGATTCTTTTGTGGCTACCAGGGCTCAGATCTGGGTCTTCTGATTTTCTGTTTACCAATTCAGAAATAACACTTAATAGTCTCATATTCTTCTATTATCTAAGTGCTAGTTCAGTATTACTGATCAATTATCCACTGAATCTGTCACCCAGATGCTTTTACCATGCCCCTAACCTCAAGTGAGATTCAAATTCTGGCTCAGTTCAAAACAGCCCCTCCTCCCAACTTCCCCCTTCAGTGCCAGTGGTGCACCCCACCTGAAGGTCTGCAGAGTATTTTTGACTCTTCATATTCATGCAAAGCACGGGTATTCAAACAGGCTAATCTCATTTTCTGCCAGATTCAGTCTAACCCCAGCTCTAGGACTTCATAGGTGGGTGACCTCAGGCAAGATGTTTGACCCTCCTGAGCTTTAGTTTCCATATTTGCAAGACAAATACATTTTTTAAAAATCCAGATGACAAGCTTCAACTTTATACATATAAATATATCATGTATGCATATTGTATACACAATGCTTGACAATTCACAAATGACCAATGGATTGCTGTTACTGTTCTACCTTTGCAATCTTACCACCTTAGTGGTCAAGTTTTGATCACTCCAGACCCAGATTCCTCCCACAGTCTCCCACCTGACTTTTTGGTCTCCAATTTCATCCTTGATAATCCATTCAATAAAATATCTTTTTTCTCCAATCGCAACACATCCCTGATGAAAACCTCCAGGATTTCCCCAATTTCCCAGGATAACATCTCCACTCCTGGGCGGCAGCACTGCTAGGCCTCCATGCTTGGCCAGATCCAGTCTCCCTACTGTTCTACACAGCATGTCTGCTTCCTTTGGCCTACATGGGCCTCTTTCCTGCCATGCCTTTCTTGAACCCTGATGTCACAAGCCCATTCTCACCTCTCCTTCCAGCAGAAAGGAGGTACCTGGTCAATACTTAAACTGCTTTAAAACAAGGACAGACAATCCTCTACCTCTATTTTCACCAAAAGTTTGCTCTGGGAAGGAAGGGGCAGGGAGATGAAGCAGGCAATTACTTTGAGGAGCACAGGGAGAACAGGCTTTGGAGCCAAGGGGGCTGGGTGTTTGGGGAGGACAGTATTGATGGGGATTGAGAGGGATTGAGACTGACCAAGCAGCAAAGCCTGTCTTGTAGGGGCTGAGCCACCCACCCCAGGAGCAAAGCTGTTACCATTGGAAGAAGTTGGGAAACTATTCGTTAAGCTGGGAAGGGTGTGGGGGGGTAGTGGGTTGATCTTTCCAAACTGAAGGCAGGGCTGATGATGAAGTGCCTATCCCACTGAACCCCATCCCAAGGGGCTACTAGAGGATGTATGCAGATACATGGTTATCCTCCAGGGCCAAGCAGTCCAGGGGTGCCACTGTAGGGGCCTCCGTGCAGTGGGAGTAGGTCTATTTTCTGCTAAGGGCAGTAATTATCATTCCAGGTTTGATGGGAAAGGGTGTCCTGTGCCCAGACAAGACAGGCTGCCAAACCTCAGGGTAAGGGAGGGAGAGGCATTCCAAAAGCCAAGGGCCAAAGCCGCTATCTCCCAGCTGGGGCGAGCAGAGCGCTTTTACAAACATCCCGTGGTGGGGGGAGAGGGGTACAGGATGCCATCACTAGGGGCCTAGAGTGCGTCGCAGGCCTGTCCTCACTTTAGTCCTCAGCCATCAATTCCGGAGTTGAAACAGACTGCTCCACGCTGCCAGGGAGAAGAGGCAGCGTCTCTCCCTGGCCGACTATCCTATCCCCACGGGCCAATGAGGAGGAGGCCGGTTACGCTTCGGGAATGACGGCATGGAAAGGACATCTTCCAGAAATGAGGGGAAGGGACGGCCAGCTCCAGGGAAGGGGATGGCCAGAGCACCTGTCTTTGCTAGGGTGACAGGGCAGTCTCCTGGGGCTGAGAGGGAAGGAGAGGATGGTCCCCCAAGCTAAGGGGATGGAGTGGCCCCAAGACGGGGCCGTTACCGAAAGCTGGCAGGTCCCGGAATCCGTCTGGCGTGTTATTACCGCCACGAGGGAGGGGCCGGGTTTAGCTTTCTTACAGCCCCTCCCCCGAAGCCCGGGACCCCGAAGGCGGGGACTGTCCGGACATAGGCCTGAGGACGGCTTCCTCTCACCTCCAGAGGCAGCGACTCCGCCATTGCATCCCCGCCGCCTCCGCCCCCGCGCGGGGATTTCTGGGAAATGTAGTCCCGCCTGCACTTGGAGGCGGTGCTTGGGAAGGAAGTGGACCCCCATTTCCGTACAGGAGCCTGACGAGTTCTTTCTGCACCGGAAGTGCATGCGCTGCCGATGTGGTACCTACTGACTGCAGCTTAGTTGGTTTTCGGTTCTTTATCCTGCCGGGCCTTTGCTTCGCATCATGGCGGTAAGGAGGGCTGAGGAGAACGTGGTCTGCATAGGCAGAGCGTCCGCGGGAGGCTGGAAGGGCGTACTCCGATTGCTAGACTGTACTAGAACGAGCGAGGGGAGGGCAGATGGCAGCGCTGGACCGTACCAGAATTGGGGTTTTTGGGGGAGGTGGGCTTCCGAGCTGGAGCTGAGCTGCAGCAGCAGAGATCTGAGAAACGCCATTCATTTCCATGCCAGAGTGTCCCCAAGGGAGTTATCAGCCCCTAATTGAAACTGGCTGTCCAGTTTAGCCTGGGAATGGGCTGTCTGCGGGCGAGAAGACGCAGCCACAGCAGCTGGGGGTGGGGGTTGGGGTGGTTGTAGGGGAGATGGTGTCAGCTCTCCAGGGGTGGACGCAATAAGGGACAGCTGGAGATTCCAGGGATCGTGTTCGGCTTTAGCGCCAAGGGACCCAACTGAGGGGCCGATGGAGCACTGGTGAGCCAACCCCAGGTGGTGGGGGCTATGAGCACAACCAAGGTGAAAAGGCCTGATGTCTCACTTCATCTCTGCAGCCCAAGGGCAAAGTGGGCACGAGAGGGAAGAAGCAGATCTTTGAAGAGAACAGAGAGACCCTCAAGTTCTACCTGCGCATCATCCTGGGGGCCAATGTAAGTACCTTCCTCCCTGTTTCTGTGTGCGACTGGAGATCCATAGGCCTGGGCGCTGTCTGGTGAGGTGTGATACCCCGATGCCAAGGCCACAGCAGAGAACAGCAATCAGAAACACCAGAACACAAACAAGACGGAATGAAGGGCATGAGGTCTTGTTGGGTTGAGCAACCTGTCCACCCCCAAACACAGGGTTTCTTGAGGGGTAGGCATTTGGTACAGTCGTTCAAGCTGCCATTTGGGAGGCACCTCTTCTACAGCAGAGGGTTCAAGTCCTGCCTCTGCTGTCCATTCCAGCATCCTGCTGTTGGCACCCTGGGTAGTGGCAGATGATGGCCAAGCAGTTAGTCCTAGCTGCCCACTGAGTAAACCCAGATTGAGATCCAAGCAACTGGTTTTAACCTGGCCCAGCCTGGCTGCCTGCTGAAGGCATTTGGGGAAGGAACCAGTGGAGGGGAGAACTCTCTCTGCCTTTCAAATAAATAATAAAAGGAGAAGAATAAATATAAGAATTTTTTTCTGGGTTGACTTGGGTGATTGGATACTTGGAACTCAAAATAGGGCCCTTCTCCAAACCCTAGAACAGCTTCTTCCTATGGCCAACTTGAATGATTAGATTTGAGGGAGGCCCATAGTTTGGGGTAGCTTTTTACTTTATTAATTTATTGGAGTGACAAAACTTCCATTTACCACTTTACTCTCCAGATACCTGTAACAGCCAGTGCTGGGCTAGGCTAAAGCCAAGAGCTGAAAACAATCCAATTACTTGTGCCGTGACCTGTTGCTCTCCAGGCTATGCATCTGCAGGAAGCTGGGTTGGTGGCAGTCAGGCATTTCAACATAGGGTGTAGGTGTCCCAACAGGCACTTGGAAGTGCCAAGACCCACCTGCTGGCAGCTTTTGACCTCAGCCTGATCCTGTGTTTGTTTATAGGCCATCTACTGCCTTGTGACCTTGGTCTTTTTCTACTCCTCTGCCTCATTTTGGGCCTGGGTAAGTGTCCTTCCAGGAAGCAGATGGGCACAGTGTCCATAGGGTGAGTGACTGGTGGCCTTGACTTCCCCATTCCTCTTGCCCTGCAGATGGCTCTGGCCTTTAGTCTGGCAGTCTACGGGGCCAGCTACCACTCGATGAGCTCGATGGCACGGGCAGCCTTCTCTGAGGATGGGGCCCTGGTGGATGGTGGCATGGACCTCAACATGGAACAGGGCATGGCAGAGTGAGTGTCCCCCACCGCCAGCCCAGGTGAGCGGCCCCAAGGCTGGGGCGCTGGGACCCCTATAGCCCATGGTCCACAGCTCCTTGCACCTTGAAGAGGGCAGAAGGGAGCTGGACTGGGGCCCATCTGCTGTCCTCAACAGACTCCCTTCCTTCCCCAGGCACCTCAAGGACGTGATCCTGCTGACAGCCATCGTGCAAGTGCTCAGTTGCTTCTCCCTCTACATCTGGGCTTTCTGGCTTCTGGTATGTGGGCTGAGGGGTAGTGGAGGGAATGGCGGTGGGAGGCTCCAGGATTGGGCATCGACCCTTCCCTTTCTCTCATTCCTAGCACAAGGCTTCAAGTTACCTTTTCTCCCCTAGGCTCCAGGCCGGGCCCTTTACCTCCTGTGGGTCAATGTGCTGGGCCCCTGGTTCACGGCAGACAGTGGTGCCCCGGCACCAGAGCACAATGAGAAGCGTCAGCGTCGACAGGAGCGGCGGCAGATGAAACGATTGTAGCCATGGATGTGGTCATGAGCTGCCGACCCTTGGGTGGCTCTTAGAGAGCTGCCTGGCCCCCATGCCTGGAGCAGAGAGGACCACAGGGCTCATGGAGATCTGGAGTGTAGGATTGTTGAATAAACAACTGAATGTAAGCAGTGGCTGTGGGTGATACTGAAGGGACGGGGCCAGAGCAGCTAATTCTCTGGTGTTTCCCTCCTGCTACACACCCAGGCCTGTGGGGACCCTGGAAGCAAAATGCTCTTATATTAGCTAAGAAAACTTTATTTTGGCCTGTGAGTTCTGAGCGTGAATACACACACACATTCACACACACACGGCTAATACTGCTCAAGGTACTGGCCCCTGGGCCTAGAGTCCTAGGGCCAGAATAATGCTCTGGGCCTTCCTCGCTCCTGCAAGCCAGGACCTCCAACAGGCAAGAGTCCCGATGCATCTCCTGGAGGCAGTGCCTTCAGACCTCCAGGCCAGAAGCCTTGCTGAGTCCCAGTGCCTGCACCAGGTCATCTCCCAGCCCACTTTTCAGCGTCCGTCTCACTGTAAACAGGGCAGAGTTAGAGGGGGTCGACAAGGTTAACGAGGGCAGCACACTGGGTTGGGGTTGAGAGCATACTCACAGGACTTGCGGTTGCCACGGGAACGCTTGCGCTCCTTAGCAGCCACGACACGCGGACTGCTCCTGGTTACTGACTGCACCAGCCTGTCCATGATCTCATCTGAAGGGTCACTGGAGCCTGGCGGTTCCTCTGGAGGTGCAGTGGGTGATCCCACCACTGTGGGTGCCACTGGGGAGCTGCTCTGCACCATGCCTGAGGAGAGGCCAAGAGAGATGTCATGCCAAGTCCACCCCAGAACTCCTGCACCAGCTCCCACCCCTGAGCAGCTGTGCGCCCCACCTCTGCTTCGGCGGTTGTGCGTGGTGTCCTCAGGCCTGCTGACCAGCAGGCTCTTCATGCTGGCATGACTGTCGGCATCATCTGGGCCAGGCCCGCTGCCCACGGCCACTGGGACAGATGGGTGGCTGGGTACGTCCCCAGCCACGCCGGAGAACTTCTCTGTCTGGAGAGGGGAGACGGGTGAGCTGGGCGGAGGAGAGGCAGTCACAGGGCTTGCGGGCAACACCTGGAAGGGCATCCACCTCTGTGATCATGCGTCCCCGGGTCTTGTTACGCTCACGGTACGTGGCCCGCTTCTGCTGCTGCTGCAGCACCCGTTCCCGGCAAGTGCGGTACTCAAGTGCAAACTCGCGCAGTGTGTGGCAAAACTGCATGATGCGCACCTCACGGGCTGCCTGTGCCGTGTAGCCCAGGTAGAGCAGGAAGGCATGGAACCTGGGCAGGTTGAAGTGGGAGGGGTGGTCCCACCAAGAGCTGGAGGGGGAGGTAGGGGTAATCCTGCCTCTCCCTAGCCCACGCCTCTACCTGTTGCAGACACGCCGGTGTACCACCTGTAGCATGGCAACCCTGCGGCCACACTGTGCCAGAAAGTGTGTGAGGCGGGCACGCAGTGCGGGGGCCAGCTCGTGCTTGGCCAGGCCCCGCAGGTTCTCCTCAGCTGCCCGGCTCCGGCGCTCCAGCTGCCCCAAGTTCTCAGTCAGTTGCTCAAAGTCCACCTTAAAAGTAAAGGGATTTCAGGATGTCTCCCCTGCTGTCCCAAATAAACCCCTACTTGGAGGCAATTTCAAGCTGGCTGGTGTGGGCCCTTATGGAACACACCAAACTGAGTGCATGTGCTACTCTCCACAAGTTCCTGGTCTGTGCAAGAAGCAGACAAATCCAGCTCCAGTGAGGAAGGGAGGTTTCATGGCAGAAGTGACAGTTAAGCTGAGACTCAAAGACAGAGCAGGTACAGCCAGACAGATGGGAGAGTGTTTCCAGCTGAGGATGCAGCACACACCCGCAGCCTGAGCAAGCTCTGTCAGTGGAAGTAGGGGCAAGGGGAAGGAGACAGTTGGCAGCAGTCTCGGTCAGTTGTGGAGCTGGTGCTCACCTTGGCACAGCGAGTCAGGGCAGGGATTTCTGAGTAGAGGTCAGAGGACTCAGGTCGGCTCTGGAGGACCAGCGAGCAGAGATGGTGCAGCAGTGACTGCCGGCGCACCGTGTCCTTCACTTCGGACACCTTCTCCAGGTAGCTCAGCTCAAAGCCACTGCTCTGAAAGGACCCCGGCTGAGTATGAGCCTGCCTGGCTCCAAAGTCCTGCCATCCTCATCCCCACATGCCCTAACTCACTTGAGAGCCATTGAGGAAGTTGCCCACAGCCAGCAGGGTAGCCAGGATGCAGCGGAAGGTGGCATTGTGCACCAGCTGCTCCATTCCTACTTTGAGGTCAAATAGCGGTTCTGCAATTTCCTGGTGGGAGGTATCAAGAACTCAGGCTACATGTTCATCATATATACTTGTCCCCACCACCTGTCCCACTCCACGAGCCAAATACCCGCTCCATGCTGTCGTAGTCTAGCTTGAAGGCCCAGAGTTGGAGACGGGCAGCCAGGCCCCCAATGGAGGCGAGAGTCATCAGGAAATTCTCAGCTGGGCCCAGTGGTACGTCAGGGTTGGCCAGCTGGGCTTCCTCAATCTTCTGCCGCTCTTCCTCCGTGGGCATCATGGTCAGTAGTTTCTAAGGATGCAGCCATTGCACCAGTGGGCCTCTCAGTGCTGACCTGATGCTTCAGGCATCACTCCGATCCTCCCCGGGTCACCTAGGGAAGCCCCAGGGTCTGGGGACTGTGCTGCAAGAAGGCCAGGGCTATGCCTACCACTGGAGGGACAGCAGGTACCTACCAAGGCAGATGACAAGACCACTCACCCCCATCACTGTGAATACCCACCTCAATGCCATCCTTGCTAACAGCAAATTCATCAAAGTTGAGCAGGGCAGCCTTAATGACATGAACTGGTGGCAGTGTGGTTAGACCAATGTTGATGGCATTGCTGCGCTTGGGGTCCAGCACTGTGGTCATCGTTCGGCGGCCTTCTCCAGCTTTCTGCAAAGTTAGGTAAAGGGTAGTGGAACCATGGGGAAGAGATTAGCTGGGGTGACATCTGTGGGGCTGCTCCAGGGCCCTCCTGAAAAGCCAGAGGATCCCACAACTGGGGAACTGGGATATGTGAAGCATTCAGATGAGCCAAGATTCCAGTTAGGATTCTGCTGACCTGTTCCTGAGCTAAGGGGTCTCAGGAAAGTCCCTCTGCTTGTCTCTGCCTAAGTTTCCACAAGTGGAACTGAGTGAGGAGCTCCAATGGCTCAGCTCTTCCCGCCCTTCATGAGATTAGCTTGTGGGTCAGTAGGCTCACCTTGGAGGGAAGCACATCCTTGGCGCGGGATTCAAACAGGTGTTCCAGCCGGGCTGTGTCTACAGACACGGGCTCCAAGGAGGCCCATAGGGTGGGGCAGGGCCCAAAGCGGCTGCCAGAGCCCCTGCAGCCCCCAGCCAGCTTCAGCTCCCGCCAAAAGAGCTTCACTGTCTTCCTCTTGGTGGGGAGGACTAGGCCATCAGGCACTGAGGGGGGAGGCGGGGCAGTCAGGGGTGGAGGTGGTGGGAAGGAGCCTTTGAGGGGTGGGGGAGGGGGAGGAGGTGGGGGGCCTCCAGAGAGTGGGGGAGGGGGAGGGGGAGGAGGTGGGGGGCCTCCAGAGAGTAGGGGTGGGGGTGGGACGCCTTTCCCCACGTCCACAGACTCCACATTTAAAATGTCTTGATCCTCATCCTCGCCCAAATCTGAGAAGTCCAGGTCCCCGATACAGAGCTTGGGGACACGGGCAGGGAATGCCTGGAAGGGCTCGTCCTTGGGGCTTGGTAGGGTCAGGGGCTCCTTGGGCTCTGACTCCAGGCTCCGTTGGACCCGGAGCAGGGCCCGGGGGGTAGGGCTCTGGGGTGTTCTAGGTGGAGGGGCTACCTCGCGAGAGTCCTGTCGTTCTCGGGAACCTGGCAAAAGGGAAGCAGCTGTCATTTCCACGCCTGCTGTGAAGCAACAGAGCAACGAGGCTCAGGGGGAGATGCTGCCCACCCACCTTCTTACCTAGGTGCCCATCCGACTCATCAGGCACGGCCCCAGCCAGTGCTTCTGCCCGGCCCTGGGCTAAAGCAGCCTGCTTCTCTGTTTCCGCTGCTGCCACATTCTCCAGGAACCGGGCTCTGAGGGAAAGTGCTTGTGAGTCGTGGTATGTGACACAGCCACGGCCCAGAAGAGCGCACACGCTTTGCTGAGCCTTTCGTACTGTCCCCAATTGTAAGCACACTCGGATGTCCAGGAAACAGACCATGCACTGGCATACTGGGGACCTTAAGGCCAGCTCCTGCCCAGTCCTCACCTCTGGAGAGAATTACAACCTACCCCGGGACTTCTACTCAATACCTAGCTTGTAACCTTAGTGCTGGTCATGTTTAGTTTATTGCATTGATTGTACATAAGGACCATGAGAACAGTTAATGGGGAGAACTTTCCCAGTGGGCACATCAGGCTGTGCCGCCCTTGGTTTGTCTAGCAGCTGCTACAAGCTGCATTCTATGTCCAGAAATGGGTCTGGCAAAGTGATGGGCAATCACGCATGTTGAAATAATAAATGGGATCAAGTGTCTGCTTTTTAGCACCCCTGGCTTCTGTCCCTGCCCCTTTCCTCAGCCACAGATTGCTCTTTGACCCCCACACAGCTCAGCACCTCGGACCCCCCCACTAGATTAGGCACCCACATCTTCCAGCTCGGATTTAAGCCTCAGTGACTGCTTCCCAGAGCTTATTCCTTGGGTCCGCCAGGAGGCCTACATCTGTGGACGGAGCTGGAGAGCCCCCCCAGCTCTGGCTGCCTTGGAGTATTTGGCACCCCCGCTGGGGAAGCGAAGCTGAAGCCCTGAGCGCATGGCAGGCGTAGCCAGCTGGCCACTGTACTTACTCCAGCTTGGCCTGCCCAGCAGGGGGCTGGGGGACAGGTAGGCTCTCAGGGGTGCTGGGTAGGGGGATGAGAGGAAAAGGTGACTGTGGTGCTGGCTGCACCCCAAGGCCCCCTGGCTTGCATCCACACACAGCTGGACAGTGCTACCAAGTGCTCCTCCCCAACCGTCGGGGTAAGGGATGGGGTGGAAATGAGGGCTGAGGGTGCAGGACAAAAGGAAACAGTAAGTGGAGACCCTGACATGAGGTCAGACAGGGCTGCAGGCAAGAACAGGCAGCAGACCAAGAGGGCGATGAGGAAACAGAGCAGGGCTAGGGAGGCAGATGAGGATGGGCAGAGGCAGGTAGAACACTGGGTGAAGACCAAGAGAAGCCGTGGGAGGAGGGGGTCCGATCTCAGCCGAGCCCCACACCCCCAGCAGTCACTTACCAAATGGGAGCAGTTTGGTGAAGTCTGGAAAGAGAGAGAGAGAGCACGCGTTTGGGTAGAGGAGGTTGTGGGCTGTGGAGGGGTGCCAAGCCAAGGGACAGTCAAGAAAGAGGGCTCTGACGGCGACCTCCATCTCCTTCCTTACTTGTAGACACTCCTCTCGCCAGAGCTGTCGGCTGAGGGTGCCACGGAAATGGTAGGGAACAGGTTCACTGAGGTTCGGAATCCAGAAGTAGGGCTCACAGGGCTGGAGGCGGGGCCTGTCGGCGAGAAGCGGCCTGTGGAGCTGGAGGAGGAGCCTCTTGGTGAGGCGGGGCCTGTGGAGCTAGAGGCGGGGCCAGTGATGGAGGAGGGGCTTGTTGGCGAGGTGGGGCCTGTCGGTGGGGTGGGGCCAGTGATGGAGGAGCAGGAGCCTGTCGGTGAGGCGGAGCCTGTGGAACTGGAGACCAGGCACGTCAGTGTGCAGGGTCACGCCTGACGGAGGATCCATCCCTCCGTATCTACCCAGCACGTGCTTACCCAGGTTCTGGGGCACGCACAGGACAACCCCCGCCTTCCAGAGATCTGCGGCTCCTCTTGCCCTCCTCTGAAGACGGCTTCCGTCGCTCCCGCCGCCCACCTGCAGCTGCAGTGGCTGCAGCTTCTTCCAAGTCTCCATCCTCCAACCGCAGGGCGCTCTGGAGGAGATGGACAGAGACATGAGCAAAGCAAAGAGGCAGGGCGCTGGGAGCCAGCACCTCATCTCTCCTTCTGCCCTTCTACGCCCCAGGCAGAACCTGCCTATCTGTGTTCCCCCTGCCCCCCACACACCTCGTAGAGCAGGAGCTGAGTGCGCAGGTCCACGTCTGTGCCTGCAGTGCTCAGCAGGCGTTGGACCAGGGCCTCCATGCCCTGCTGCTCCAGTGCATCGGTCACATCATAGAAAGAGTCCTGGTCAGGGAGCGCAGCCAGCGTCTGGAGCATGGGAAGAGCAAGGCCAGGCTGAAGCTGGTAAGGCCCACGGGTCAGGGGCCTGGGGCCCAGGCTGCCACAAGTCCCGCCCGTACCTTGTTGATGAGGGTGACCGTGTACACCAAGAGCTCTGCGTCGGTGCCAGTTTTCTCCTCCAGGATGGACACCAGGTTGGCCCAGGGAAGAGTACCTGGAACACAGAAAAGGAAGCAGTCACGGGGGATGGGCAGGAGGGGGGCGCTCTGAGACAGGAGTAGGGGACAGTTGGGCTCTCACCTGTGGTGCTGGCCACTGAAGTGACTGCCCTGATGAGCAGTGGCGCGTTGCTCTCCGCGTATTCCACAAATACCAGCAGCAGCTTCAGGGCTGTCTTCACCACAAGTCGGGACTTGGGGGAGGGGGACAGGGGATGGTCAACACCTGTGAGTGGGGCTTGGCCCAGATCTGAGAGTCTGGGCAGAAACTCCTTGTGTGGGCCCAGGCCCTTAAGAGTCTCCCAGGCTTAGTGGGACCTCAAACTCACTCATTCCAGCCCTGTGTGCAGAGGAGGACACTGAGGCACTAAAGGAAGGCCTGTGGCCAGGAGAAGGGATGCTTACCAGGCTGGCGCACAGCGTGTACAGCCACTGCACGGTCTCTCCATGGGCCACCACCCCCAGCATCCCATCTACAAATAGCATCAGCTGGCCCAATGCTGCAGACAGGAATGGGAAGAGGTCAGTCGAGGTACGGGGGAGTACAGAGATGGGGGGCTAGGGGAGGGGCTGACCTCGGAGGATGTAGCTCTGGTAGTTGTGGTCTGCAGCAGCACCCACACGGATCAGGCAACTCAGCCCTTCCGAGTGCACAAACTCAGGCACCAGGTCCTTGTCTTCCTAGAGGTGCCAGGGGGACAGTTAGGGAGGCCCGGGACACACATCCACCCCCAGGCCGCCTCTGGGCCTCACCTGGAAGATCTGCTTCAGTGAGAAGAGTGAGCGGCGGAGCTCTGGGCCGCTGGAGCCATACAATTTTTCTGCAAGGGGTGGGTGGGACATGGATGCCATCTCCCTTCACCACAAGTCACCACCACAGGCAATTCCAGGATTCCTGCATTGCTACCCCTCCTTGGTCCTGGCTACTGTGGCACCACCAACCCTGATCTTGGCAGGACAGTTCAGGGGAGGAAAAGAAGGGGACACATCCCAACATTGATCTGCTCCATCCACTGTCCAACACAGGCCAGAAAGAAACCTGACCAGCTGTGCAGTGGGAGGGGGCAAGAGGGCTGCCCTCACACACTCACCCAAGATAGCATTGACCCTCACAGAGAGCTGAGTTCGCAGGATCAGCGTGGGCTTCCGGCCTTTGCTGGAATCAAACAGCCTGGTCAGCAACTCGCGCCCATCCCCCCAGAGGCCCTCCCCCCACACCAAGCCTGGGCAGCCAGTGCCTTGCTGCTCCTAGGAGAGCTTGAGGATTGGCCGGGCCAGAGGGTTTGTGCAAATGCAGGCATCTCAGGTATGCTGGAGAGCACCTTCCCCCCTCATCTCAGGCAGCAGGTAACACTAGCCAGGCTTTGGGATTCCCCTGGCACAGCTCCTGCCGGTGGCAGCAGGTGACCCATGGCCCAGGCTAGAGATCTGGTGTCTTAGCCTTTGGCATTTGAGCCAGTCCTGGGTAGGGGCCAGCCTCACTTCCTGGGCTCCACCAGCTCTGACCTGAGCTCGTCATAGAAGCCCTCCAACATTTCCCGCTGCTCTTCCAGGGACAGCTCGGGATCCAGGTAGTATCCAGAGGGAGACACCTGCAAGGCGCAATCCTCCAGCTGGGGACAAAAGGGAACAGTTGTCAAGGCTGCAGCAGAGGCAGGAGGGGATCCTGTGACCTCCTATCTAGGGTCACAGGGCAGAGAGGCACACAGGGTTCACACTGAAGCTTAGCAGTCACTTCTTCCTTTCTTTTATGAAAAAAATATTTTTTTCGAGAAGCAGTGAAAGAGGAGCACTTCAATCTGCTGATGTACTCCCCAAATGGCTGCAATGTCTAAAGCTGGGCCAGTCTGAAGCTGAGAGCCAGGAGCGTCCTCTGCGTCTTTCACATATGTGGAAGGGTCCCAAGCACTTGGGCTATCTGGGTGTGTTCCCAGATGCATCAGCAGGAAGCCGACTGGAAGTGGAGCAGCCGGGACTAGAACTAGTGCCCATATGAGATGCCAGAGTCGCAGGTAGTGACTTCACCCGCCACACCATGACGCTGACCACAGCCATTGTTTCTTAAGCGCTTGACTGCATGCAAGGCCTGTCTGTCTTAGGCATCAGGCCTTCTTGTCATTTGTATGTACCATCTCCTCCGTTGACTAATGCCTACCTATTTTTTAGGTTTAGGGTTAGATAAACTGTTAAAAAAAAAAAAAACCCAGCTGAAATTCCCACTACCTAGTCTCTGGGTCAGGCACCTGCCGTCCTTGCTGCCGTATCTGCAGAGCCTAGCCCAGCAGCTGGAACAGAGTAAGTGCTTGCTAAAGGCTCATCCAAGCAATGAACATAAATGAGGAAGGGGAGAAAGAGGTGATGGGGAGGAAGTTCCTGCCTTCAAGGAAGTTCACAGCCCTGGAGAACGTGTGTGAGGGAATGTGACCAGCTAAAGTCACCAAGCAGAAAGCAGAAAGGGTGCAAACCTGACTGGCAGAGGGGGTGGTGTTGTGTGTGTGTGTGTTGATTCATAACTCCTCTCCCAATCTCTCTAGGCCCTCCAAAGGGGGTACAGTTACAGGACTTCAGGGGTCCCATGAGGCTGGTGAGTAGCCCGTAGTCAGCCCCACAGTGGGACACTACAGCCTGCCATTGTAGGAAGAAAGCCCATGCTCCATGTGTGTGTCCACTTGCCGGGGTGCCCCCTCCTGGGGTCTGCTGCCACCCAGCACCAGCCACAGCCCCGGGCCCCTGGAGCTGAGAGGCCTGAGGGAGGTTACTAGAGTCTGAGAGTGGCACTCTGCCCTTCCCAGCCACCTCCCCATGGCACTGTGCCTTGTGCAGGGCTCACAAAGTTCTCTCAACTAGAGTGTCTCGGGCCCCAGGAGAACCCTCCTTGCTGCAGTGTGTAGTGGGGGTGGGGGTGGGGATGGTCTTCCAGTCTAGGCATTGCTGAGGAAGTTAATCCAGCATTTGTCCTGATCTTTGGTCAGCCCTGTCCTGCTCCGGACCCAGGCCCAGAGCTTCTAGCTGCCCTATGCTCCCCAGGGAGAATGGGAATCTAGTTCCTCCTCTGGTCCCTGTTTAGCACCCCTGCCAATGCCTCAGGGTCTGCCTTGACTCTGTACTGGCAGTGTAGTCCTGTGGGGCCCTCGGGTGACCCCCCTGCCTGGAACATGGGACATGGGACATGGGACAAACACTCCAGCCTGTTCTCTGTCCTACTTCCTGCCTGGCTGCCTGCCCTCCTCTGTGGGCCTTGGGCGGGTCCTGTCTCCTGCCACTGCCTGGGGGCAGAGTCAATCACTGGAAGCAGGCTTTTGAGGGGGCGGCAGGCTCCAGGGGTGCCCCGGGCCTTGTTCAAGGGGGCTCTTTTCCAGGGCCAGCTCAGCTGAGGGCAACCCCATAGCCTACCTGGTCTGTCTTTCTCATGGTGACTCAGCAGCGACCTACCCCACCCTTGCCCAGGCATTGCCCAGGCATTGCTGCATCTCCCTCCTCCAGGCACTGGAGGATTCTGCTGAGAAACATCCCTCCCCATGGAGTCACAGTCCCCCTCGGGAATCCCCCCACGTGTATATCAGCTTTTTCATTGAAACATTCCTGAACCGGTGCAGAGAACATGGCAGGAATTAGATGCTGTTTCTGCTTTGCCTTCCTTCCAGCCTGGTATGGGAAGCAGACAGGCTTGACTCAGAAACAGCTCATAACTAAATATCAGATCACCCAACTTCCAGTGGGTAATAGTTAAGAAGAGGGGCGGGGTGCTGTAATCACTGCCAACATCAGAGCCGTAATAGTATTATATCCAGTCACCGTTGTAACACACCCAGGTATATGGTCAGCTACCATTATGCACAGTCCAAAGTAGCACTTCCACAGCAAAGCTAGGCCTCTTGTACTATCTCTCCTCCCGCAGGCACACTGGCATGCTTCAACTGCCGGAGAGCACAGGATGACCCTGTCCTATGATGCTGGGATACCTGCCTCCCCTGGGGCAGGACACAGAAGCCCAGGTGCTCCACCTTTCCTTGCCTCCCCAGCTCAGCCCCTCCCCAAGCCACTTCATCTGCCCAGTCTCGCCAGAGTGCCATTTCTAAGGAAAGGAGACAGCCATCCAGGGCTCCTGCTCAGAGTCCTCCAGTTGTTGGGACTGGGAGGAGGTGGAGGGCCACTGGGCTAGAGCCAGTCAGGCAGCCCAGAGAGAAGGCTTCCAGCCAACAGGATGGCACTTGTTTCTCACACTACTGCTCTCTTCCTGTGGACATCATTTTGAGAGCCAAACCTCTGGACCTTATTTCTCACACCCTGGGGCTCAGCCAGGCCTGAGTGAGCCCAGGCTTTGGTTCTTGCTGAGGGTGCTTAGGGCCAGCACAAACAAGGGGGCCACATTCTGGACTCCCTGCTGCCTCTTATCTTCCTCACTTCTTTGGTCTCCATCTTAGGGGTTGGGTGGAGTCTCTCCCCCATTCTTCCCAGGCTGGGTTCCTCACTGCAGCCTCCAGTGCCTGACTTTCTTGGCAGCCCAAATCAACTATAAATTATAAATGGTTTTGCATATAAAGTCAAGTTTAAGGGACCAGAATACCCATTCTCTGATACTTTTACAACCACGTAATCAGTTGAAAATGAAGGTACCAGAGGCATGGGACAGGAAAGATTGAAGAGCGGGCAGAGGTATATGTGGAAGGACTCTTGCTTTAGGAAATAACTGGTTGACTACATCTTTGGATTCCTATAAATAGCATCCTGGCTATGAAGATCCTCTGGGGATAGGGCTGTGGCACAGTGAGTTACTACCAGCAACCCATATCAGAGCACCAGTTTTAGTCTCAGGTGCTTCTTGCTAATGTGCCTGGGAAGGCAACAGAAGGTGACCCAAGTACTGTTCTCATGGGAGACCTGGACAGAGTTCTAGGATTCTGGCTTTGACTTGGCCCAACCTGGCTGCTGCAGCCACTTAGAGAATGAATCAATAGAAGGAAGATCGATACCTTCTCTCTCTAGTTCTGCTGCTTATTCATTCGAGCCTCTTGATAATCGTTTACAGGTGAGGGAAACAAAACTTAGGAAATCAATGAGTGACCGCAGATAGCACAGCTGGGAACAGAAGCAGAGTTGGCTGTGCCTGGAGAGTGATTCCGGGAGGGGTGGTGGAGTGAGGGCTGGAGCCCATGATATTGTCAAGGGTTGGAGACTGTCCTTCAACTTCCAGGATTCTGTGAATACCTTCAACTGGTCCTCACAATCCCAGCAAGAGAACATGACACACATGATCTGCACTAGGTCAGCTGTGCCTACCCCTGCAAGATCCTAAATTCTAGAATCCCTCAGCAGGCTGCAGCCCAGCTACTGTTGTCCAAAATGGCCAGCAGATATGACATGTTAGATAAGAAGGACAGAAAGAGGCCATCATTCATTTCTACACCCCAATCTTCCAAATAGACTCCTATAGCAGGAACCAAAAATGTTTGGTTTATTGCCAACCTCTCTGGAATCTTTGGGGACCTCCCAGTGGTCTGTATCTCAGCGGTTTAGGTTCACAATTAAGCCTGCTGGCTGTGATGGCTTCGGAGGGCAAACAGACTCTTAGGTGGACTGGGAACACTGTCTGCTTGGATTTTTAGCCTCAGTCAGGGAAACAAAGTTACTAGTCCTGAGCAGATGTCCAAGGCTAGCCCCACAGCATGGCCATGGCAGCAAGGTCAGAGAAGCATCCTGGTGCCCCTGGTTGGAGCAGGGAGAGTGGGGGGAAGAGAAGTCAGTGCTGCCTCAGACATGACATAGCTGCTGGATCTCAGGGAAAAGCTCCCAGAGGCCCCTCCCAGGAGCTGGGGGTCAGGGGACACTGCGCACTCATGGCTCAGGAGGCCAAAGGGCTGTGGTCTCTCCCTGGGGCAGGGGTGGGGAGAGCCCTGAGTATCTGCAGGGGTGAAAAAGACACTGCCGAGTTCCCGAGTTCTCCTGGGGACACCAGGCCTGGCCCAGGGCACTGCCAGTCTCTCCCCCACCAACTATGGCCAGGAGATGAGTCAGAGGCTGTGGCCAGGAGCTTCCTCCTAGACATGGAGGAAATGAGCAAGGCTTTCTCAGACCAGCAAACTCTGAATCTTGTGAAAAAAAAAAAAAAAAAGGAAGCCTTCAGGGGAGCTCTGGGGCTAGGTACAGCCCAATGGGATGCTGGGGCAGGGCCCTAGGGAGAAAGTAGGCTGGCCTCACTCTATCAGCAAAGAGAGAGGCAGGAACTACAGGGATTGTGCCAGCCAGTGGCAAACTCAGAGAGCACAACTCACTTGGTCGTGTCCTGTGGCCAGCTGGACAACCGCACAAAATGGAGCAGCGAGTGGCCAAGCGCCCATCTCTTATTTCTTCCCTACATCGTGTTCTGGGTTTTTCCTTCTCTGCAGACCTGAGTCATGTCGGGGCCTCTGGGGTATCAACCACTTACGGGCCGAGGGGAGAAACCAGCTGCTGACATTTCCTGCCAGGGGAAGCCCTGCCCCCAGCTGTGTGATGTCCCTGCCCTTGCCCTTTTCTCATCCCTCTTCCTCCAACCTTCTATTTCGGGTCTGTGGTCATAGTTTCTATTTGGGAAGAGCACATCAGAGTACATATGCTCATTGCTGGCCAATCTCCTTGACCCGGGCTTTGTGGTAACCTAGGGTGCCTGTGTCCATTCCAGGGCCATGGGGTCCTTGGCTGATGAAGCCTGTGGTGGGGTGAGGTACAGGTACAGGGTCTAAGTGGGGGTGAGCAGGGCTGGTGAGAGGTCCCATCCCTTCCCGTGGGAGGTCTTGTCCTATAATCAGGGAGTGGGAGAACTCACATAACCTTTTAAATGCCATAACCTTATTTCTGGACCTGGACAGGGGTAGGAACCCCTCAGTACAGCACCCAGTTTCCATCCTGAACAGGAGGTGACTTCTTGCTTGGTTTGAGGCTCACCTCGGTTTGCCCCCTAAAACAATGACAAGATAGTGGGGGAGCAAGGGACTCTATCAGAAGTCTGGCGGTGGGCAGTCTGCTGGCTGCAGCCGTGTAGTTGTGGTCTTGAGGTGGGGACCTTGCCTGGACAAGCACCACTTCTCAGGACAATGATCTCCCCACCCCTCCCGCTAGGGCTCCGAGGCGGGGCTGGCCGCAGAGAGAGGAATGCAAGCTGGGGGCCCGGCGCCCCAGCACATTCCACAGGAGACCCCGGGCCCAGGGGGCAAGTTTACGCAACTCGGCGCCCCGCTGAGGCTGGGAGGGCGGTGGCGCCCCCGCTGCCTCTCCCTTTTTGACCACGAGCTGGAGCGGATGGGGCTGTTTGAGGGAACCCGGGGGATGGTAGTGAACACGGCCCGGAAGCAGAGCGCCGGAAAGGGCTGACTGCGGGGGGCTGAAGGCTGCGAACCGGAGGGGAGGCACGGCCGGGCCAGCTGGAGAAGGGCCTCTCCCCGCACCGTGCACCCTGCTCCCTGCTCCGGGGCACCGGCAAATGGGCAGGCCGACGGTTTAAAATTAGCCTGGCCCGCCCTCTCCCTTCCAGGCGCAGGCCGATGGGCGGCGGGTGCACCGGGTGGTGGGGGCGGTGACTCGAGGGCTTTTCTACTCGTGCAGCCTCCCACGCTCCGCGTATCCCGGGCCCAACAGCTCCCCGGGGACTTCCCTCATCCAGTGGGAGCCAGCGCTCTGACGGCACTCCCAAGACCCAGTGGCAGGACTCAAGCGAGCCCCAAACACTTCTTAAACCCCCATGCCACCCGTGTCCCGCCCCTCCTCGTGGTCCCGCCTCCACCTCACCTAAAGCAGGTGGAAGCAGGTCCCTCCTTCGCTCTCATCCAGGATCCGTTACAGTCTCAAGAGCTCCCTACAGTTTCCCTGCTCTGGGCAGCTCTCCTGGAGGACAGGCAGCGCGTGGGGCTCGAGCATCTCCCCGCGCGGGCCTCCCTTGGAGGAGCAATCAGGGCGCGCAGACTACAAGTTCCCATCTCCCTCAACTTCAGAGGGGGTGCCTGGCAGGCGAAGCATTGTGTACCCCGGGACCCTGGGCCGACTCTTGTGAAGGCGATTCCTCACTCCAACCTCTCATCGAGGGGCACCTCCTACTGGCTTTCAAGGAGACGACCCACAACCCCGGATCGCCCTAACTTCTTGGCCTCCGGTCCCCTCACCTTGAGCGGTGCCCCCAGCAGGCGGTGCAACGCGGGTATCTGCGGACCCAGGGGCAGTGCCCCGTCCAGCGTGCAGGTGGGGGCCCGGCGCGGCTCCGGGAAGTTGGCACATGCGAAGGGATCGGTATCTTCCAGGTACTGCACCCTCACGGTCACCGCCGCTACCGGCTCCCCGTCCCCGCGGTCTTCCCCACCGGCCATGGCTTTGCCACCGGCCCCGCCTCAGCTTCGACTCGGATATCCCTGCAGTTTGGGTCGGGCCGGACCGGACGCCCTGGAGGCGGAGCTGGGCGGAGATAGGGCCGAGGAAGTGGAGCGGGTGGAGCCAAGACGCGGCCCCGGCGGCGCGGGGGGCGGGCCCGGCGGCGGCCACTCAGAAGGCGTGGTGGGGATCCCGTTAGTTCACTGGCCAGGAGGGCGGGAAAGCTCGAGCTCGCGCCTCCTCGGCGAGCGCGCGCAGGGGGCGAGGCTTTCTGCCGGCCTGGAGGAGGTAGGGAGGTTCTCTCGGAGGGCTGTTGAGGGCAGGTAGGGGGCCAGTTTCTCCAGATAGTCGCCGGCCTGTTCTCCTTCACTGCAGCAACGAAATAGCCTTAGTTCCTTCCTTTGGAGGGCTGGATAGATGTGCTTCCCTCATTTGGGGAGAGCAGTTGAGAGGGGTGTCTTTTCGGTTTGGAGCAAATGGTGAGGGATTGCCTTCGATTTGAAGGAAAGGGTGGGATCAGTTCAGGTTTTTTACGGCGGTTGGGGGGAAGAATAGGAGAGGTCAGGCAGAAAATGTTCTTCCCTTGGGGCCTGCGCCTGGCATATCAGGCTAAACTAACGCCTCCCATAAAGGCGCCTGTTTCACTTCCTGCTGCTCCACTTCCCATCCAGCACCCTGCTGATGTGCCCGGGAAAGCAGCGGAGACTGGCTTCAGCCCTTGGACTCCTGCACTCCACGCGGGGAACCCATAAGTAGCATCGGACTCCTGGCTTCACATGGCTCAGCTCCAGGTTGTGGCCATTTGGGGAGTGAACCAGAAGATGGATAATGTCTCTTAATAAAATATAATATATACATCTTTTTAAAAACATTCTTCTGAGTTTGGGATTAGAGGTGGGATGGGTGCCTCTTAGTTTGGATGCAAAGTGAAGATCACTGCTGGGAAGAGATGAGTGGGATGCCCTGGGAATTTGGGGATTCGTTTGGGTGGACCCTTTTTAGTTAGAAGAAAATAAGCTGGGTTTTCCATAGGTTCCTCTTAGCATCATGAAAAAGGTAGAGAGAGTCCCCTGCAGTTTGAGGAAAGGGTAGGCCTGGGTGCTCCCCACACTGCGAGATAAAGAACTGCATCCTCCTCTATCTATAAACTGGCGCATTCTGGGCTTGGAGTTTCTAGGGTCGGTGGGGGCAGTATCGTCCGTCACGCTTTCTGGGAGCGCTCAGTGCGCGTGCGCAGCTCGTGTAAGGGCGGGGGCCGGAGGGGGTCCCAGGCTGCTGAAGGCGGAGAGCCGGCGCGCACTGCCCCCCTGCCAAATACACCTGCCGGGCCGGGGCCTGAGGCGGCGGCCTCGGGACCTGGCTGCTGGCTGGCAAGAGCACCGGCCGGGAAGCCGCACCGTTCGCGCAGGGTCCCCACTTCCCAAGGACCCCGCCTCTCCCAAGGAGGGCGGTGGCTGCTCACCTCGGAGTCCATGAGGGTGGTGGTTTGGGGAAGGTTTTGGGGACGGACTTGAAAGAAGAGGTTTTGAGACTTAGGGGAGGGTTGTATTTGGGTATTTGGGGGGCGGGCACTGGTATAAAGGGGATGGAGGCTGGAGTGCCCACTGCAGGCGTCCGGGCAAGATTTTTGAGTCCAGACGTGGCTTGGGGGTAACGGAGCCGGGATTGGGGGGAGCGGACCCCACGTGCCTGTGACGCGGGGGCGCCCGCTAGGCGGCGGCGGCGACGCGGGCCGGCGGCCCTGCGGTGCGGGAGGGCGGCTGGGCAGGCTGCAGGGATGCTGCGCGGCGCGCTACCCCTGCTCGGGCTGCCCCTGGCGGGAGCGGAGACAACTGAAGAGCCCACCCGGGAGCCGGGGTCGCCTGGCGAGCCGCCCCCAGGCTTGGCGCTCTTCCGCTGGCAGTGGCACGAGGTAGAGGCGCCCTATCTGGTGGCTCTGTGGATCCTGGTGGCCAGTCTGGCCAAAATCGGTAAGTGCGTGTGTGCGTACACCACGCCCGCCCCCAAGCCCCGGCTCCCCAGATCTGGGCTGGTGTCTCCTACCGTGCCGGGACTTAGACTCTGGTTCCTCAAATCTAGACTCCCACGCAGGTACCACGCCGCCTCCCGTGGCTTTCTCTGCACTCCTTCCGGGAGCCGTGAGGTTCTGCCTTGCTGTGGGGTTGCCCCCGGGCTCTCCAGCTCCATCTTTAGGTGCCTTTGCCCTCTCGGTTTTCCCTTCCCTTGGCAGCACAGCTTCCCCTGTCTGGTTTCTCCGGCACCAACCCCCGGCTTCCCAGAAGCCTCTGTTAGCGGTGAGGACGCGGAGTCCATGGTAGTTCTCTAGTGAACCCTGGGCATCCTGGTCCCGAGGAGCCCATGTCCGCGTGTCCATTCCCCTGAGATACTATAGCCTTCTCTTCTTCCTCTAGGTTTCGTCTGCCCCTCATTTCAAGATCCCCTATTCGTGTACCTAGGGCGAAGGCCCTCAAATTCTCCCCATCTCAGAGTGTAACAAAGCTCCCACATATTGGGGCTTGCTTGGGGTTGCCTGCCCTAGGTCCCTTCACACATCCCACCTCTTCAGGACTCCCAAGATGGAAGGCTGTGTTCCAGGCTTTACCCCCACTCCTATCCCCCATAGGGCTGGTTTTCTTTGCCTTTGCCCCTTCCTCCTCATTTGTGAGCAGCCAGTGGTCCCTCCTCCCATCAGAGACCCTCCTCCTCCTCTCTGTGTGCAGCCTCTGCTGTGGGGGTGACTAATTATAGCTGAGTGCTGCTACTCACTCCCCTTCTATGCTGGCACAGCTTGTACTCCAGTCTCACCAATGCAGCCTTCACGCAGGAACTACACAGCCTAGAATTTACCACTGTCCTCCCTCCCCACCCCAGGGACCCAGCTGGGGGTACTGGGGAACTGGGCAGAAACAGAACTCACCATTCTGCAGTGGCAGCTGGAGAATGATATTGGGAAGTGGTACCCAGAATGCCTGCAGGGAGCCAGAGCACTGGCTTCTGTGATGGGTCCTGGAATGCAGGGCTGGGGCACCCTGAGGAGATTGGGTCCCTGAGGAGAAGAAAGGAGGAACAGGGGTAGGAATGAGTGTGTTTCCGTGTGTATGGGGAAGGTATACAAGAATGCCTGGGTTTACCAACTGGAGTTTCAGGCAAGGTGGGAGGAGCCTCCTATCCCGGGTCGGGAACTGGGTTTGCTGAGAAGCCTATGGGCGGCAGAGGAGTTTCTTACTGGAGGTTTTAGCAGCAAGTGTATGTCATGGTGCTTTTTCTAGTTTGGATGACGCCTCCAATGGATATGCGGGAGGAGAGCTTCCTCATCAGCCAGAAAAGAAAGGGTGGAATATTCTGGAACACTTTGCCACAGCTTCATTGCAAGGAGGTTTTTATAATCCCACCATTTCTCCCTTTAAAAGCAACAAATACTATTGTAGAGCCCGCGTGTGCCAGGTGCTGTCCTAAGTCCTTTGGGCACAGCTGTCAAAAAGAACTAATCCCAGGTAGACAACATGGCTGCCTCTCTACCAACACCCAGGGATTTTGTGGAGCAAGATACTGCAGGGCTGTAAGAGTTTGTTTTAGAGGACAGATGTAAGAGTGGCACCCATACTGGAAAATCCTTTTTTTTTTAGCACCCTTTTTTTCCTGGAGACAAAGCTGATATTTTCCCCTACAAATTAACATTTGCTGAAAAGCTGCCATGTGTCTGACAGCATTTTAGGCACATCCACACACTTTATATCAATTTATCCTCATCCACTGTGATGGGTGATTTTCTCATATTGTAGGAGGAGAAACTGAAAATCAGACAGATACTTTGCCTGAGAAAGCAATTAGGTCAAATGACCCAAAGATATGGCTAAGCCTAAAGCCCCCTCCATCCCCATTGGTTTTTGAAAGGCAGAGACACAGACAAGAGATCCCCCAGCCAGTATTTCAATTCCCAAATGTCCCAGACAAGCAAGTCTGGGTCAGACCAATGCCAGGAGCAGGGAACTCCATCTGAGTCTCCCATGTGGGTGGCAGGGACCTGCTGCCTCCCAGAGTGTACATTAGCAGGAAGCTGAGTTGGAAATGGAATAATTGGGATGGGAACCAGGCACTCAGATATGGAATGCCACCGTCTCCAGTAGTAACTTCAGTGCTACGTCAAATGCTTGACCCAGAAAGAAAACACTGAGTTGCAGGGAGGATTTGTAACCTTGGAGACCTGTGGTTCTAGAAGTGCTGCATTTCTGCTGTTCTCAAATCCTTACTTGGAACATCTAAAACTGAGAGGTTATGGGCCAGTGTATGTCTAGGTGGACATCCGTAAACTGGTATCTCCTGCCTTCTTCTTGCTTTGCAGTGTTCCATCTATCCCGGAAGGTCACATCACTGGTTCCTGAGAGCTGCCTGCTGATTCTGTTGGGCTTGGTGCTAGGGGGCATTGTCTTGGCTGTGGCCAAGAAAGCAGAGTACCAGCTGGAGCCCGGCACCTTCTTCCTCTTCTTGCTGCCCCCTATTGTGCTGGACTCAGGCTATTTCATGCCTAGCCGGCTGTTTTTTGACAACCTGGGTGCCATCCTCACCTATGCCGTCGTGGGCACACTTTGGAATGCCTTCACAACCGGCGCTGCCCTCTGGGGCTTGCAGCAGGCCGGACTTGTGGGTGAGTGATCCTAAGACCTGGGCAGAGGGAGGCTTTGCTGGATGCTAGCACCTTACTCTTATCTCCAGATTATCCAGGAAGCAAGCAAGAGCGGGGCCCTGCAAGCTTTGTTTTAGGTCCCTCCCACTCTAGGAGTGCAAGGCAAGGCTCCAGATGGAAGCAGCTCCCAGTTAAGTCTCCGCCAGTTGCCAGTGGTGTCTGTACTGCGGCGTGACAGCTGAGCAGGGGTCTGGTGCCCAGCTGTGTGTGGGCTGCTGAGTCTGGGGAGCCTGCGTCTGCACCCTCATGCCTCCTGCCCTCGGTTACCGCGCTGCCATTTGCCAGCTTCGCTCCCTTGAGGCACAGCTCACTATTCCTGTAAGAGCCCCCTTCTGCTCTGGGTCTGCCAGGTCATGCCGGGGTGGTTTCTTTTTTTCTTCAACAAGTGTATATTACAGATTCACAAAATGCCACTATACTAGGTCTCCTCTCCTTACTTATTCCACTGACTTTTCATATGAACTTAGTTCAGCTATAATTTGACTCACTTAATGGATGAGAAAATACAGTCCTTCGAGTTCATCTGCTATCAGGTCTGGGGTTAGCAAGAAGTCCATTTTACTGAGGTTCTTTGTCTTTAGCCCATCCTCTCCCACTACACCTGGCAACCCTGAATGTTGCTAATTCAGACTTTTTCCAGGGTACAAGGAGAAAGACTGGTATTGGAGTATAGCAATTAAGCTGCTGCTTGCAACACTGGCATCCCCTATTAGAGTGCAGGTTCAAGTTCTGCCTGCTCTGCTTCCTACCCAGCATCCTGCTGATGCTCTTATGAGGCCCTGAATGATGGTCCAAGACTTTGGATCCCTACCACCCTGTGGGAGACCCAGATGGAGTTTCAGGCTGCTGGCTTTGGCCTGGACCAACCCTGGCTGTTGTAGCCATTTGGGGAGTGAACCAGCAGGATGGAAGATTCTCTTCCTCTACTCTGTCACTCTGGTTTTCAAAAACAAAAAGGTACAGGGAGAGGTTTTCAGTTCCCACCAGGAACACCTGTCTGATTTCCATACTGAAATCATGAACTATGTTTGGGGTAGGAAGGGAAGAAAGGCTGATAGCCGATAATGACCATAGGAATCCTAAGGTTGGGTATCTGGGCGTACTTAGCTCGTATTAGGTACTGGCTAAATAAAAAACTCTCTGATGTGGGGAGCTATTCCCTGTTTATACCTGAGGAGACTGAGCTCACAGAAGCTAGAAGACATTTTCAAGTCCCAGGCAAGAGCCACAGACAGGTAGAGAAAGTGTCCTTTCAGGAAAATTATTTTTCTTTCTTTTTTTTTTTTTTCATGTGAAGGCACAGAAAGAGGAGAAACAGAGAAAGCTCTTCCATTTACTGGTTCACTTTCCAGATGCCTTTAACAACCAAGGCTGGGCCAAGCCCAAGCCAGGAACCTAAAACCCCATCCAGGTCTCCCATGTGGGTGATGGAGACTCAGTCACTTGAGCCATGATCTGCTGACTTCTAGGGTGCAATTTAGCAGGAGCTGGTCTAGAAGGGGAGGAGCCAGAACTCAACCCAGCACTCCAACAATAGTTAAAGGTGTCAAACAAAATAGCCCCAACAAAGTGCTTTTGTCATTCTCCCTGACAAAGCCAGTCATCAGCCAGTTCCAGCCTGCTGGTTGTCACCGTTACTGCTACTGCAGTTTTTATTGCCAGTGCCAGTTTAGCCTGTCAGATTACTTAGAGCTTTCAATCATCTCCTGTTTTTTTTTTTTTTTTAACTTTCTTAAATTGGAAAGTCAGATAAACAGAGAAGAGGAAAGACAGAGAGGAAGATCTTCTGTCTGTTGATTCACTCACCAAGTGGCCACAATGGCTGGAGCTGAGCCAATCCAAAGCCAGGAACCAGGAGCTTCTTCGAAGTCTCTCAAACAGGTGCAGGGTCCAAGGCCCTGGGCCATCCTCAACTGCTTTCCCAGGCCACAAGCAGCGAGCTGGGTGGGAAGCAAGGCTGCCAGGACACAAACCGGCACTCATATGGGATCCTGGCACATGCAAGGCAAGAACTTTAGCTGCTAGGCTATCACGCCAGGCCCCTGGTGTGATTTTTGGAGTAAATATTGTGAGGTAGCTAGATGATGAGATCAAGCTAAGAGAAGTCATGTAATGGTGACAAAACTACCAACACCACACAGCTGGTAAGAGGCTAAGCCAGGTCTGCATCAGAGATGTCTCAGCCCAAGTCTCCAGGCCTCCGCCAATGCTCTCCTAGGCTCCAAGGTTTCCTCTGGGCTGAGCCACGTGTCAGTGGGGGTGGCCTCAGGTGTGCACACACCCTCCACAGCCTCTGGGAGTGCTGCAGGAGACAGGCCAGCCTTCCTGTCTCTGGCTGCCTATCTCCCTCCACAGCTTCCCGCGTACGGGCTGGCCTGCTGGACTTCCTGCTGTTTGGCAGCCTCATCTCGGCGGTGGACCCCGTGGCCGTGCTGGCTGTTTTTGAGGAGGTGCATGTCAACGAGACACTCTTCATCATCGTCTTCGGGGAGTCCCTGCTCAATGATGCAGTCACTGTGGTGAGTGCTGGGTGGGTTGCCATCCCCAGGTCCCAGGCTGTGGTCCCTCCCTGCAGCCAGTGCCTTGCCGCCCTAGGTTGACTCTCTTCTCCTTGCTCAGGTGCTGTACAAGGTCTGCAACTCCTTTGTGGAGATGGGCTCTGCCAGAGTGCAGGCCACTGACTACCTGAAGGGTGTCGGTCAGTATCTGCCCCCTCCCTGCTGTCCTTGGACATCTGCCTCCCCTGAGGGCGGAGGCCTACCCACCTGACATCCGGACACAGGCAACTGTTCCAGTTGCCATTTGTGCCCCTCCTCTATGGAGAAATGGGGTCTGGGAGGGGCTTGTCCTGGGTTCCTAAACTTTGTTGGGGGTACAGCAGCCATCAGCCCCCACTCCCTGCCAGGCAGCAGTCTCATCAGCCCGGCTGGGGTCTGGGTCAGGGGTCATGCTGACCGCCCACTCCTCTCCCAGCCTCCCTGTTTGTGGTCAGTCTGGGCGGGGCAGCCGTGGGCTTAGTCTTTGCCTTCCTCCTGGCCCTGACCACACGTTTCACCAAGCGGGTCCGCATCATCGAGCCACTGCTGGTGTTCCTCCTCGCCTATGCAGCCTACCTCACTGCTGAAATGGCCTCGCTGTCTGCCATACTTGCGTGAGTCCCGGGGGCCTTGCATGCAGGCATGCAGCTGGGAGGGGACATGGGAGACAAATGGCTCTCATGAGGACTGAAGCAGGACCCTGAAGAATCTATAGGTTTCCCTGAACCCTTGTAATAGCAGGAGTCTGATCCTCCTAGGAAGCCAGTTAACCTCAGGTTATATTCTGGAAGCTTCCTCCAGAACTATCCTGGGCACCCCAAAACCCAGATTCTTTCTGCCTTGACTGCTCCCTGGGATGTGGAGCTGCAAGTGGATCTCCAACCCCAGGGTCATTGTCTCTGATGGCCACAGGCCTCAAAATTTGCCTCCAAGAGTCTGCAAGTCACACAGCCCATTTCCCCCAAGCCCTTCCTGTCTCTATCCAGGCTGCCCTAGGAGGAAGTTTGGAGATTTCGACTCCTCAGGAGCACTGGTAACTTGCAGGCTTCATGCCTTTCCCAGCATCTGACCCCGTGTCAGCAGCACCGACCCTATAGGATGCTGAAACTCCAGAGGCTGAGCCCTGCCTGGGCCACCTCCTCATTTGTCCTATTCGTGCCTTTCCCAGGGTGACCATGTGTGGCCTGGGTTGTAAGAAGTATGTGGAGGCCAACATTTCCCACAAATCCCGCACAACTGTCAAATACACAATGAAGACCCTAGCCAGCTGCGCCGAGACCGTCATCTTCATGCTGCTTGGCATCTCAGCCGTGGATTCCTCTAAGTGGGCCTGGGACTCTGGGCTGGTGCTGGGCACCCTCTTCTTCATCCTGTTCTTCCGAGCCCTCGGTATTGCTGGCACTTCCTGCCTTCCCATTCTCCTTCCTGTCCTCCCTCCCCCCCAACAACTCATTTCCCAATCTGAGCCCACATCCTTGTCACTTCCTAAGCCCCGCTTGATGCTCGCCTCTCCTAGCCCCTGTCAGTTCTTGGCCCAGATACTTGGTGCCATCCACTCCCAGTGTTGTCCACTCCCAACGCCTTGCTCCTGCTGGCCTCCCTCCTGCTGCAGGCGTGGTCCTGCAGACGTGGGTGCTCAATCAGTTCCGGCTGGTCCCTCTGGACAAGATTGACCAGGTGGTGATGTCCTATGGGGGTCTGCGGGGGGCTGTGGCCTTTGCTCTCGTCATCCTCCTGGACAGGAACAAGGTCCCTGCCAAAGACTACTTTGTGGCTACCACTATTGTGGTGGTCTTCTTCACAGTCATCGTGCAGGTGGGAGTGCCTGGGAGGCTAGGTGGGGAGGAAGGGCTGGCAGGTGCTGGGAGAATGTTGGAGCTTATGGGATAGTCTCCTCTTCCTTTTGGGGGATGGGGGGCCCTGGCTTCCCACACCTTGAGGGCACTGGGGTCGGGGTACAGAAGCTGAGACCTGGGGATGGGTCAAAAAGGCAGCAGGAATGGAAAAGGGTGGGGCTCACCTCCTACCTGTCCGTAGGGCTTGACCATCAAGCCACTAGTCAAGTGGCTGAAGGTGAAAAGGAGTGAGCATCACAAACCCACCCTGAACCAGGAGCTGCATGAGCACGTGGGTACCAGCACCCTAGCCCTTCACCCGCCCTTCTCTCCCTTCTTCTATTTCGGCCAGAGACCTGATCCAGTCCCCCTCCCCACCCCCTTCTAGACTTTTGACCACATTCTGGCTGCAGTGGAGGACGTTGTGGGGCACCATGGCTACCACTACTGGAGGGACAGGTGAGGGAGCTGCCCCAAGGCTCCTTCAGCAGCAGCAGCAGCCCTGCCAGCCGGGGCAGTATGGGGGAGAAGGGACATGGTCAAGTTCAGGCGGGGAGGCCTTTGCCAGGAGCTCTTCAGTGGCAGCCCAGGGTTCATAGAAGACAGGGCTCCCAGCGTGGCCTGCCAGGCCCCGTGTGGACTCAAGCCTCATTGATCTTGGCACTTTCTTTGACTGTCTGTCTGCTGTTTCAGAGCTTCAGGAACGACCATGTTCCCCCAGCCTGGCCACTGGAACCTTTGCATACATTGTTCTCTGCTAGGACACAGAACACTCCCTCTCGCCTCCCTCTCACTTTCTTTGGTTCACTCAGCCGATTTCAGCATCGGCACAAGCTCCTAGGGAGACCTCCTGACTAGCACAGAACCTCCTCATGCTCTGTAATTAGCCTTTGTAGTTGTCATGGTTGCTGTTCTACAGTTATTTGTAAAAATATCCCTTAATGCTAGGCTTTCCCCAGAGGGTAGGGACGAACCTAGAGATCCTTCCTGGCCAAGGCCCAAGCCACAAAGCCAGGTCAGTGCTGGCAGCATTCCTGCCCCGTCCGAGGAAGGACCTGCTGGCCAGGCCGTGGAGATGGTACTTAGGGCTGTCTCTGGCATCCTCTGTAGGTGGGAGCAATTTGACAAGAAGTACCTGAGTCAGCTGCTGATGCGGCGATCAGCCTACCGCATCCGGGACCAGATCTGGGATGTGTACTACAGACTCAACATCCGGGATGCCATCAGCTTTGTGGACCAGGTGGGCTTGTGGTAGCTGGGCAGTAGTACAGGACAGAGAGGGGTGACAGGCAGCCAGGCTTATTCACAAGTAGTTGGGAGTTCCCAGCTGGCTCCACTGTGCTGTAATGTGGCAGCTCCAGGAGATGGCTCGGCTTGTGGCTGACATTCAGAGTTGGGCAGGCAGCAGTGGAGCTGGGACCCAGGGAGAGTCACTTAGACTCGGAAAGCAGAAACAAGAATACCTATGCCTTAGGTTTTGTGAATTCCACATGCAAAATGCCATGCATAGCTCTTGGCACATCGAAAGAGCAAAATAAGTGCTAACTATTGTTGCCCTTGTCAGTGCCCTCTGACAGTCTGGGTCACCTTCTGTCTGACTGCCCTCTGACCTTGGTATTGCTTCCTGCAGGGAGGCCATGTCTTGTCTTCCACAGGCCTGTCTCTGCCCTCTATGCCTAGCCGCAATTCCGTGGCAGAGACCTCTGTCACCAACCTGCTGTGAGTCTGTGGGCTGTCTCCTCTTCCCCCGGATCCTCCTCTCCATTGCCCTATCCCCCATTCCTTCTTCTGTTAGTGCCTTTGCTTTCTCCTTTCCTGGGGCCTGTACCCCTTCCGCCCTCTCCAGTGCTGGTGTGCCCCGCTCCTGCAGGAGGGAGAGTGGCAGTGGAGCATGCCTGGATCTGCAGGTGATTGACACAGTGCGCAGTGGCCGTGACCGTGAGGATGCTGTGATGCATCACCTGCTGTGTGGAGGCCTGTACAAGCCACGGCGCAGGGTGAGAGCAGGCGGGCTGCAGGCAGCACACCAGGGCAGAGGTGGGAGCGGGGGGGGGGGATCTGGGGAGGCTGCGTTCAGAGGCCTGGGAGGCTGCAGGTGCCAGTCTGAGGAGAGCTGCAGATCTGCAGATGCCCAGCTAACGAGTGTGGGTTTCATTGTGTCAGCAATAAGAAACCTTGGCTTTTTTTTCCCTCTCTTTTTTTGAGAAAGGGCTGACCTGATAAAAGTATTTGAGGATGCCTTCCCTGGGAGCAGGAAGCAGATCATACTGGGGGCGGGTGAACGGAGAAGCTAGGAAAGGCGGCTGGGCAGCTGGTGTGGAACACTCCAGATTCGAACTGGGTCACAGTGAGGAGGGAGAAGGGTGGAGAGGACTTGAGGGTCACTGGGGGAATGACGGAGTCAGTGACAGAGGTGGGAATGGTGAGAAGCCTGCAGGGCCAGCTCAGCATGGGGAAGGCAGACGTCTAATTTAGGGAATGTGAATGAGTGCAATGCAGATCATGAAGCTCTGGGGCTGGAAAGGCCTGACCCACTGAAAGAGAGTCCCTCACAACCCACAAGGGGGCAGCAAGTCATTACCCTGAATCTCTGAACCGGGAAGCTAGCAGTCACCTGTCCTGACAGTTGAACAGTCCAGTCTCTTTTCACTACACAGACAGAGCCAGCTTCCTGTAACTTGGCCTCACTGAGCCTGTTCTGAGTCTAAATCTGCAGGACAAGTCTCAGAGGTTTTAAACTGGCTTCTTTCCACACCAGCCATATTTCTGGTCCCTGCTGTGTCTTCTTTGGCTGTAAGAAATGGGGAAGACAATGCAAAGGGCTAGGCTGGCCAGGGGGAGCAGAGGGCTGTGCTCACTTTTTGAAATCTGGGTTTGCACTCTCTTCCTGCAGCGCAAGGTCCCTCCAGCTCATCAGGGACTCTGTGCTGACATTACAATCTGCTGCATAGACCCCTGTGTCTTTCTTAGGTGACAGCTGTCAAACCCTATTTATCCAACTCTGGGAATTCTAAAACTTTTTTTCTTATTCAAAATTTCAGTAGATAATGAAATAACCCATTTGTCCCAGTAATTACAAATATTTAATTTTGTATATTCTCTAGCTACATCATGTCCCACCCATTCTATCTTAGAGCAAACTCCAGACATCATATCACAGTATCTCTAAATATTTCAGTCTGTGTCTCTTGATGTGTCAGGAACTCAAAACTAAAACCCTCATTTCATTATCCTCAAAATAACAATAAACATGCACACATTATTCAAGAAGTATGTTTTTCTAGCTGGTTTGTCCAAATCAGGATACAAATAAAGTCCAAATTTTGTATTTGAGAAATATGTCTCTTCATTAAAAAAAAAAATCATTCCTTTCCCTCCCCTTACCCCTTTTGATATTTATATCTTTGCTGACTATATTCCAGTGGTGTTTAATATATTCCTTCATCTCTGTGTGAATACTTGCTGGTAACTAAATCTAGTGGCCCAAATCAATGGGAATTCAATAGTTATACTTTCTATTTCTTATTGTGTCCCAGGAAAAAGTATGTGTGTGTACTCGTGTGTGTGTGTACACCCATGTGTGTGTGCATATATGTAAGATTGGTTAGTGGGTTCACTCCCATCAGTTCCTGTGCAGTTACAAAAAAACAAAACAAAACCTCCATGGAGTGAGCTTGTGCTTATCCTGTGAAATATCATCTCATTTGATTCAGCCCATCATTCCATCGCCTGTGGATCCCATGTCTGCCACCAACTGTCTCCTTTTCAGAGTCATACCATCTGCTAAGCCTGTTAAGTTTGTACTCATCCAAATCAACATAAACATGTTGAACAGGACAGAGCTGAGGACACAGCCCTGTGGCCTGCCACTAAGAATTTCTTCCAGGCTGACATGGACCAAGCATTTTTGGGGTATGGTTACTCAATCAGTTCTGAATCTACTTAGTTATAACAAATCACAACCCATTCTTTCTCATATGCACTGTAGAAACACCATCACAGAGAGAGAGAGAGAGTGCTTAGTGTGCAGCTGAAAAGGTAAGATTCAATGATCTGGAAAGAAACATAGGCCTGGAAATCAAGGATTTGGAAGTAACTGACAGCAGGGGTCTCCTTAGCAGGGTCCACTAGCATTCTAGACTACACATTCCTGTTTTTACCTCCTGGAGCTTCTCTAGTACAGGGCTGGACCAGGCTCCAGGTGATTCAAATTCAGCTGGTCTTATGGCTGGTGTTGTGGTCCCAGAGCAATATTGCCGGGCCAGCTAGAGCCAAGAGGGAGAAAAAGTTCTCTCCCAGGAGCTTGTAGAGGCAAGGGCAAGTAAAGGAGGGCCAAGGAGAACGTTGTGGAGTGTGGAAGGGAAAGGTGATGAGGCAGAAGAGAAGAGACACAATTCCTGGAGAAGCAGTAGTGGATGGTCCCAGGCCTGGGGCAGGTGGCTGGATGCCATGCCAATGCCAGAGCACTGGTAGCCAAGGAAAAGGCAGAGCCATGCAGGTGTGGACCCTGGAACTGCACTGCTGGTGCTGTACAAAGAACTTGGACTAGGAATAGTGTCAGAGTCCACAGCTGGAAGTGCGGCATCTACAGGACTCACAGCGTCTGAAGAAAGGCTTCCCTCAAGATCAGGGCAGGAGAGGAGGGGCAGTGGTGAGGGAAGGGGGAAGAGCCAGAGCAAGGATAAACAGGGAGCATGGAGCTGAGCAAAGCAGAGGCAGCGAGGACCCTCTTATCCCCAGAGACAGGTGGAGCTCTTGGAGCAGCAGAAATCATGAGTTAGGGGACAGGGACCATGCTGGGGATCTGGAACTCTGGGCAGTACTTTAGGGATTAGCTAACACCAGATAATGGAAAGGTTGCTATGCAGACAAAGGCAGAATTGGAGGCAATCCAGGTGAATGTGTAGATGGTGCAGTTTGGGGAAAAAGTTAAAAAGAGTGGATGGGGGTGGTTCTGAGTTGGGCACAAGCAGCTGGGACTGAAAGGTTCCAGGTGTCAGAGGTTGTGATCCTGGGTGTCGTGATGATTGTAGAAATGGAAGTAGAAAGAAGGAAATGTTCCACTTGGACTTGTTGACAGCCCCAGGGTACAAGACATAGGACCTCCCATCTCCTATCTACTTCAAATTAGAGAACCGGGGAATGGGCACCAGGGACAGGGAAGGCCAGGTGCAGGGGATAAGCTCTTAGATGAAGGGAAGGTTTCCTGCAATGAACTGAGAATACAGAGCCCTTGGCTGAGTTCTTACTGGATTGTTTTGTTTCTCAATGCATAGCTAGTGATGGAAAAGCTGGGCTGGCAGGATTTGTGAACATGTTGGGCTATAGCCTGGGGTTCCTGCGACAGGCCAAGGCACCCGACCTCACAGCAGGGTGGGGCTGTCATTGCCAGTACAAAGCCAGCTGCAGCCGCCACTTCATCTCCGAGGATGCACAGGAGCGGCAGGACAAGGAAGTCTTCCAGCAGAACATGAAGCGGCGGCTGGAGTCCTTTAAGTCCACCAAGCACAACATCTGCCTCACCAAGAGCAAGCCCCGACCACGCAAGGCTGGCCGCAAGAAGGCACGTCCTTCCCCTGGGACTCCTCTGTGGGGCTGGAGGCTGACAGCTCCCGGCTTGGAACCCTCAAGTGTTAGACTTCAGCCACAGGGTTTCTTAGAGGTCTCAGGACCGTAGCAGTTGGGGTTTCCTATTAGATTTCCCTGTGGCTCCTCAACAGTAGAGTGTCACTCAGAGGGCAGGCAGGCCTCCTGGCTATGTGGTTACCTGCTGGGAGACATCGGGACCTCTTACCAGGTAGGAGAAGGTGGATTTCTCAGAGGGACAATGCCATGAGGCCTTCAGTCAGCCCAGCCTAATGGGCTTGTGGGGTGGGTTTCTCAGACTCCACAGTTACTGCCTGCTTGGCCAAGGGATGGTAGGACCACTAGGACTGACACAGATCCCTTCTGCTGAGTTAGGAAGACCTGTCCTCCCACCGACCCTACCAGATGACAGGGCGGTGGTGGGGGGCATGGAGCCGGGGCCAGAGGCTCAGATTTTTTTTCTTGCTTCTCAGAAGGATGGTGTGGCTAGTGCTGAAGCTACAAATGGGAAACCGCCTCGAGACCTGAGCTTTCAGGACACAGGCAAGGGGAACACAGGGAAGGAACTCGGGGAGGGGGATGGGGAGTTGGAGGGAGAAGGGCAGAGGCGGACCCCAGCCACCAGAATCCTGGAAGGTCTCCTCTAGGGTGTATGCAGCACCAGGAGTTGGTGCTTTCTCCTCGGGGACTAGATGAGCACCCTGCACTTCAAGGCTGAGATTCTCAAAACAGTTCTCAGCATGTGTGGTGGGATGAGTCTGTTTGCCAACTATGGGGTTACAGGCCCTGAGGACTTGGAAAAGGGGTCACAGCAAAAGGACAACTTGGAACAGCCTTGAAGCATGGTGGCCCTGGGCCAAGGGTCCTGTCTGCAAAGCCAGTTCTGGATGAACTATCTGCCAATGGGATGCTGTGCCCAGCACTGCTTCCTCTGCTTGCCTGCCTGGCTTCTGTAGGCTTCTCTTCCTCTCAAACCTCTTGTCCCCCAGGCAATGTCTCAGGGGCCAGAAGGGAAGGCAGGTGCTCCTGTTAGTGTGGGCTCTGCTGCAGATGACAGAGGCTTGGGGTATGTGTGACCTTGAGACAGCCACCATGCTAGCCATCCTGACTTGCTCTTGTCCCTGTTCAGCTGCTGTGATACTAACTGTGGAGTCGGAGGAGGAGGAGGAAAGCGACAGTTCAGAGACAGAGAAGGAAGACGATGAGGGGATCATCTTTGTGGCCCGGGCCACCAGTGAAGTTCTCCAAGAGGGCAAGGTCTCAGGTAACGGCCTCCTCCCCACTGGAGCTGGCAGCTTCCTGCCCTCCTCCCTCATGGTCTCTGCTCCAGAAAGCTCCCTTCTCCTGCTGACCAGTGTACTCAGCACCCAGCATTTATCAAGTATCTCTTTTATGGGAGGAAGCTGACACAAAAGGGGCTGATTCAATCCTCACAAGAGCCAAGGTGTGTGACTTGCTCAGCGTCACAGAGCCCAACCAGGACTTGTAACTGAGCGGGCCAACACCAAAGCTCACAGTGGGGCACTGCCTCTCCCACCAATGCTGGTGAGCAGACCTGACAGCAGGCTCAGCTACGACCATGCTCGGGGCACCTGTCCCCTGATACATTCCTGGCCGAGTTGGGGCAGCTGGACTTGGGGGTGGAGCCTGAACCAATCAAGATGGAATTATTGCAGATTTAAGCAGTAATAGGCCTGTATGCATGTGGTGAAGCCATAATCCATTTATAATGCTAGACTTCATTGGTTGTGAGCTCAAGCAACTCAGATGTCTTTTTTTTTTTCTTTTTTTTTTTCAGATGTCTTTTTAAAAAACTTTTATTTCAGGAAACTTAAAAATATATGCTCATGAATCTCCTTCATTAATTACCTTCTCACAGCCAGTTTTATTTCATCTATAACCTCACCAAGGTGCCTCATTCTACTAGATGCTTTTGAAGCAAAACATTTCAAACATCTTGGTACTTCATCAATAAATGCTTCAGCACATATCCAAAGGATTTTTATTTACATGATTTGGGAATCACAGGGACAGCTGAACACAAAATAACTCCCATTGGTTGGTTTGTACCCCCAAATGCCCAAAATGGGCAGGACTGGAGCAGGCTGAAGCTGGGAGCTAGAGACTCAATCCAGATCGCCCATGGAGGGACAGGAACCCAATGACTTGAGCTATCACTACTGCCTCCCAGGGTCTACAGTAGCTGCAAGTTGGAATGAGGAGAGGAAAATTTTGGACCCAGTTTTAGTAGGACTGTCCAAATGACAATCTAGATAAAATTCATACACTGTGGCACAGCAAGTTAAGCCACTGCTTGCAATACCACTGGCATACCCTGCTAGGCCAGCTCCTCTGCTTCTGACCCAGCTTCCTGATCAAGGGCCTGGAGAGTCAGCAGCAGACGGTCCAAGTACTTGGGATGATACCCCCAGGTGGAAGACAAGGATGGAGCTCCTGGCACTTGCATGGAGTAAATTTCTAGGTCTTTAAAATAAGTGCCATGGCATAGTAGGCTAAGTGTCTGCCTGTGGTGCTGGTACCCATGTAGGCATCAGTTCAGGTCCTGACTATTGCACTTCTGGTCCAGCTCCCTGCTGATGACTTGGGAAGGCAGTAGAGGATGGCTCAAGTCCTTGGGTCCCTGCACCCATATGGGAGACCCACAAGTTTCAGGTTCCTGGCTTGGGACTGACTCAAGTCTAGTCATTGCAGCCATTTGGGAAATGAAGTAGTAGATGGCAGATTGTGTCTCTCATTTTCGTAACTCTTTCAAATAATAAATCCTTTTAAAAATATTTTATTGGAAAGGCAGATTTACAGAGAGAGAGAGAAGAGGGACAGAGAAAAAGATCTTCCTTCTAATGGTTCACTCTGCAGATGGCCACAATGGCTGAAACTGGCCCGATCCAAAGCCAGGAGCTTCTTCCAGGTCTCCCACGCTGGTTTAGGGTTTTAAGGCTTTGGGCCACCCTCTACTGCTTTCCCAGGCCACAAGCAGGGAGCTGAATGGGAAGTGGGGCAGCCGAGATACAAACCAGAGCCCACATGCAATGTGAAGATTTAGGCACTAGGCTGCCACACTGGGCCCAATAAATCCTTCTTTTGTTAAAAAACAAAAAAAGAAAAAAAAGATTTATGTATTATCTTTTTTTAAAGATTTATTTAATTTTTTTTTAATTGTAAAGTCAGATATACTGAGAGGAGGAGAGACAGAAAGATCTTCATCTGATGATTCACTCCCCAAGTGACCACAATGGCTGGTGCTGTGCCGATCTGAAGCCAAAAGTCAGGAACTTCGTCCAGGTCTCCCACGTGGGTGCAGGGTCCCAAAGCTTTGAGTCATCCTCGATTGCTTTCCCAGGCCACAAGCAGGGAGCTGGATGGGAAGTGGAGCTACCAGGATTAGGACCAGTGCCCATATGGGATCCTGGAGGACTTTAGGCGCTATGCTATCACACTGGGCCCATATTTATTCATTTGTATCTTAACGACAGTTACAAAGAGAGAAAGAGAGACTGAGACAGAGAGAGAAAGAAAAGATCTTTCAGGCCTGGCGCAGTGGCGCAGTGGTTAAGGTCCTCGCCTTGCACACCCGGGATCCCATATGGGCGCTGGTTCTAATACTGGCAGCCCTGTTTCCCATCCAGCTCCCTGCCTGTTGCCCAGGAGAGCAGTCGAGGACGGCCCAAAGCCTTGGGACCCTGCACCCGCGTGGGAAACCCGGAAGAGGCTCCTGGCTTCGGATTGGCATAGCATCGGCCCTTGTGTTCACTTGGGGAGTGAATCATTAGACGGAAGATCTTCCTCTCTTCCTCTCCTCTCTGTACATCTGCCTTTCCAATAAATATAAAATAAATCTTAAAAAAAAAGAAAAGAAAAGATCTTCCATTTGCTGTTTCACTTCCCAATGGCAGCAATGGCCAAAGCTGCACTAAGCTGAAACCAGGAGCCTTCTCTGAGTCTTACATATTGGTACAGGAGCCAAGGACTAAAGCTATCCACCACTGCTTTCCCAGGGAGCTGAACAGGAAGTGGAAGAGCTGGGATTTGAACTAGCATCCATATGGGATGCCAGCACTGCAGTTAGAAGGTTAGCCTGCTTAGTCACCATGCCAACCCCAATACATTTTTTTTTTTAATTTAAAGAATAATCTATTTTTATTGGAAAGGCAGAGTTATGGAGACAAAAAGGGAGAGAGAAATCTTCCATCAGTTGGTTCATTTTCCAAATGCCTGCAATGGCCAGGGCTGGGCCAGTCCTGAGAAGTCAGGAGCTTTATCTGGGTTTTCCCCATGGGTACAAGGACCCAAGTATTTGGGTCTGTTCCACCACTATCTTAGGTGCATTAGCAGGGAGCTGGATCAGAAGCAGAGCAGCCAGGGATGCCTGCGCACATATGGGATGCTGGTATTGTAGGTGGTAGCTTAACCTGCTGGGCCATGATGCTGGTCTCTCTGGTTTCATGCTTAACCATGGCTCAGTCAGGAAGTTAACTGGACTGCTTGGGAACTTAGCCATGCTAAACACATGTGCAAGGCCCCGTGCTTCATACTGGCCAGCTGGGGGTGGCAGGTGACAAAGCAGTTCCTCAAGGTTCCTCTCTGAGAACTTGACTTTCATAGTTGAGTGGCCTGTGGCTGTGGGAGTCTCCTGTTAGGGCCTGCCTACACCATGTCAACCCCTATGTGGCACTCACTTATGCTCTGTCTCCACAAGAGGGCTGTTTGAGAGTGGGGCTCAGGCAGTCACACAGCAAAGCCTCCAGCCTATAGCCTTGTTCTCCTGTCCCTCTCCCTGACTGACTGGCTGGCTAGCCTGGTTGGGCTTGGCAGGATGCAGCACACTGGGTGCAGGTGACTGAAGTTGGGGCTGCTTTCCTGGCTGGCTCCTGTTTCTGCCTGCTGTGGTTACTTTCCCTTGTTTGGTAGGTAGTTCTTGAGCTGCTGCTTTGTGTCCTGCCTGGTGCGAGGTGCTGAGGATGACAACACAGGGCAAAGCCAGTCATGGTGCCTCCCCTAGCCAGGCACTCATCAAACACTTAGGGGAATGTCACATGGGGACCACAGGGCTAATCTGCTTACAATAGAGAGAGAATATGCCTCACCTAGAAGAAATACTGCTGTGTTGCTAATGAGCTCCTGTGTGTTCTCTGTCCCCAGGAAGCCTTGAGGTGTGTCCCAGCCCACGCATCATCCCCCCATCTCCAACCTGTGCAGAGAAGGAGCTGCCCTGGAAGAGCGGGCAGGGGGACCAGGCAGTCTATGTGTCCTCAGAAACCACCAAGATCGTGCCCGTGGACATGCAGATGGGCTGGGACCAGAGCCTTTCTTCCCTGGAGAGCCTGGCATCCCCGCCCTGCACCCAGGCCCCACCTCTGCCTCGCCTGCCTGTTTGGCCCCTGGCTGCTGCTGCTGCCGCTGCCGAGGAGCCCACACTGGACCTGCTTTCTGATCCTCGCCCCAGCTTCGCCTTCCCCCCAAGCCTGGCCAAAGCTGGCCGCTCCCGCAGTGAGAGCAGCGCTGACATCCCCCAGCAGCAGGAGTTGCAGCCCCTCATGGGCCCCAAGGATCCCACTCGGCTCAGCCCAGGCACTGCGAACTCCCACTGGTGCATCCAGCTGAGCAGAGGTGGCCTGCTGTAGCCCAGGGCCCCGGGGAGGGATGAATGGTGAGTTCCCAAGGGAGCCCCTCAGCCTGATGTGGGGCCTCTCTGGGGCTGGTCCTCATGGGGACCCTCCTCATCAACCCTCCCTGATCCTAACCCCTGCCACCTTTCATTTTAGAAACGCACCCACCTTCCTCGCCAGGCCACAACTTCTAGGGGCTGAGGTTAGAGACTTGGGTAACTGATGGCCCTTCCTCAGAGGGTCTTCTGTAGGCAGCTGCTCCAGGCCCCAAACCAAGATATTACTCCTCAACAGATGCTGCCTGCCCCACTCTCCACATGGCCTCCTGCCAGCATGTCTGAGACAGTGCCGTGGCAGTGAGGCTGAGCTGGCCCTAGATGGCACTGGGGGATGGGAGGTAGAGCAGGCCTCAACCTCATGTTTGGCTACTCATGCAGGGTCAGGTACCCAGTCAGTTTTTTCAGGGCAGTACAGCTCTTTGCCTCCACTTCTTACGTCAGCCCTTCCCTGTGTTGTCAGGTGTTGGGGCAGCAATTCTTCCTGTCTCTAGCCCGAGGCCAGGAGCCTAAGCTAGGCTTCAGTGCAGGGGTGCTTCTCAGCCAGGGGACCCATAGGGATCAGCTACTCTGAGGCTGATCTGGACTGCCCTGATGCTTGGGGCTGTGTATTCTGAGGAGAGGTGGTCCCCCATGTCCCCAAACAGGGAAGGACCCAGGGCTGCTGCTCCATTGTCCTGCGGGCTGGGATGCCTGGCCACAGTGGTAAGGGTCAGGGAGGATACTGAGTGGCAGGTGATGTTCCTGGGGTTGCCACCTGCCCTGTGTTTTGTACTTTGAACCTAGGCTCCATTAAACATCTCTCAGATGGACAGGCGTCCTGTGTCCGTGTATCTGTGGGCTCCTGGGTGGGAACAAGAGCATCTGGCGAGGGAGTGGAAACCTCCAGCTGCTGCCCAGGACTTCCAGGACAGGGACTGGCGGGTAGTGGGCTGAGGGCCTTCAGCCTCTGTGCCTTGCCCGTGCTGTTTCAACACAGGTCCATCACTTTTTTACTGTTTGGCACGATCCTAAAGAAGGGTGTGGCATGCCAACTGTTGGTTCGGGGGAATGACTGCAGGTCTCATTAGCAGGCCCGCAGCTCCTGTTTATCTCTGCTCAGGTTCGTGCTGCCAAGGACAGGGGGTTGAGGGAGGCTCGGGGAAGGGACATGGTAGCAAAGCCCAGCCCCACTTCATGAGCTCAGTGGAAAAGCCTACTGTGAGCAGAGCCCCGACAATGGGCTCCATGAGTCACTGCTCAGTCCTGCGAGCTCAGCCTGTGCAGCCCGCTGTGGTCAACCGCTGTGGGCTGGCCCTGGGCCCAGCCCCCCCGGGGCTCTCCACCCGGCCTCAGTCTGTCCCCATTTCTGTCTGTACCTCAGCCATTCTGGGTTCAGGTCTGTGCGCTTTGTAGCCTTCAGCATCTTCTCTGTCTCTCCTTTGGTGATTCTGGCTTCTATGAACTCACAGATGGGGAGCCCTGGGAAGGCAGGGGTGCGGTGATGCGCCTCAGGCTTCCCTCATCAGGGTTTGTGGCAGGCCATGTGCTGTGTGCTGGAAGGACAGAAGTGGACAACATATAATCTGTTTCCATGAAGCTTACGATGCACATTCTATGTGGAGCAGAGGGCCCCAGGCCAAACCCTGCCTCTGTCTTGGTGTGTCTGGGTAGCCCCCTGGGAACCTGCCTGCTGTGCCCACAGGTGCCAGGGTAAGCTATGGTCTGCAGCTGAGGCCTCTTCTTTGCCTCTGGCACTGAGATGGGTATGTGTGTCTGCCAGTAGGTCTGCCCCAGCTCTTAGGGTGTCTGAGGGGGTGGGGGAGGAAGGCTGGCTAAAGGATGGGGTGAACAGCAGATGGGAGGGGAGAGGGCAGGAGGTGGTGACTCAGTGGGGGCGGCCCTGGGACAGAGCTGGGGACCAAGCCAAGGCTGGGCCCAGTGCTCGCTGAAGCTAGAGGAGGGTAGGATGGAAGGTCTGGCTGGGGCTTGGACATGCAGCAGGACAACACCAAAGTCACTCCTTCAAAGCCAGGCTTGTGCATGAAGAAGGCTCCTCAGTAGCAGGGAGTTTAGACTTTGGGTGCTAGCCTGGGTGGGCCCGTTCGTCATGCTCAGGTTCATGGGAGCCACTCCTCCATCTTAGGGTATGGGGAAGCTAGCCCATCCACTTTTTCCTCTCCTCCCTGCTGCCCAAGGATGCTGTTTACACATCCCACCTTCTCATAATCTCCCCACAAGTCTAGGAGCCAATGTCAGACCCGAACCACGTGTCCCAGAGGGCCTCCAGACACCAGAGTTGGGAAGTCTGTCACTGCTCTCCCAGGGGCTCCCTTCCATCATTGCAGGATGTCCTGATTGAGGGGGCAAGGTAGGAATACCACCAGCACTGGCAGTGAGCAGGGGGTTCACATGTGGGGTCTCCCTAGTCCTTATGGCAAGCTGAGATGAAAATAACTTTTTGTTTTTTTTGGGCAGGTGAGTCCCAAAGACAAAATCATCTGGAACCCGGCAGCAGGTAAGTACAGGAGCCAGGCTTGGGCTGGTGCATCCCGCTCCCGGACCCCAACCTCAGCAGCAGCTTCCTCATGGGACTTTGCAGGGAAAGCAGAAAGAGGTGCCATGGCTGCAAGTGGGTGGAGGGGCTGGCCTGCTGGTCCTGACAGGCCTGGGTCAGCTTCCACCATGCAGCCCGGAGACCAGCCTCATTCAGTGAGTGCCTGAGCCAGGAAACCTGGAGGAAGATGGGGTTGCGCTGGAGGACCCCTCACTCTCACCCTGCGCGAAGATTCCCCTTGGGTTTCCAGTTGCTTGAGGCTGGTCGGGTTTAGGGAGTCCCTCCCTCATATGCACTTTTTCTCCTTGGGGTCAGCTCCTTGTTCCCAACCCCTCCTTCCCATATACGGCAGAGTACACTCACCCTAGGGATCTCAGGGGTCCCCCTCCGGGCTGTAAGCTGGAAGAGGGCACGGCCTGGTGGCTGTGCACCCCAGAAAGGCCGAGACACCGAGGGTAGGGCGCGCCAAGCCACTGAGGGATTCCGGGGGGCAGGGCAGGGTGGAGCGAGCCGCGTGACCCGCGAGAGGAGGAGAGTAGCGGGGCGGCTTCCTTACCCATCCATCGGGCCGCCCGGGAGGTCCGTTCGCCTCGGTGGGCAGCTGTGAGGTGCCCTGCAGCTCCTTACTCCCGCCCGTAGGGGGCGGGGCGTCGTCCTCTGCATCTTGGCCTTAACTGCCCTGCGGCCGGGAGGCGGCGCCCGAGGACGCCGTCGAGGCTGCCGTCGGTTCACTTGAGGGTTCGTTCAGTAGTGCTGCCACTGGAGCCTCTCGGTTTCCTGTGGCACGGCCCCGGGAAGGAGGGTGGTGAGTACAGCCTGCGGGAGAGGGAAGGCATGCTCCGGAGCCACCAAGGAGCCAAGGCCAGGCTGTGCCGACCGAGGCAGAGGGCAGCTGCAGCCTGCGCCTCCCGCGTGCGTCCACGATGCGACCGTGCGTCGGTGGGCGGCACCCACCCACAGAGGCTCACGGGAGCGCGACGCAGGCGTGGGCAGGAAGGGAAAGGCGTGACGTGCTTTTTCCTTCCCAGGTCCGCGTCTCGGGGCGACCGGTGGTCTGGCCTGACGTCTAACCACCTTCTACGGCCTCGTACTCGACCCTCATCCGGCATCCCGGCTTCTGGGTGAGCTGAGGCCTCCACACAGAGCTTCAGCCCTGCCCCACCGGCTGCCCTGAGCCGACCCACCTTAGCGGGGTGATGGAGGGGTCGGTGCAGGATGGAAGTGAGTCCCCAGATGCCCAGGGTCATGCCACTGACTGGAGGTTTGCTGTGTGCAGTTTTGGGGAAGCCTGGGAGGAGGAGGAACCACCTGCTCTCCAGATGCAGGTTCCAGACCCCATTCCTCCAAGAACCATGGTGGAGGCGGCCCTGGACTCAGGGCTTCAGTTACCCCCAGAACAAACAGTGTCTGCTTCAGGCCACTCAGAAGAGCCGGCTCCCTCGGGCGTGGAGAGCCTGTTACTCCCCATGTCATCCATGCTCAGCCTGGCACAGGGTGAGGGTGCCAGCCCCGAGAGTGGCTGGACAGGGAACTCAGGCCAGGTCAGGGTAGTGCCAGCTGGCCTGGGCCCTGGGGTATTGGACGGTGCTTCTGTGGACCTTGGCGACCCTTCGGTAGAGACCTCACCAAAGCTGCTGGAGGCAGGTAAGGGAGGTGGGGCCCAAGGAAAGGGAGTGGGGATGCTCTGGAGGGGGGGTGTGGAGACCCTGGAGGTGCTGTCTGTCCCTACTCAGCCGAAGAGGGTCCGAGAAGGGGGTCTTTGGGCAGGTGGGGAAGTAATGACGCAGTCATTTCCTTTTCGAAGATTCCAGTGACTCCGGTCCTGCTAAGCTTCCTGATGGCCTCCTGGCCCAAGACCTGACCCAGGAGCTGTTGGCCAGTGGCATGGCAGCCTTGCCAGGTAGTCAGGCGGGCCTGGAGGGGGTGGGAGTGAGGTACCCCAGCTGGGCAAAAGTTGACTTCCTAATCCCCACAGGGACCCGGGATGTAGAAGGCCGAGCTGTGCTGCTTCTCAGTGCCCACACCCCCACCTGGAGTCACCCCCAGTGCAGCAGCCACGAACTCACCCGCCTCCTGCTCTACTTGCAGAGCATCCCTAGGTTTAAGGGGTGTTGGTGGTTGAGGGACTGAGCCCCACTTTGGAGCTGTCAGGATCTGAGAATCAAATCCCTATCCCTTTTAGACCCCATGTGCAGGCCTTGGGTCTGACGGTGCTAATCGATGCTCGGATGTGTTCCCCAAGTTCTTCCCTCTTCTGGGGACTCAGCCAGCTACAGGTAAGTGTGGGACTGTGGCCCCAGCCCTTCACCCTACCCCTGCCCCGTTCCACGTGTGTGGAGTTGCATGGGTGCAGGGCTGAGCTGATGATTGCAATTGCTTTCAGGATACAATCCCAGGGTCCGTGTATCGTGTACTGCTAGTAGGAAAGATGCCAGAGGAGGCGCCATCAGAGCTGCGGGTACTGACCGAATGTGCTGGGGGGATGGAGGTGGAATACCCCACCACACAGGTCCCGGTCATCTTGCTGCCTTCTCCACAGCTGGTGCAGGTGCCCTCCCGCCAGAGCCTGCTGACGCACTTCCCCTCTGCAGGGCTTCCCATTGCAATGGGAGGGTGCCTGCCGTATTCCCACCAGGCCTGGGTGGATTTCCGGATGGTCAGTGCACCGGGGCAGGGTGAGGGGAAGGGAAGGGATGCAGTGACTTCTATCGGAGCGTGTTCTGGGCTGGCTCCAGTGAGCATGTGGCTGGCAGGGACCCGGGAGGACTGCCAGCAACACATGCACTGCTCTGGTCATATCTGCTTCTGCCCACAGCGCCTGGAAGCCCTAGTGCAGAGCTGCCAGGGGGTATGTGCCACACTGCAGAGAGCCATCGAGAGCGTGAAGGCTGTGCCCCAGCCTGTGGAGTCTGGGGTGAGTGTCCCCTGTCAGCACCTTTCTTCCAGAATGCTCCCTGTTTTGCCCTTTCTCTGCCTTGTCCACCCAACTATCTGTTGTCCTGCATCCTAGGAAGCTGATGGCCTGCTGCAGCAAATGAGGGTCTTGATGCAGCAGGTGCTAGACTCACCACAGCTGGCCTGGCTGCAATGCCAGGGGGCTGTGGAGCTGGCATGGCTGAAGCACGAGGGCCCAGGCGTGACCCTGAGCCCAGACTACAGGTAGGCAGCCACCATTTCCCATGCCAAGGACTTGAGCTGCTGGCCAGATTCGGTCAGGATTCAGGGTCTCAGGACAGGGTGGCGTGTGGAGTGGAGCAAGAGGACTGGTAGGGCACAGAGGAAGACCATGTACCACTGTGCACCAGGCCAGCTATGGACAAGGCTGAGGAGCTCTATGGCTGTGTGGACAGACTGCTGCACCAGCTGACCCTTCAGAGCAACCAGCGAATACAGACCCTGGAGTTGATACAGACATTGGAGGCCCAGGAGGGCAGGCTGCACCAGGTAGGCCCTGTTTCCTTTCTCAGGCCTGATCCCCTGACGCCCCTACCAAAGCTCTCTTCAACTTTTCCTGCTTGTGTCCCACCAGATTGAAGTATGGCTACAGCAAGTGGGCTGGCCAGCCCTGGAGGAGCCCAGGGAGCCCTCACTGGACATGCTGCTGCAGGCCCAAGGCCCTTTTCAGGAGCTGGACCAAGTGGCTCAAGTAAGTTTGGTTGCTTGTTTATGCTGCAGGTGTTGGGGGTCCCTTGGGCCAGGCACTAGGAAGTCAGGAGTGAGTGAAAACAGATGGAAACCTTGTGCTTCTTGGAAAGCTGAGGATTTTGAGTTCTAATCAAAGGGTCACAGTTATGAATGTATTTGCAGACCAAGGTAGGAGTCCTGGCAAGAAGCAGGGCAGGATTGAAGGCCTGTCAGCCAAGGTGGTGGTGATTCTTGTTTTTTGAGTTACATTTGAACTGAGAGCTGAAGGACAAGTTGGTGTCAGTCAGGCTGAAGAGGGTTGGAGATGGGGTTTCAACATCCCAGCCTGGGGAAACAGCAGGCTCACAGATCCTGTGGCAGGGTTAGGAGCCGCAAAGCCAGTGAAGTTGAACTGCAGAGCAGAGGAGTGAGAGTGGGATAAGGTGAGGAGTGGAGGCTGGAAGAATGGGCGGGCCAAGTCCCTAGGCCCTGGAGTGTAATCAGAGCTGCAGTGTAGCATCTTACCCTCAGGCTGATGAACACCTGCATACAGAACCATGGGACACAGAGAGCTGGCTGTGCCTTCCTCTGTGGCAAGGGAGACAGAGGGGAGGGGGGCAGGCAGTTAATTTCGCAGGGAAGATCCTGATAAGCCAGTGACATCCTATGTTGGAGTTATCTGGGTTTGACGACCTGGCTTCAGCTCTTACTCCAGAGCTCTGGTGATTCAGATTCTCGGAGCCAGCGCCCAGGTGATGGCTCCAGGAACCCGAGTCCTGCCAGCCACACAGGAGGTCTGGATTGGATTTCTGCCTTGGGCCCTTGACTGCTGCAGACATTTAGGGAGTGAACCAGTGGACGGGATGCCCATACCTCCCTCTGCCTTTTGAAAAAGAAAATTAAAAATTCAGAAAGAGTTGATGGGGGGTGTTGTCAGAATGAGTGGGTGCTGTTCCCTGAGGACTGACAACTGAGACCTCTCAGGGGTATGGGTATTTGTGAGTCCAGTTATGGGTGTGCTTTTGGGTGTCCTAAAGATCAGGAGGGGTCTGGCTAGTCATTCAGTGGCTGTAGGTGTGTGGGTGACACAGGGTAGTCACACAGGAGAGAAGCACATGATTTTCAGGAATCCCAGTGTTAAATGGCCCCAGGGGAGAAGGGGAGCTGGAGGAAGGGCTGCCAAAGGAGAGGGGGAGTCGGGAGGAGGCGGGGAGCCCTGGGGTAAGGCGGAGTGCTATTGAGATGCACTCAAGAGCCAGGGGGAGTGGGTGGAGAGAAGGCACCACCACAAGAGTCCTGACGGCTGATGGGCAGGTGTCAGTGAGCTGCATGTGTGTTCAGGGCTGGGTTACAGTGTGGGGGTAGCTGAGCCCACTCTGTCTCTCCAGGAGCAGGTCAGGCAAGGGGAGAAGTTCTTGCAGCTGCTGGCTGGCTGTGAGGCGGGCAACCTGGGTCCTCTAGGGGCACGCTTTCTGGCCCTGCGGGCCCAGCTGAGTGAATTCTCACAGGCTCTGGCCCAGCGGCGCCAGCGGCTGGCAGATGCCGAGAGGCTGTTTCAGTTCCTCAAGCAGGTGAGTGCACAGCCCTGTTCCACTGTATGGTCAGCAAGGCTACATGGGTGCTGTTCAGCTCTTCTTTGTGTCTTTAGTCTCACCCCACAATCCAGTCCCTTGGATATGACCTGGGGATGGGCAGTGGTGGGCAGAATAGCAGAAGGCTCAGCGACCTTGGGCTCAGCTTCTAATGTCTGTCTGGCCTTGGCCCTGCAGGCCTCGACGTGGGCTGAGGAGGGACAGCAGGTGCTGGCTGAGCTGGAGCAGGAGCACCCAGGGGTCGTGTTACAGCGGCTGCAACAGCACTGGACCAAGCACCCTGACTTGCCTCCTGCCCACTTCCGAAAGATGTGGGCCCTGGCCACAGGGCTGGGTTCAGAGGGCATTCGCCAGGAGTGCCGTGGGGCCTGGACACGCTGCCAGGACACATGGCTGGGCCTGGACCAGAAGCTAGAGGCTGCGCTGAAGTCAGCACCCATGGACAGCACAGCTAGCTTGGGTGCCAGCCGGCTCTCCACTGTACCTGCCGTCCCTCCCCTGAGGAAAGCCTACAGCTTTGACCAGAATTTGGGGAAACGGTTCAGTGAGCCTGGCCACTACTGCCCCCGTGTGGCCATTGTCCCTGCCTGCCGGAGGACAGAGGCTGAAGGAGGTGGCCAGCCCAAGTCATCCACATTGCCTCTACCAGGCCCTGGCTGTGACCACCCCAGGAACCCTAACAGGTACAGCCAGTGGGCAGGGCAGGGAGGGTAGTGGCAAGTCAGTGTCCTGGGTCCTGATTCCACCTGTCTGGCAGGCTACAGATGGTGCTGGCAGAGATGGTGGCCACGGAGCAGGAGTATGTCCGGGCTCTTGACTACACCATGGAGAACTACTTCCCGGAGTTGGACCGCCCTGATGTGCCCCAGGGCCTGCGTGGTCAGCGTGCCCACCTCTTTGGCAACTTGGAGAAGCTTCGGGACTTCCACTGCCATTTCTTCCTGCGCGAGCTAGAAGCATGCACACGGCACCCACCCCGCGTGGCCTACGCCTTCCTGCGCCACGTAAGCCCTGCCTGCTCCAGAGAGCTCAGAGTCAGGAGGAAAAGCAACAGGAGATGCTGTGGGCTCCTGGCGGAGCAGAGGTGTCCGCTAGCTAGAGAGAGCAAGCAGGTGGAGCAGAGCAACCTGTGTCTGCACTGGGGCAGGGGCAGGGGCAAGGGCAGGGAGGGCTCTATCCATGGTGAGCCTGACCGAGTACAGTGAACAAGTGAAGGGGGCTCTGAGCTGCGTGAAACCAGAGGAAGGTTCTTGGGGCTATGGGAGCAGCAGCTGAATGCAAGGCTCTGTCTAAGGGGCGGGAGTCTGCCCCAGGGGCCAGATCACACCTCCTTCCAAGCAGAGCAGTTTGGATGTGGGGAGGAGGTGTTCTGGGAGCCATTTGTGGTTAGCACTTTCTTTGGCCCTTTAAAGCAGAGAGATGTCTGGCCCAGGGGACAGCCTTTGGGAGCGTCTAACCCCCTACACCTGGGCTGAGCTGTGTGTCCTCACAGAGGGTGCAGTTTGGGATGTATGCACTCTACAGCAAGAATAAACCTCGCTCAGACGCCCTGATGACCAGCTATGGCCATGCCTTCTTCAAGGTAGGTGAGCTTGAAATGGCAGGAGGGTTGGGGCAGGGGAATACCTGAAGCCACCCAGTGGTTTCCCACCCCTTCCCCAGGACAAGCAGCAAGCACTGGGGGACCACCTGGACTTGGCCTCCTATCTACTGAAGCCCATCCAGCGCATGACCAAGTACGCGCTGCTGCTGCAGGAGCTGGCACGGGCCTGTGGGGGACCTCTGCAGGAGCTCAGTGCCCTGCGAGCAGCTCAGAGCCTTATACACTTCCAGCTGCGTCATGGCAACGACCTGCTGGCCATGGATGCCATCCAGGGCTGCGACGTGAGCCATTCCAGCTTGTGGTGGGTGGGTGCCATGCAGGTGGGAGAAGAGGCTGAAGGGGCAGGGCACCCATCAGGCCCCAACTTTGCAGGTTAACCTCAAAGAGCAGGGGCAGCTAGTGCGTCAGGATGAGTTCATGGTGCGTGCTGGGCGCCACAAGTCCCTGCGTCGTGTCTTCCTCTTTGAGGAGCTGCTGCTGTTCAGCAAGCCTCGCCGGGGGCCTGCAGGTGTTGACACATTTACGTACAAGCGCTCCTTCAAGGTACTCATGCCGGGTCCTGGCTCCTGCCCCTTGCCCTGGCTGTCCCCTTATTCTCCATGCGCTTCACCATGTACCTCTCCCTTGGCTACATAGATGGCTGACCTTGGCCTCACTGAGTGCTGTGGCAATCACAACCTGCGCTTTGAGATCTGGTTCCGCCGGCGCAAGGCCAGGGACACCTTTGTGCTTCAGGCCTCCGACCTGGCCACCAAGAAGGCCTGGACAGCTGACATCTCACGCCTGCTCTGGAGACAGGCCGTCCACAATAAGGGTGGGTCCATACCCTGTACTCTTCATACCCCTTGTCTGCACAGCTCACACGGAAGGCCCCAGTTCCTGGAGACACACAGGGAGTTAGGAGGAGGCCCAGGAACAATAGCCAGTGCCGGAGCAAGAGTGCCACACGGTCATGGGCTGTCACTTTCTCTGACTTTGGATGCAGGGTTAACCTCTTTGAGCATCAGAGGTCCTATCTCTAAAAGGAAGTTCTACCTCCTCCTGACTACGAGGAGAGAGGCCAGCACCAGCGAAGCCCAAGTGGCTTGTCTGCTGGGTTTGGGTGGACAGGGTGAACTTAAGGGAGTAGGAGTTAGATGGGCCTGAGGGACATGCTGCTGTTCAGAGGGGCCCCACTGATGCCTTCTCTCATCCAGAGGTGCGCATGGCTGAGATGCTGTCCATGGGTGTGGGGAACAAGGCCTTGCGGGATATCGCCCCCAGTGAGGAAGCCATCAGCAACCGCAGCATCAACTATGTCCTCAAGTGCCGAGGTAGCAGGCAGGGGGCGGGAATGATTGGCTGTGGGAGGCCATGGGTGTCTCTCCTTGGGACTGCAGGCCCAGTGACCCTCTCTCTCCTACAGAAGTTCGCTCTCGTGCCTCCATTGCTGTAGCCCCGTTTGATGACGACAGCCCCTATATGGGGGCCTCGAGCACCCTACCCGGAGATCCTGCCTCCTGTTCTGTCCTGGGGCCCCTCAACCTGCACCTGTATAGAGACCCAGCTCTTCAGAGCCCCCACTGGCCCCTGTATCCCCCAAACTTCCCAGAGGAAGCACTGCTGGAAGCTGAAGCGGAGCTGGGCAGCCAGCCCTCCCTGAGTATGTCTGGGCTTGGCCAAAGGCAGGGGCATGGTGTAGGGGCTGGATCCTCCCCAACAGCTCACCTAGTCTTTTCCTCAGCTCCTGAGGACTCGGAGGTCTCCTCACAGTGCCCATCAGCCAGTGACTCCAGTGGCTCCGATAGCAGCTGTGTGTCAGGGCAGACCCTGGGCAGGGGTCTTGAGGACTTATCCTGTGTGAGTGCCACTTTGCCCTAACCCTACCATCCCCTCACCAGCACTGTGGGGGTCTATGACTGTCTCCTTGGAATGAAACTGGGGGTGGGTAGACTACAGCCATTCCCCCAAGACTCCCTTGGGCCCACAGCCAGGGAAACACATTCACAGCTGGCCTGGCACCACAGGTGTGAGCCTGGGCTCGAAGATGAGCAATGGATCCAGCAGTCTGTACCTCCATGGATGCCCCCCCGGATCCACTGTGACTGGCAGCTGTGACGCCTCCTACCCATTCAGGCAGTACTGTTGATCACTCTTTCTGATGTCTCTGGCCATTGACTGTCACAGGGCCTCTCCAGGGTACCCTGGCAGCTGGGCCGGATGAGTATCCTGTTCCTAGGTGACTGCCCTGTGTCCCTGGCCCTGTGTCCCTATCTGTCCCCTCCACAGCTCCCACCTCCAGTTGGGGTTGGGTATCAGCTTGGGTGGAGTGCGTCTCTATGCTCTAGGTTGGTGGGGTACCATGTAGCCTTGAGCAGTGACTGGGCTGTGCCTAGCCCCCAGGGGAACACAGGTAGGTTCTAAGGTCACCAAAACAGAAGCCAGCCCATCTGTTTTGGGCCCTAGCCTTTGGGCCCTACCCTTTGCATGCCTGATTTCCAAGCCTGTCTTCTGCTTCCCAGGGCCAGTTTTGTTACTTTGTCTTGTTGCCTTTTGAATGGCTTTGTTCTCTACCATTATTTCACGAGTGTGGTTGGCGGTTCAGAGGAGGTGTGTGGTAGGACTTTGCCTTGTGATTTACTTATAATAATAAAAAAACACCAATGTGTACTCGCGAGTGAGCACTCATTTCTGGGGACCTCTTTGGTTTAAGTGAGCCCTGGCAGGTGGGGGCGTGCATGGGGTATCTCTGGGCTCCCTAGGCCTCTTGCAAGTACTTGCCCAGGACAGAGTAAGAGACAGACTTGGACAGGCCCCTCTGGATGAGCAGGTCCACGCAGCGGCCATATTTCCTGGCGAAAGGCAGTGTGAGCTGCAAGGAAAGGCTGGTCTTAGCCTTGTTATCCTGGCCAGTCACCCACTTTAACTCCATGGGGGTGGGCCCCTCCCCTCCCATCAGGCATGCCCTATTGTTGGGGGCCTCTGAGCTGCGGCTCGGATATGCCCAAAGTCATCATGCAGGGATGTGGCTAAGAGAGGCCACTAGGGAAGTGAGCAGAATGACCTGAGTCAAAAATGTTTCCTGCTACTGGTTTTCTGCTTTCTAGCCATAGATGCTGATTTCATCTTTCTAAAAGTCACAGACAGGGCTTTGGCCTTTAGAACAGAGTCTTGCTAGTGGTTGAGCACATGTGTTTATGGTGAATGTACTTGTTTAATGAGATATTAGCGAAATCTTCTTATCAACTACAATGTTCACATTAGCTTAGGGACCCCCTGGTCATCCCTCTGTTCTTATTGCTTTCTTTGTAAAGAATGCTTTTACAGCAGCCTAAATATCAATGACTAAAATGGTGACATTGTGGCAAAACGGGAACTCTGTAGCCCTGGTTAGGCTCATATGCTGTGCTTACCTGAGGGTGCCAGGCTGTTAGTAATGAAGGCACAGTTGGTATCATTGGAAGAAAATGAAAAACCAGTAGCAGGAAGACTGCTTTTTGACTACTGTGGCTTGGTTAATGTCCCAAACAGGGACCTGCCTGCTGCTCGCTTGCCCGGTCTTGTGACCTCCAGGCAGTGAGGCACAGTGAGATGTCCGTTCCCTACGGGGTGCAGGTGGCCCTCACCTCCACCCAGCTGTAGAGGCGTTCCTGGGTGTGCCGGTCATCCTTGAAGCCGCTGATGGCCAGCAGGTCCACCACAAATTGCTTGGGGCTGATGTGCAGCATCTTCCAGGAGAACCCTTGGTCAGGCAGGGCTGGGAGTACCTCCCAGCCCCTCAGTGGGAGGCAGGAGTAGGGACTTTCCAGGCCTGCAGGTGCCCCTGGGGTCACATGGGGGGTACTCTACATCTGCCTTTTGCTTAGTGCTCAGTCCAGATGGTGCTGCCCTGCCCTTCTGACATCCTTGTGCCCTGACCTCCTCCCCCACCACTGCACCCTCTTTTCTGCTTGCCTGCATCCTCTGGCCTTGAACCATTTTCTGTAGGGCTAGGGGACAGGTGGGAAGGTACAAGGTACTCCCGGGTTTGGGGCCTGTCACACATACCCACAGCTGGTTGGCTAAGGAGACCAGTTTGGCTGTGATGGATTTGGGATCCTTTTGTCTGATGGAGTCCAGGATGACATCCGTCAGGAAGCGGTGACACTTCTGTGCATAAAACATCTCTTCCCAGGACAGAGAGAAACTCAGAAAACTCACATCTGTGGGGGAAGAGGAGTGGGTATGGGACTTCTGAACAAAGACAGTATGGGTGGGGCAAGGGTCCTCAAGGGACCCACTGTCCCTCACACAGCCTGGGTGGGGGCTCAGGCCTTTATGCAAGGAAGGGTGGGGCTGGCCCGGCTGTCTGCAGGCCTCACCTTGGGGCTGAGGGTAGGCTGTGGGGGGCGTGTTTCTGAGGTTCTCCATCTGCGTGGTGTAGATAATGCTGTCCTCCAAGAACATGCAGGAGCCATCACTACCCACCACTGGGGGGTGCGTCACTCTGAGGATGATCCCTGGGCTGCCCACCTCAGGGGCCTCAGGCAGAGACGCCTCGGGGACAGGGCTTTCTGTGAAAACAGTATGGGCAGGTGACTGTCCTGTTGTGACTGAACTAGAAACCTGGCCCCTTCCTGCTGATTCTCCTAACTCCCCACCAGCTGCTTCCCTTCTAGAATAGACTCCAGGCTTCGAGCACTCCCCGCCCCCTGCTTCATTTCCACCACTCCTTGACCATTTTCTGCAGTCCACACCTGACCATATAACCCCATGTTTAAAATCTGTCTATTCCCTTTAGGGTTGGAACAGGACACCCCAGCCTGGATTTGGTCCCTAGGACCTGAGCTTCCTGTCAGTAGCCTTGCCTCCCATCTGTCTGCATGGGAAGCCCTGCCTTCAGCTAGACCTATGTCCTGTGCCTCCATGGCTGCCCTGGGCTTGTCTGTTCAGCTTCTGCACATGCCACGGTGCTCCACCACCTCTTATTCCTACTCCCCGAGTCTCCCTCTTCTCTTGCTCCAGTCATTGCTATCTACTGCCTGGCCCAGAGCAGACTGTGCTTGGGGAGGGGCTCTAGTCCCTGCTTTTCACTAATTCTGTGGGCTTGGCTGAGGGATTTACCTTGTTGTATTCTGTAAGACTTGGGTCAAGGACAGAAAAGGACTTACCTCTCTCTTTTGTCCTGTGCTTGCCCCAGTCCTTCACAGTGACAGATCGTTTCACAGGGAGGTAAGGCTTAAAAGTTGGTTCCTGTCCCTTGTCTTTTACAATGGCCCCGGCCCCAGCCTGGGGGCTGGGATCCTTCTCTGAGGCTGAGCAATGGGCTTTCCAGGCAGCTGAGGTGCTGGGTTGGACAGCAGCCTCATTGGCTACAGGGAGCTGCAGGGTAGTCTCATCCAAGGGGCTGCCCCGGGGCACTGTCAATGGCTGGAAGTCCCACTGCTTGCAATTGACCATGTCCCATTCCCTCACCAGGGAGATGAGTTTTTGCATGGGTGTGACTGGAGGGTCTTTGGTTTCAGGCTTCTGTGTAAGGTTGATTGGGGTGCTCTTTTTCTTAGGGGGGCTCTCAGAGTGGCCCCCCCAGTGTCTGGGGTTGGCACACAAGCCAGAGCAGTGTGAGTAAGCACTAGGGTTGCCTGCCCTCTTGGCGTTTCGGCACAGGGACATCTGGATAGCTCGAGTGTACTGCTCAGCTTCCTCCATCTTGCCAGATCTGGCCAGGTTCCCCTTGGCCTTGTTCCATGGAGTCCTGTCATTACAGTCTTCAAAGTCCCCAGGCATGCAGGCTGTGGCCTGGGGAGGGAGGGTCAAAAGAGCAGCTCTGGGCATATCATGCATCAGAATCTTGCCCAAGACCTAATTAGCTGGGCCTAATTGTTCTGATTGCCCAGGGCAATCCATCTCTGACACTGATCACCTGAGTGGGGATGGTGCCAACCCAGGGATCTCTTAAATGTCATTGGGAGATATCATCAGTGTCCCCCAAGTGGCTAGTCAGCCTATGAACACATTTGGTTGTGTGCCTTCATTCCTCCATGGCTCTTAGCCCCAGCCCTGTGGCAGTGGTCTTTGAGGTAAGGCCAAATAAAGAAAACTGTGACTTACTTCTTTGGCATCTCTACTAAACTCTACCAGTGACCCCGGCCCTTCTGTCACCACATGCAGCCTTCTGATTGGAAAAGCTTCTTCATTTTCAGATTCTTTCTCCTGGGTCCATGATCTGTAAAAACCAAAGGGCTGGGCTAACAGATAGAACTTCCATCAGCTCATAGACCAGTTGGTCAAGTCTGCCCTTGGCCTGAGAGTTCCTGCTAGTAAGTGCAGAGGAGGGGATCTGAACAGTTTTCATCCAGGACTCTGACCAGCACTGGGCCTGCTGCATTGCCCACACCCCAATCCCGAGAATGGGTCCCACTCTCCAAGTGGAGCACAAAGCCAGGTTTGGAATCTCATATGAAGTTTTCTTACTTGTATGCCTCACATTGTGCAAGGGCTTCTGAGAGGGATGGGATATGGTATTCCTCTACCTCCTGGCAGAAAAGGGGCCACTCCCTGCAAACAACATGAAGATGTCAGATGGGGCACCTGAGCTGGGAGGGTGCACACAGAGCCAGGAAACAGCAATGGGAAAACCTCCTCCCAGAAGGCCACCAAGTCGGGCTTCCCTATCGCAAAGGGAGAGATCAGGTTTGGGGACATCTTTATTCCCTGCTTCACCTACTTAAATTCAGAAGGTAGAAACAGTTTTCCGAGTCTCAGGAAGTTGAGGACATGCCGGAACATCTGGCCGTCGCCATGGATGAGCAGGGTCTGCCCATATGTGATCCAGTACACACGCTGAGTGTTGGACAGCAGTTCTGGGTACTAGAAGGGGTTGGCACCAGGTATACTTAGTCCCAAGGGCTAGGTCTTCAGGAAGGCACAGGTTGGCTTTTCTCACTCCACTTCCCCAACCCTTCTGGGCAAAGGCTCTGGGATTCCCAACTCCTAGTCTTGTTAGCCACAGGAAGCCACCACGGGAAGCAGCACATGCAGTGAGACACACGTTGTCTCGGCTTCAGCTTTGCTGGAGGACCTTCTCAAGTCCCCAGGAACTCTATCCTACCTCCTTCTCAGCCTAGACCCCTGAGAAACAGCCTCCTCATTAACCACCCTCCAGAGGGCCTTCCTAGCATGCTGCTTGATCCATTTCTGCTTGCCAGATAAGTGTATTCCAGGCTGTGGGGCTGGAGACAGTCCTTGTTCCAAGCAGATGCTGCGGCCTCTGTGAGGGCTGGGTGACAGGCCCCACAGCGGCTTGGGCAGGGAAATTAAGGGCAAGAAGGGTGGTGGGGCTTGCTGTACCTTCAGCAGGGTCTGCAGGGTGGTGGCGTACCAGTGGCTCCCAACATAGACTTTGATGATCTGTTGTGGGGAATATACAGTGACTTCTGCTGTCCACTCATCACCTGTGGAAACCAATGACAGGGACACATCATGTGGCCAAGAAAGGAAGTGAGGTGGAGCCTTATTTTGGTCATTCAATATGCTCATTAAACAGCATGCAGAGGAGATGCCCACACCAGCCTTCCTTGCTGCTCAGCATTGTTTCATGGATAGTGAAACAGGCTTGGAATGGCAACCTGGAGGGTCAGCTTGTGATCCTGGGGGCGGAGAGGGCAAAGTCCTAGAATTTGACTCCAAGGGCACTGCTTCTCTCCACCTCCATCAGCAAAGCTGGTGGTGCTATCCAGCTACCAGCTGCCTCTGATTTCTGGATTGCAGTATCCCGAGTGTTTAGTTTTTTGGGAGGTCACACTGGAGCTAGGAGTTCCTATAGATGGGCTTATTGTTTGGTAAGTATTGTAAGGTTGGGGCTGTTGATGTGGTGTGGCAAGTTAAGCTGCTACTTGCAATGCAGACATTCAATACTCTAGTTCTGTCAAGTCCAGCTGCTCTACTTCTGGCCCAATTCCTGCTAGTGGCATCTTGAAGGCCAGAGAAGATGACCCAAGTACCTGGACTCCTGTGGCTCATGTGAAGGACCATGACATGGGAGATTCCTGTTGCCTATGTGGAGTGGCTGGAAAATGAACCGGCAGCTGGATGGGATGCCACTGTCATAACACTGGTCCCTAAGGGACCAGTTTCTCCTGAGCTTTGTTCTGAGGGCAGGGTGTATAATTAGATTATATATTCTGCACCTGGGGGCAAGCAGAGATCTCCTTGGAACCTGTGGGCTTCAGAGGCAAGGTGGCAGTCTTGTTCTGCTCAAAACAAATTGTGGTCTTAGGGAGGGTATCTCTTTAGCAAGAAGTCACACATGTCAGTCTGGCTTCCCTCCCTCTTCTGGCCTCAGTTCTAGGTCCCACTACATCATCTTTTCTCTTTAGTCCTCCAGCCCCACCCCAACACTGTAGTAAAAGCCAGAAGCTTCCTTACTTAGCACATCCAACGGTGTTGGAGTCCTTGGCTCTAGGTGAGTCTTCAGAGCCACTTTCATGGGCTCATAGGTGATGTCCCTCTTGTCCAGGAAAGCACACAGTTCATACACCTCAGAAATGGTCTCCGTCAGAGGCAGCCGACAAGTGCCCAACCAGTTCCTGCCCAGAGGAAAGGTATGTCACAAAGAGCCTCAGCATGGCACCCCACAGAGCACAGCATGTAAACTTCCTGCTCCTGGGATGCCTGGTTATAACACAGTCTCAAATCAGGCACCAGGAGGACCCATCAGTGCATTGAGTTAACCAGAAATCTGGTGATAGACACCTCACAGGTGCATGAGCCGGGAGGCCAGCCCAGCCATTCAGAACCCAGCTTGGTCTGTCTCAGAAAAGTCCTGCAGCTGGATTCCTGTCAAGGCTCCAGGCCCTGTTTCAGGGGTCAGCAGCCAGCCCAAGGCCTGGCTGTTCCTTTACTACCCTCCCAGGCATCTGCCCAAGACATCCTTCTATAATCTTGAGATTACTAACACACTGTGTGCCCCGGGAATGCAGCCAGGTCTGATCTGCTCTGCCTTCCTGCCTCCCTCCTCCCCTTCCCAAGGCACTTGTACTATGTGATTCTAGAGTGGACATCTCCAGGAGAGATGAGTAACAGGCCTAAGGGGCATGACAGTGGTCAGGGTCAGCGGGCCTTCTTCCTCAGGGACTCAGGAAAACTCATCTCACATTTAGTTTTTGTATCAATGGATTTTGTGACCCTAAGGGTTGTTGCACTTTTCTGCAGTTTACCCTTCTGTAAAACAAGATTGGAACTTACACTCCTGGGATAAATGGGGACATTCTAATCTCATCCTTCAAGGCAAGGATCAGGCACCCCCTTGCTTGGAAGTTTCCCTGCCTTCTCATGAAGCAACCTGCCCCAGGTGCCTCCAATGGAAGGAAGAAGGACCTCTGTAGTGGGGTCTGCATGGGAAGGGGGTAACTGGCATCCTGAGAGTCTGTGATCTGGCTGCCTGAGACCTAACCCAGGGCTAGCCCCAGAGAAATGGACAACATGAGAGATATGAAGTAAGCTAGTCTTTGAACCTTGGGACACTGGCACACTTTGCACAAGCCCTGTCCTTGGAAGTTCCAGGCTGGTATGGTGGGAGCAGCAATAAATGACAGGCTAGCCCTAAGGACACTCTCACCCTGTGGTTTGTGGCAAAGAGCCCAGGCTATCCCTAACAGGGGCCATGTCCAGCCTGATGGAACTGAGCCTTGCCCACAGAGGCCTTACTTGACGTGCTGGAAGAGGACCCCATTGCCTGTGATGTACAGCCTGCTTCCATCTAGCGTGCTCTCAATCCGCAGCTGCCCCAGTGCTGAGTCGGGGTACTTGACCAGCAGACCCAGGGCCATCATGTACAGCGGCTTCCCAGACTCCAGGCCAGCTGTGCGGCCTCCTTTCCCAGGGCTTGGGGGAGGACAGGAGGTCCGGGAGCAGCCACCTGTTGGGGAGAAAAGCCCATAGGATCGAGGAGAGCATTGGGGACTGGTGGGCAAGCTGCTGGGGGTCTTCATGGATCAGTTCTGGTCCTCAGAGTAACCTTATGAGAGGCATGATCCTAGCTTCTATTGGGTCATAGACACAGAAACTGCCCAAGGGACTGATGAAGTGCTTCTTCTCTAAACTAGGAGCTAGACAGGAGCAGGTCTGGGGTTTGAGTTCAGTTCTGTCTCTCTCCAAGGTCAGTGGAGCTGTTGGCCTTAGTTATGATGCTGTATAAAAGGCTAAGCTGGAACTGGGCTGTGGCATAGTCGGTAAAGCTCCTGCTTGTGATGCTAGTATTACATATGAGTGCTGGTTCAAGTCCTGGCTGCTCCAATTCTGATCCAGCTCCTGCTTATGGTCTGGGAAAGCAGCGGAGGATGGCTCAGGGGACCCTGTACTGACCATGGGAGAGCTGAAAGAAGCTTTTGGCTTCTGGCTTCAGATGGGCTCAGCTTTTACTACTGCAAACATTTTGTGAGTGAGCCAGAGGATGGAAGATCTCTGTCTCCTCCTCTCTCTAACTCTGCCTTTCAAGTAAATATATAAGCATATATTATATAAACAAAACATAAATATATATAAACAAAATATATATAAATAATATATATTTTAAAGATTATTTTATTGGAAAGGCAGATTTACAGAGAGAAGGAGAGACAGAAAGATCTTCTGTCTGCTGGTTCACTCTGCAACTGGCCACAATGGCCAGAGCTGTGCTGATCTGAAGCAAGGAACTAGGAGCTTCTCCTGGGTCCCCCATGCAGATACAGGGTCCCAAGGCTTTGGGCCATCCTCTAATGCTTTCCCAAGCCACAAGCAGAGAGCTTGAAGGGAAGTAGAGCAGCTGGGATATGAACTGGAATCTTGGCGGATGCAAGGTGAGGACCCTAGCCACTAGGCTATCGTGCCAGGCCCTCAAGTTAAAAAAAATTATCTATCAATCTATCTACCTATCTACCTATCTATCTAAAGGGCTATGCCACACTGTGTTTGTGGAGGGCTACCCAATTCCTAGAGCCCACTATACACCTTCTTCCACTTTTGCAGGTCATGGAGTAGACACTAGTATATCCATCTCACCATGATCCTGTTCTCTGAGGATAGGAGCCTTTGGGTGGGGGTTGTGGACTCACACCAACTCAAGAAAAGAAGTTTGTAGGACCTTCCAACAGGCTTCAGGCCCATGCACAATACTACTCCCCCAGAGGGGATGGGACCCTGTCTGCCTAGGTAAAGGCTAGGAAAGTGGGGCCTGGAAATGTGGAAGGGTCTTATTCTCATAGGATCAATGCCTGATGATGCCCAGGTTTAGCCTCTCATGTTCCAGGAGGCTCTGCACCCTCTCAGAATGCCAGTCAAGGCTCTGTGCAGTAGCTAGCTCCCTGTAGTGTACACAGCAGCTTTCGTGGTTGTGTAGGAATTAGAAAATGGGATGAGGAAAGACTAAAACGAAACAGGAAGGGGCGAGCTGGCAAAAGGCAGACTGGGAGCCTGAAGCTTGCCCTACCTAGGTCAGGACAAGGCAGCAACAGGCATGGCAGCTAGGGCTGCAAGGCAGAGGGTAAGGGCAATGTGGGTGGGTGGGACAGCAGAAGCAGTGGTGGTAAATCACACATTCCCTAAGCCCCTCCAGCTGTGCCCAGGGAGAGGAGGGCAAGTGAACGCTGAGAGTCTTCAGTTGTTTGCCCCTTCCACAAGCAGGGCAGCCCAGTCTTGCCCTTGGAAGCCTGCCCTTAGGCTCAGTTCCCTCCCCAGGACTGCTGGTCTGGCTTCTCCATTGGGGCTGGGCTTCTGATGCCCCAGGTTGGCCTGTGCGCCCTACGATTCTGGCTGGCTGACCCTGGCTACCACTCAGTGAACACACAATAGAAAGGGAGGGCACACAGAGTTTTGGGCTAAAATCTCCTCTTGGATTCTAAGGCAGCCAGAACACCTGCTATTCTCACCCTACTAAACCCAAAGCAGTTGTTTGCTCTTGGATGTTCCAAATCATGCTTGCGCTGGCCCAAATATCCCAAGAGGCCAGAACTCACTGGCCCACATACCCATGTTCATCCGGTACAACTTTACGGCTTCAGTGAGCTCAGGGATTTCCAGAATTTCTACTTCTGCTTCCAACACATCTATGTTGGAGAAATTGTCTGGCAGTAAAATCTTCTGTGAGCGGAGAAAATTCACTTGAAAAGCAATGGGAGACAAGGAGCGAATTATTTCTGACTTACTGGATTTCTAGGTTTTAGGTACTGTACTTAACCCTAGCTCTCCCTGTCCTGAAACAATCCTGAACACACCTGATCACATCAATTTTAAGCTTGCTGTTTTCCAGGTGAAGACTTCAGACTATTTTATTTTCTTGTGTCTGGGTCCATGGGCTGGCCTCCTATGCCAGACTCTCTAAGTGAGCATGCTGCCCTAAAATTTAGCCAGGAAATGTCTACCCAAGAGCAGACCATTCCAAAAGAGCGAGTTTCAGGGCAACTCGGAGTCTAGCTCAGTGTTTACTCATGCCACCAGGTCCTGACACCACCTCAGGTTGCTCCTGGGGCCCCATCACAACCAGGCCATCCCATTTGAGCCCACTGGGAGCTAATGCTAGAATCCACTTCTTCCTGGAAGGCTCTGTTATGCTTCCTCCCCAACTGCTCAAGGAAACCCCTAATTTCCTGAGCATCAAGCTGGGTCTGGTGGGGAGTGGGGGTAACAGCGGGGACAGGGGCTCTCTCAGCCAGCCCTGCGCCCTGGCCCCCACACCACCCCAGACAGAGCAATCACCAATGAAGCGGAACTCGCTGCACTCGCATTCGATCAGGGCCATAGTCTCAGCCAGCCACAGCAGATTGTCTTCAGTCACCAGGCTTGGATACTTGGCTACCAGGTCTAGGGGCAGGAAGCAGTAGTGCACTTCCTCTTCCGTGTCCAGCAGTGGTGTGTCCATGAGCCCCAAAGGCGCCTTGTCATGCAGGCCTAGAGAAGAATATATGGGGATGTCATTGCCTCCTGGAGATCAGGACCTCCATAGTCCGGCAGTGGAAGTTGCTGGGACACAGGTTTAGGTATTTACATTAATGCCATGAAATTTGTTTACTCCTTTGCTTCTTTCCAACTGAGCAAACCAACTCCTGTGACCCATAGGTGACATGCTTTTGATTCTCCTGGAAGCTCTAACTCCATCAATAAAAATAATGGCCCTGTTCTGGTGGCCCAGATAGGCCAACCTATGTTTCAAGGCACCTGTCAGACAGTGGCTATGTTGGGACATGTGACTTGAAAGGCATTTTCTGATTTCCAGGAGTGGGTGGAAGGCAGTCTAGCCTTGCTCAGGTGCAACCAGTACAAAATGAACGCAGAGGAAGGTGCTTAGTTCTGGCAGGCAGAGAGCCACGGACAGGACATTTAGCAGGTACAAGGCCAACAGAGATGACAGACAAGCAGAGAAGTCATCCATTACTGGCTCAGGCATCAGAGTGCCCTGTAGATGGAGGACTCATCTGTTAGTGTGAAGAGAGGGGCCACCATGTGCCTGACCCTACCTGTGAAGGCTGGGCTCTTAATCGGAAACTCTGAGGGTTTGCTGATACACTTCCATGTGCGCCAGTAGTTCAAAGACGCTCTCTCAGCCACAGGTATGTCTGCAGGCCGCACACGGAGATGGTGCTTCCCTTCCTTTAGGTTATCCAGAGTCTGTTAGAAAAGATGATGATTGCCTTGAAAATGGAAACCAAGTAACTAGCATTTATAGGATGAAAGCCTGAAAAAATAATATGTAGCTTACTTTGGTAAAAGCATCATGGAATAATTTAGTCATTACACATCTTATGTTAAAATGTAGCATTTACAGGAATGACCTGATATGCCAAATCCCTGTGACTATGTCCCTTCAGAGTGCTGAAACAATTTTTACGCTGAAATTTTATGTTGAGTAGTAGTAATTTTATCTTGCATAATCTAAACAGCAAATTTATTTCATCACTAAAACTTGGTATGTCTCATCATTTTTCTTCAACATCTTTTCAAAGATTTATTTTTTTTTAATTGGAAAGTCAGATTTACAGAGAGAAGATAGAGACAGAAAGATCTTCTGTCCATTGGTTCACTCCAAGTGGTCACAATGGCCAGAACTGAGCTGATCCAAAGCCAGAAACCAGGAGCTTCCTCCAGGTCTCACATGTCCAGAACTGAGCTGATCAGAAGCCAGTAGCAAGGAGCTTCTTCTGGGCTTCCCACACAGGTATGCAGGATCCCAAGGCTTTGGGCTGTCCTCAACTGCTTTCCCAGGCCACAAGCAGGGAGCTGGATGGGAAGTGGAGCAGCCGGGATAAAAACCGACACCCATATGGGATCTTGGATGCAATGTAAGGACTTAAGCCACTAGGCTATTGCACTGGGCCTCAATAATTTATTTTTTTAAATTTACCTGAAAGCAGACACAAAAAACAGGCAGACAGAGAAATCTCCCATCGGCAGCTTCACTCCCCAAATGCTCCCAACAGCCTAGGTTTGGCCAGCTGAGGCCAGGAGCTGGGGCCTCAATCTGGGTCTCCCAAATGGGTAACAGGGACCCAATTACCTGAACCATTACTGCTGCCCTCCAAGGTGCACATTGGCAGGAAGCTGGAATCAGAAAGGGAGCTAGGATTCAAATCTAGCATTCTGATTTGGGATGTGGGTGTCCTAAGCAGTGTCTTAACTGCTTGTACCAAATGCCCACCTCTCCCTTTAATAATTGAAACAATCCTCTTGGACCTATTACAACCATTGTGATTTACTTACTGACTGGGTTCATCCTAATTTGGGAAGTGATCTCAGCGATGAGATCAAGGATAAAATTGTCTTGTCTGCTATTGGCACAGAGTCTACATTTTCCAAAGCTCCTGAACACACATTTATCCTGATGAGCCAGTGGAGGTCAAATACTTTGTGACTTGCCCGAGAGATCTTCCAAGTGCAGGTGACCTGCAGTGGGGAGCCTGCAGTGAAGCCTACCAGCTAGTTGGAACTGAACCCAAGTACCAGCTATCCCTCAAAAGTCCTGCAGAGGGCAGTTTTTTAACATCAAGCCCGGTTCTAATTGTTGTTTTTCCTAAGACAGGGTTTTCCCAAGAAATTTGGGGAGACAGCAGGACAAGTGGCCCCTTAAAGCCATCTCATGACCAACTTTCTTCTTTAAGTGCTTCATGAGGGACAGATATGAAATGAACAAAAGAACCCGCTTCTTTTGTAACCCTTGTGGAGTTGATTTTCCTTCTTGAGCATTAAGAAGAGTCCCCTGGTGGTCACAGCTGTGAACTGCATCCCCATAATGGCTTCAGGTCTGCAAAGAGGTTGACCAAATCCCTTCTGGATCAAATCCCTTCTGCACTGTGGGAAGTGTGGGCAGTGGTGGGGCCATGAGGAATGCTTTTCTAAGCACTGAGTAATGGGGAAGATGGTGCGTGGGTAGAATAGTGAAAGAGAATCTAAAATTTCAGATATACCCCTTGTATCTTACCAAAGACATGGCTACTTGCCACCATGCTTCTTAGCTTGAAGGAAAAGAAAGATCCAGAAGCCACTAGTCTACATATACTGAGATAACAACCCATGTTGGTAATGAATTTTCTGGATCTCAAGAATCCTGAGATTTCTTTCACAGTGTTAGAAGCCCTGCTCGCCCTGCTGGGGGCTGCATGCAGCCTCGGCTTCCATAGCAAGCAGGCAGGTAGCTATCCTGAGGGGCCCCATTCCTGCAAATGCAGATGGCCGGCATGGACCCAGGACTCTGCAGCCCAGGTTGTGACCACAGTTCTCAACCAGCTGCCTTCCAGATGTTCCAGAACTTTTTCAAGTCTCAGCCTCCTCAACTGCAAAGCAGAGAAGAAGACAGTCAGATCTGGAAGATGTCCCTGGAAAGATTAAAGGAACTAACATCCTGCTTTCCTTCTTCCTAGTGCTCAGGTCCCAAGCTTCCTCTGCAGTCTCATCTCCTGTTTCTCTTTTCGCTCTTGTCCTTCAACAGCAACACATCTTGAATAGGAAAAAAAAAAAAATAGAGGCATGCATGTGGCCGGAGTGTTAAGATTCTGACCAAGGTGCCCTCATCCCCCACCAACAGAGTGCCTGGGTTCCACAGACCCAGATCTGGCTCCAGACTGCAGTTTCTCATTCACACAGACCCTAGGAGGCTATGGTGATGGCTCACTTAGCTGGGTCCCTGCCATCCACTAGAGGACCCCAACTGATTTCCTAATTCTCTGTGCTTGTCAAATTATTTTTTTTAAGATTTTATTTTTATTACAAAGTCAGATATATAGAGAGGAGGAGAGGTAGAGAGGAAGTGGAGCTGCTGAGATTAGAACTGGCAACCATATGGGATCCTGGTGCATTCAAGGTGAGGCCCTTAGCCACTAGGCCATGCCACCAGGCCCATATCAAATTATTTTTAACAAGAGAAAAAGGAAAATAAATTTACAAAGACTACAATCCCTCCCAGCAAGGCCAGTGGAGCAGGCTAGTCTTGAGGCACAGGTGTGATACCAGGCTCAGGAATCCCAATAAGGTTGTATTCTCCCATCCAAGTACTAATCAGGCCCGACCCTGCTTAGCTTCCAAGATTAGATGAGATCGGGCGTGTTCAGGGTGGTATGGCCGTAGACTAAGGTTGTATTCTGAATTCCTTGACCAAGCTTCGCCCTGATTCCTAGAAAAACAAGATCTGTACTTTATAGGAAGCTACTGGGTGTGGTTTAAAAAAAAAAAAAAACTGCAGTGAGCACTCTGCAGCCACCCACTAGATTTGCAGTCTTCACTTTCCTGATACACACAACCTTGCCAATAATTCCAGGACCTCACTTGCTTTGCTCTCTCTGCTGTATTTGTGGCACACTGGAACCACGCCTGTGGGATCTCAGGATGTTTTAATTGAATGGATGAGTAAGCAAAGAAAGAACACTTCAGAGCAGTTGGGCTTCCAGCTTCTCTGCGGCTTTGCTGACTGAAGTTGCTACCCAGAGTGCGGCTGGTCCTCCACGGACTGACTTCAAGCCTGCTTTCATCTGCCTGAACATTCTAGGAATTTCATTCCTTTTATGTCACAACAGGGAAACACAGTGGAGGGAGAACTTATTTAAGGAAATACAGACCTGAATTCAGATGGCTCATTGCCAACACAAGGATCAATGACATTGCTTTTGACCTAGATATTAGGAAAAAAAAAAGCAAAAAACCGTGTCCATCAGAAGCCGTGTGTGTGTGTGTGTGTCTGCCATCAAAGATGCTGACAGGCACACTCTGCTGGCACAGCTTTGGGGACTTAACAGAGGTTCTTCCCACAGCAGCAGCAGCAGCTGCAGTTCTCAGAGATGCTCCATGCTCTGATATTAGGAGCGTGTTGGTAAGGGAGCCTGTGGAACCTACCCCAGGCTGCTCTGTAAAGACAACAAGGACCAGCATGGCTTACAGAAAAGGATGTGCAGACTGCTGTGAGCTGCCCACAGTTCCATCTTAAAAACCTGCCCCTGCAAAGGGGTGCCAGTCCTCTTGGTCATCTCCAGTACCTCTCTCTGGGTTCTCACAGCACTTGTTTCTGGGAATGCAAATATGAATAGAGTCCAGTCCTGTGACAGAGAAAGACATAGGAATACACAGTCCTAACAGAAAAATACTGATCTGATAGAGAAATTAGTTGATAATGAAAGCTGACAAAAAATATGTCATACTAGGCACATGTAGGCCAAATCTTTTTTAAAGATTTATTTATTTTTATTGTAAAGTCAGATATACAGAGAGGAGTAGACACAGAGAGAAAGATCTTCTGTCTGTTGATTCACTCTCCAAGCAGCCACAACGACCAGAACTGTGCCAATCAGAAGCCAGGAGCCAGAACCCTCCTCCAGGTCTCCCATGAGGGTGCAGGATCCAAGGCTTTAGGCCATCTTTGACTGCTTTCCCAGGCTACAAGCAGGGAGCTGGATGGGAAGTGGAGCTGCCAGTACACAAACCGGCGCCAATATGGGATCCCAACACATGCAAGGAGAGGACCTTAGCCACTAGGCTATTGCACTGAGCCCTAGGCCAAATCTTAAAAAGAGAAAATTTTTTTAGAGATTTATTTTTATTGCAAAGTCAGATATACAAAGAGAAGGAGAGACAGAGAGGAAGATCTTCTGTCTGATGATTCACTCCCCAAGTGACCGCAACGTCAGGTTCTGCACCGATCCAAAGCCAGGAGCCAGGAACTTCCTCCAGGTCTCCCACGTGGGTGCAGGGTCCCAAAGCTTTGGGCCATCCTCAACTGCTTTCCCAGGCTATAGGCAGAGACCTGTATGGGAAGTAATGGGAAGTGGAGCTGCCGGAATTAGAACCAGAGCCCATATGAGATCCCGGTGCGTTCAAGGCGAGGACTTTAGCCATTAGGTCACTGCGCCGGACCCAAAAATAAAAGAATTATTCTGGGCCTGGCCTAGTGGCTAAATCCTCACTTTGCATGTGCTTGGATCCCATATGTGCCCTGGTTCATGTCCCGGCTGTTCCATTTCCCATCCAGGTCTCTGCTTGCAGCCTGGAAAAGCAACAGAGAATAGCCTAAAGTCTTGAGATCCTGCACCCACATGGGAGACCGGGAGGAAGTTACTGACTCTTGGTCTCCAATCAGCTCAGCTCTGGCCACTGCAGCCATTTGAAGAGTGAACCAGCAGACAGATCTT